TAGGGATTCAGTGAGTTCAACAATTCGAATCAAGTCACCTTGACCATACCTTGCACGCAGGCTGTGCCATGCTTCAACAACTGTTTTGCAGGACATGATTGTTTTTCTGATGGCAGGGTCGACAACTTGTTGAATCCATGCTAGCACCATGATGTTGTTGCGTTTCCAGGAAGTGGACTGTTCACTGTCGTCACCTGGATCTGGAATGATGCCATCAATGAATCCAAGCTTGTTCTTGGCCCCCAAAGCATTGTACATCGCCTTGTGCCAGTCATTGTAGTTGATGGTAGTGAGTTTCTCTCCGCTAATTGGGATCCGGGTTGTTCAGAACCATGGAGATAGTAGGGATCTGTGTTTGCTTCCATGGGTGGCGGCTAGGGTTAGAACCCTTGAGGCTCTGATACCATTACACTATTTTTAGGTTTGGAAACTTTAGCTTTTCTTCTTCTCATTACTTCACTCAGCTTATATAGCTGGAGAGTTGGTGGTTACAAAACAAGTAAATAAGACAAACTTGGGAAAGAAGAAAGTACAACCCGAAAATGGAAAACAGGTAAAATAAGAAGTTATGCATCAATTTGGTAATTTGCCAGAGACAACTTGACTCCAGCTCCTGTGCGGCGTCGTCTTGGTTGCGGGAGAATCATCCTTTGGAGGATACGATACGATGTCGTCTTCATTCCAACGGTCGACTGGTTTGAAGTTTGGAGCTCTACTTCTAAGATTGGCTCTGCTTCTGGGATTGGCGAAGAAAAACTGTCATTTTTCTCTGATAATTGGAGATGGGAATGAATCACTCTCGTCGACAAAGGCAAGGAATTGGAACTTGAGTCTTTACTCCAGAGAGTCGATAGACAATTTATGGTCGTGTTATATTGTTTGAACTGGAATGGTTTAGGACTTAGGAATCAGAATTGGGATGGAATGTATATATTCGAAAATTGAGTTGGTGGTCGACTCAGTTCATTAATCATGGGTCACCCGAATTTCAAACCACAAGACAATCTAATTCGATTTCTATCCATTTGGGTTACGGTCCCGTTGGGTTGAGAATTTACCGAACCGTGTGTTTACCCCTACCTAAAGAAAAGAAGGTACACATTATATATGGATTGGTTTGTGAGTTTGAAACTACTTGTTTATATACTCTTTATTATTTTATAGGAATTGTTTATACTCTTGAGCCACTAACAACTAGGGAATCAGCAAATACATCCGGAAAGCACTCAGGAGGGATGGCAATGGGCGGGTTTGCCTAAACCATCCCCATCCCCACTTTCAAATATCCAAACTCATGTCCTCCCCATACTCATGCGGAAAAGGTTTGCAAACTCATCCCCATTCCCGTGGGTTTCGAGTACCATGGGTAATACCCGCCTCGTACATCCAATATTACAATATCTAAAATGCCACATGTAAATTTTCAATTACAACATTAAATGCACCTACTATATTATAAAGTCGACAAAGTGACAATCATTCGTAATATGGTTTAAAACATCTTATCCTAAAACATCAATTAATCCTTAAGATAGAGTACAATAATGTAATCTAAATATTCTTGATAGAGCGCGCGTGCATGAATTTTTTTTATACGTGAACAAATATTCTTGATAGAACACGCGGGTATGAATATGGGGCGCTAGGACGAAAACGCTAAAATCATACCCGTCTCATACCCCATCAAACTGATTACCAGAGTAGTAAACTACTAGTCATCAGGATCAATATTGCAGTAGCAGCATCCTTTCACACAAAACGCCCCTTTCTTGCAGTCCAAAAGCAGGCCGCAAGCATCACACAGCCCCCTACCGCTGTCATCTCTGCAATTAGGGTAATCATCGTAATCATCAGCAGCAGCCGGCGGCGGCCGCGAGAACATTCCTCCACCTCCTGCTCTGCTTCTGGGAGTGGCCTTCTCCGAGTTGGTGATCTCCATTGATCTCGACTCGCTTGCATGCCATGGCGTCACACCTGCAACACAGATGTGTTATGTTACACAGCTCAAATCCCTTTTTTTTTTTTTTTTATAATTATGATGTTGAGAAAATATGGCGTCCTTACAGGAAAGAAGGAGGAGGGTGATGAACTTAGTGATATTGGGCATCGACATTGTTATAATTATGATCAATTTTTATTCGGTGCTTTAATTCTCTGTAGTAGCATTACTACTTCTACTCATTGTATATATATGGTAAAATTATGACTTTGAGCAAGTTACAGTTTGAACGTTTCTTCTTGCTGATCTTTTCTCTTTGATTCGCCGTCCGACGGTTGACAGCAGAGAGAAAGAAACCGTTTCTTAATGGATAATAGAATGGTCCTTGGAGGAGGAGATCGATTCCGGTAAGCGAGGAAGGTCCGGCGCCGGCGGAAATAATATTCCAGCAGGTAGCAGCCGGAAGGATCGAATAGTTATTCTCCGTTCATTTCCATTAACTTCATCCTACATGGCAGTTAACTGTAATAGTTGATTGTTGAATGCAGTGGCGGATCCAGAAATTTTTTGTAGGGGTGTCCTCTTTCAAAAATTAAATTAAATTAATAATTAAATTAAATAATACATAAATAATAAAATATCCAATTAGTATAAATGTTCACAAAAAGCCACGATGTGTTTTCAATTTCGAAAAAAATATAAGATAGATTTGGTGTGTACACTGCTCAACAAATCAGTATATCCTACTAGATCGCATATTCAATTTCTACCTTGTTCATGATGTAATTCAAAGTTGAAAAAACTGTTTCAACACTTGCAGTGTAACCATAAAATCAATTCAAATTAGGGTACCCTGGGGATAAGAAATCGTATTTTCAACATTACATAGTGTTTAAAATAGAACAACAAATGAGTTATAACCTAATGGAGAAGATGTTAAATAATAGGAGTGTCCTAGATTTGAATAACACAGAGTACCACTTATATTTTTTTAATCACGCAAACTACTATCGAGGGTAAGATAATCATTTATTAAAATTTTAGAGGTGTCCCAGATTACTAATTATATTTTGTTTATCCATACGAAACTACTACCGGGGGTTGAATAATCGTGTTCCCAAAATTTAGGGGTGTCCCGGGACACCCCTAAAACACCATGTATCCGCCACTGGTTGAATGCGTGTGAGGTGACAATTAAAAATTAATAATAAAAATAAAATTTAATTACTTTAAATTTCCTAGCTAGTTATCACAAACTTAAAAATAAAAATATGTTTTTATTTTTTTACAGTTTGGAAAAGCTAAATTTTGAGGAAATGGAATTTCAATTCTCAAACTTTTCATGATTCTCATGTTTGGAAGTAAAAAATAAAAAGGAAATGAATTTTTTTTCGTTAAATAAGGAAATGAAATTCCAAAAGGTAAAAAGTTGGAAATTATAAATCCTACCAAAAGTAGTCGGAATTGGTGGAGGGAGTGATGGAATTAGAGGACCCCACATTAATTTTGACTCACTTTTACAAGAAACTAGAAAGCCCTTACTACTTTTGAATTTGAAATCATTAATACCAAGGATATTATTGTAAAAGCACTTGTAAGAAATTATTTCCATTTTTTTCCAAACATAAAAAGATGAAATCATTTTCCAAACTTTTGAATTTATTCCAAACATAAATTTTTAAAATGAATTTGCATTCAGATTCTTATAAGAAATGGAATTCATTTTCCAACAGAATTATATTCAAACAAGCTGTTAACACGGGCAAGTGAAACTTTGGATTAACCTCAAGCATGGGTAAGTGGAACTTCATTAATTAATCTTCGAGGAGGGCTCTGGCTTTTCTAATTCTTTTATTTAAATTTTTTTACGAAACTGTTTTCTCATGCAATTAACACTGCTTTACCTCGACATTAAAAATTGAAAACAACATCATGGAGAATTTTGCGTGCTTGTTCTTTGTCCATGCTAGCTCTCGATTATTTGTTTGTTGCCGAAGTCAACCCAACTACTCATTTTTTTAAGACACTAATCTGTCTCATACAGATCATAATTCTTCCTCAACCTGTCTTTTACATCATTCCCATTCTAGATCGATCACTCCCACTATAAAGGCAAGACACCAGCATGCCGACAGGGTGAAAAGCTTGTCATCTAAGTTGTGGAAAAAATTCACCCAATTTTTTTTTTTTTATAAAAGATAATCATGTATTGATTCAACAAATGAAGATAGTTACATCCTGGAACGAAGCCAGACTTTAAAATCAAAAGATCGACAAAAATTCTAATGGATACTCAATTTAAAGTGAATGGGAAAAAAAACTCGAATGATACGATCCTTTCGTTGGCCCCGGAATGAAATGGGTGATCTCGTAGTTCTTCGCATTTTAAGATATGTAAGATTATATGTTTTTCGATTGATGATTGTTGGATATTTATGATAAAAGAATTTATAAAAAATTGGGATGTATAAATTCTTAATCATGCAAGCTTTTTAATCATAAGGCATACAAAAAGCTGACATCATGTTCTAGACGGCATCGTACCAAGAATTGTAAAACGGTATCGAAAATTATACCGAAAAAGTTAACAAGAGTATTTTATACTGAAATCGTAATTTAATCATTTCATATGTTAAAAATCAATTACTAAATTAGACTCCCATAAAAATCAGACTCCCATAAAAAAATCCAATTGGGTCGCAGATAGGTTTCACAAACCTGGCTTCATATACATATACGGGTAAATCCCACATTTGGTCACTGAGATTACTAAATCGTGTCATGTTTAGTCACTAGAAAAATTTAATAACAATTTTGGTTACTCGAATTACTAAAATTGGTCAAATTTAGTCACTCTCCTGTTAGTTTTCGAATGGAGTTGGACGGAAACTAACGGGAGAGTGACTAAATGTGACATGTTTCAGTAATTCGAGTGACTAAATGTGATATGTTTCAATAATTCGAATGACCGGAGTTGGACAAAGGCTACAGGAGAGTGACCAAATGTGATCTGTTTCAGTAATTCGAGTGACCAAAATTGATATTAAATTTTTCTATTGACTAAGTATGACACGATTTAATAATCTCACTTACCAAATTTAACACTTACCCTATACAACAACGTTCGAAAACTCCAATTAAGAAACTCCAATTAAGAAAGTTGTGCGTGCGGTGCCTTCAAGCTCAAGGTTGGATTGGGCCTCTCTCATTTTATAACCCAAAAAAAGAGCAAAGATTATAACACTACACAAAAAGGCTCGTATTTTTGCTCCATAAAGAGAAAGAAATAACCAATCACAAACGGCCACAATTAGTGAACCGATCTCCCCCGCCGCAGAAAGGTGTCACCTTCGAATTAGCTGCTTTTGCCGCCGGCCGGTCACCATTTCCCTTTTCCTTTCTTCAACTTAAAGCTCTCTCTGGGGCCAAACAAAAGTACCACCACATTCGAAATTCCAAAGCATCATGATCATTAATATATATAGTAATACCCATTACAGGAGTGTAATTAACAACAAATCTACATCGGATTAACCGCATTATTCCTCTGTTCCCCTTTCGCACCCAGATGGTGGTGATTATTGTAATCATGATTACAACTACTATGATTATGTTGATGGTGGTGGTGGTTTTGCCGGAAAATCCATCTCCAGCTCTTGAAGCTCTTCCGGCTCCGTTTAATCCCTCTGTCACTCACCGTCATTCGAAACGACCCGCCGTTTCGGTCTCCTCCCGCCATCCCGTACTCCGCCGCCTCCGCCGCCGGCGGCGGCCTCGACTCCGACGATGGGAAGTCGAATTTCAGGTCGATGAATCCCGAGTCGTCGACGGCGGTCGTGAAATTGCCTTCACGGAGCGAGAAAACCCGCGGGATCGAACAATCCCTCTTCTGATTCTCCACATCGAACCCGCTCTTCCTGGGCTCGGACTCGCTGTACCCGCTTTTCCTATCCGGGTCGAAAACCAGCCCGTTGAACCCGGAGCTCCGGGCCGCGGAGATGGAGCTCCTGGCGCCGGAAACAGAGCTTCTCGCCCCTGAATACGTCCCGTCCTCCGACCCCGCGAAAAACCCACCTCCGCCACCGCCGCCGCTGCCGCCCCTGAAGCTGCACAACGACCTCGACCTCGAAACCATCCCGCCGCACCCGCCGCCCGCGGCGTAATCGCCGTCGAGAACCCACAGGTCGCCGTTCCGGTCTTCAATACCGGCGACGCTGTGTGTAATTCCGTTACCACTACTGCCACTACCCAATTTCTCCTTCGATCTCCTGGTGAAGAACCTACCGATTTTCCAGAACCCGCCTCTCCGGCGCTTGATCTCGACGCAGCTGCTGCTGCTCCGCTTCAAGATCAGAACTTCCGCCGCAGCCGCCGGGCGCGGTTGCGGCGGCTTGTTTGAATTCGAACGGTTTAGACTGTTGGAAGGCTGAAATTGAGCATTGTTCTCGATTAGGAAGGAGACGCGGCCGACTTCCAGATTGGAATTGCTTGAATTGGAGGCGCGATTGGGGGAGATTTCGGAGCAGGAGCAGGAAGAGAGGCGCTGCTCGCCGCAATCGGAGCAGAGCAGAGTGAGAAGGCGTTCTTTGAGGCAGTGGGGGCAGATTCCAACGGGAGGTGAAGAAGAAGAAGAAGGAGAAGGGTGTCGCTTGCAGGGGAGGTAAGAGGCAGAGTCGTCGTCGTCGTGGAGGAACAAGTCGCCATTTTTGTTGTTGGTTGGATCCAGAGCTTTTCCTCTGTCTCTCATTGTCAATTGTTGTCGTGGGGGAAAATGGAGCGAGGGAGAAGACTCAGAAGAGGGTAGTAGAAGAAGAAAAGGTGAAAGTGACAGAGCAGAGAGTTAACGTAGGAAGGGGAAGAGGAGAAGGCGTCAAGAAGGGATTTTGTCAAGAAGAGTGAGGAGCGGGGTCTGATATGATTGGAGAAGAAGAAGAAGATGCAGTGAGAGTGGAAGAAGACAGTACTACTAGCACAAAGCTTCTCTTCTCCGTCGAGTCCTTTTTCCTTTATTTTTAGTTGTCTTTTTCCCCATTTGCTTTCCTTTTCCGCCTCTGTCTTTCTCTTTTCCATTATTTTGTTTCTTATTCTGTCATTTTCTCCATTTCGTGCGTATTTGGGGAAAATATCGTAGGTTTCATTTGGCACGACTGCGTGCATTTCAAGAAATTAGAATGGATATTTAGAATATATATATGTTGTTAATGGTGTTCCATTTTCACAAGAATAGACTCAATCGATGAAGAATATGAGCTAACTCCTTGATTCACATTATCTATCTTTGTTAGAACATTTGTAAAGCAAGAAACTATAGTACTTTCAAGAATAAAGTTCCCTGACCCCCAAACGTATATCTGCAAACCTATAGAGAGCTAACAGAATGGATGGCTTGCCCGAGGCTCTCGCCTCCTTCTTCTAGTGGTCTCACTCAGGCACTCAGCTTAGGGGATCCCTTCCCACTACGAATCCCCCGCCAAGTAATCACTCGTTGGTGATTCACTGTGATGGGGTCGTTCCTTAGCGACCCCCAGTCGGCGGCTTATGGTGTTGTTGTTGTTAACCATCATGGACAAGTGTGTGATGGGAGAGTTGAGATTCTTCTTTGTTCCACCCCGATTGAAGCGGAAGCGAAGGCACTCTTGGAAGGTATTAAATTAGCACAAGAATATGGATCGGTTTGTACAGTACAATCTGACTGTCACATTCTGGTGAAGGCCCTGAACCATAATCAGTCTCGTTGGCCATGGAGATGTGCAACCTGGATTAGAACAATGGTTAATATCCTTAGGAATAACCCTGCAATTTCGGTTAAAGAGGCTCCAAGGGCATTGAACGTTAGGATTGATTGGGTGGCACGATCAAAAGCTACAGCTACTCTGCCAGATGACTGGATTAGTATTCTTGATCTAATTTCTGATCTCCTTTAAGTTTGTAATCGCTGTTTAGCGCATTTCTTTCAATAGTGGAATAAAGTTGGTATTATTGTAAAATAAAAAAGATGAAGAATATGAGCTCAAAGTATCATTCGTAGCTCCCGAAACTCATTCGCACTGTATTAGTTCTATGTCTCATTTCCTAAGGAAGTTAAAACTGACTCGGACTCCCCTATTATCTGCTATATTCAAATGAGATTTGCGGCTGAATCATATTATTTTTAATCTGTTATTTCAAAGCAAACTAAATGTTGTACGATTAAGTTGTAAACATGAGCAAGCATGGTTTTTTTTTTTTTTTTTTTTTTACAATAGCAAGCATGGTAAATGTAAGAAAATTAGTTGTTGGGGAAACGTGTTTGGCCACTCAATTCACTTGTGGCTTGCTCAGTTCATAGTGAGAGAACACGAACAGCTTTATATACCCATCAATCAATCAATCGATGAAGGTGATACATCAAACTCAGAAGGCCTTTTCTTCAAGATTTTCCACTCTAGCTCTGTAGCTTGAGTATGAACTTTCAAGAGCAACATGCCAACATGACAGAAACGAAGTGAAGTGAAGGTTGTCGAACACATCAAGCCCGAAAAAACTTTCCCATCAAAGCTTTTTTAGCAACAACGAATAAGTCATACATTTGTCCACTTCTCCTCCTTCGCCATGATATATACAAACATGCACATATCTTTATGTTATATCGTTTTCCTTGAATAAGACTAATTATTTTAATATATAAAAGTCTAATATTGGAGTTATTATTTAAATTTAATACACTTGTATATCCAAAACTTTTACGGTTGTGTCAATAATATCCAAATTTTCCGGAATACCACTTATATCCATGTTTTAAAGTTGTTCTTTGCCAAACCTATCCATTTCCCAATATATTTTTGGTTAAATGCACTTGTATATCCAAAAACACCGTTAAAGAATGTGAAGGAATTGGATATAAGTGGTATTTCGGAAAATTTGGATATTATTGGCACAACCGTGAAAGTTTTGGATATACAAGTGTATTTAACCTACTATTTATTAGTGTATTCCAAACTCCTTCAAGTGTGAGTGAGCAACCTTTATTTGTTTGTTTTTCTTCGGGTTAATTGCAAGGATGGTCACTGGGTTTACTCAAACCGTTCATGTGTGGTCACTGTAAATATTTAATTCCATTCATGGTCACTAAGATTAGTTCAATAGTTCAAGTTTGGTCACTCTCCGTTAGTCTCCGTTAGTTTTTGCTAATGTGGCAGTCAACTATTGACCGTTAAATGAGTGACGTGGCCATTAAAAAAATAATAAAATAATAAAATTTAAATATTTACAATTTCCACCTCATTTTAAAACTATTAAAAAATAAAAAATAAAACTTACCTCCACCATCTACGCCATCGTGGCCATGACGTGATCGTCTCCGCCGCCGCTCCTTCCTCAACGCCGGCCTCGCTTTGCTTCATCAAACGTATGCATCAAAACCTAGCTATGATACCAACTCGCTCTTTCTAACTAGCACCTTGCTGCGATATATATATATCCCACAAGTAATAAGAGAAACGGGAAGCAATAGCTAAGTCATCCCATGGCGAAATTCCGGTTCCATATCCGCTACTTCCTCCTCCTCCACGTCACTCATTTAACGGCCAACTATAATAGTTGACTGCCACATCAACAAAAACTAACGGAGACTAACGGAGAGTGACCAAACTTGAACTATTGAACTAATCTTAGTGACCATGAATGAAATTAAATATCTGCAGTGACCAAACATAAACGGTTTTAGTAAACCCAGTGACCATCCTTGCAATTAACCCGTTTTTCTTCACTCACATATTTTTTTCCTGAATCTCGAAAATTTAGAGAACCTTCTGTTACCCCAGTCTCTTATTTCATACAATTTGTTTGAACTTTTGTCCATTGAGTTTTTCCAATCTAATGTCCTCTATGTACTCAAATATCTCCCAAGTGTCTTCTTTTACCCCTTTATTTGCTTGTTTTTCGTCACTCACATATCTTTTAACTATATATTACTAAGCTATATATTGATGATAGTTTTTTTTTTTAATACTTATTGATTTCTTGAATTTGACTGATATGGTAATAGAAGAAAGTTAATTGTTGCTGATCCTATCGATAGTTTGACATATATGCCAACTTGTGCTCATTGAGCTCACTTTTAGAGCTAAGCTCGAGTTTGGCTCATTAAACTCACTTTACTAAACCTAGCTGCTTGAGATGACGCGAGCAAAGCTCAAATTAAAATTTCACAAACGAGTTGAACTCGAGCTCCAATATATTTCTTACCGAGCCGAGCTCAAGTTAGGAGGCCGCTCGAATCAGCTTGGCTCATCGGTTGTCCTTAAAGTGAACAAGATTGTTTGTACGAGTTGATGTGGTAGGATAGCGTCATGCATGCATGATTTGTTATCATATCAAGGTGGCAATTGGATCAGATTCTTGGATTGGTGGATTCATGGATCAAATGGATTGGATCCAGTGGATTCATGGATTGGATCAAATGGATTGGTGGGTTGATCCATGAATCCAAATGACATCCAAGGCTTGGACGAAAATGTAAATTTTAATAAGTTTAGGTACTAAAATGTAATTTTTCGTATAAAAATATAAATTTTAGGTACCAAAATGTAAAATAAAAAAAATATAGGTACCAAATCGTAATTTGTTATTTGGATTCATGGATTGATTCATGAATCCACCAATCCAATTTGGATTTGGATCAAATGGATTGGATTTAAATCGATTGGATTAGGTGGATAATTTAGTGGATGGATTGGATTCATGAATTTGGATCCTAATTGCCACCGCTACATATCATGTACAAAAATTTTACACCGTATCTTAATTGGTAAGTAATTGTCCAGCCACATAAACTTTTCCAACACATATGTAAAGTGAAATATCGTATAATACATAGTCATATCTCTTTTAATAATTTGAGTTCTTCAAATCAGTTCATTCATGACAACCTGTTCAAATTGTCCCTGAACATAATTTGGCATCAACAACAGTAGCTACAGAGAACCCAGTGGTCTGATGAGATAATTGTAATGAAGTAAGATAAGAGGGTTGTGATCATGCAGCCGACGGGAGGCTGGGAAGTGGGATCGATAAATTCATGATGAGTGGAGATTAGTGGTGGGAGAGTGGTGATGATGATGATTATTGATGATCAATCAATGAGCTAGCTAGGTTGTCAAAGTGAGGCATGCTGCAGGCAATCAGAGCACTAAAGGCAATTTGGAAGTGTGAAGTCAAATTTTAAAATACTAGCAGAGACCCGCTCGCTACGCTTCGCGCATAAGCGAAACCATAACGCTTTGCGCATAAACGAAACCATAATATCATTTTGTATGAAGCATAATATAAGTTTCAATTGAATAACACTAATTCATTGTATTTCTAAGGTAAGTAGGACATACGTAATTAATCAAAGCATTAAATGGCATAAAAAGTTAATAAAGAAGTCTGAATAGATTCGTTTGTCATGCCAGGATTGTTGTCTATAAAAGCATATTACAAAATACATTACAGACTGTGCCCACATGTTGGCTTCCACGTTGTGTGTGTTCTCACAATTAAAGAGCAAAGGGCCAAGCAAACCTGTGAATAGTAGTACATGACTCAGATTGAAAGGGAAAGGAAGAAGAATAAGGTTTGTAGGCGAAGTACCAGGTCAATAATTATGCAAATTGGCAGTAGCCTGGAACTCCATAACCGACAATGAGTATTTTTCATAATGGGAAGGCTCCCAACAAAACATAGTCTAGCAATTAACAGATGACTCGAACACCTACTATACAATCTACAGGTATGCAGGTTCGAGCTTCAAAAAGGCAGCGATCATATAAGTTCTGGAACTGCCTGGGGATCATAATGCGGCAGCTTAGGATCGAAGAGCAAGAACAGCTGGCACTCAGAATACAGCAAGAAGAAGGTCGATTCTAGACTAACTCTGCAGTTAAAACGTGCACAATAGGAACCGGTGTTAAGGGTAGCAGGTTCTGCAGGTAAAAAAGTATGGGCATGATTGAAAACAAATTGCATTAGTGATGATATTAAAAGAACCAATCTTTTGCCATCCAATCTGTTGACATTGTGAAAACTTGCACTACTTTAACGTGACCTTTCTGCAACAGGGCATCACGTCAAAGCAAGATAGCCTCCAAATCCCATGTTGGTATCCATATAAAAATCTAATATAAGCTGCAAATGAACATAAAACAAATGGAAATGGTCACTAAAGATGTACCTTATCAAATGCGAAAATGAGCTTAAGTATCTATAAAATAACAATGCAGGTCCAAGATAATAAAAACACAAGCATGTGGAACATGTTCTTTATTACGCAAAAGTTTTGCTTCCAAGTAAAGAAATTGCCTGAATTGAAATGGGAGAACTGCAAGCAAATCTAGAAGAGTTCTGCAGGTAACTCATAGTTAATAATGAGAGCAGGACCTAGAGAAGAATTCTCACCTCCCAGCAATCTATAACTTTTCACACACCAGAGGCGAATTCAAACATCATTTTACACAAAGACTAAATGAAATTTGCAAGTAGAAGACCCTTAAAAGCTCATATCCTAAACATCTGAAGCAACCAGCCCAAGCAAATCTAAATTACTTCTAAGTATTTATAAATTTACTGCTTTAATTTGGAACTTGATCATGAACATGAGAAACAACTAAAAAGAACCAGCAACACTGAACCAATCAAGCGCTTCGATCCAAGAGTTGAAACACTTACTAAGGCTGTAACAGAAAACAACAAAGATATTGTTTCCCTCGATCAGTATCAGACAGTGAATATGAGCACTTCCTTGATAACTTCAAGAGCTGAAAAAGATTGGATTGTACAGTCAACTGCAGTAAGAATGTGATTTGATGAGAACTAATAATCTGGAAGCAAAGGTAAATGATCAAGCATTTCAAACTGTTGGTTCTATAATAAATATGACATCAACATTTCACAACTACTAAAGGTATATACGAACTCATGAGTCCATGAGAAGAAAATCAAAACTAACCTTGTCGTCCACACAGTCCAGAAGCAATAAATCTTGAACCTAGAAATAAGCAAGAGCATAGAGAGGCAACAAAGCTAGTAAGTAAAACACAGTAGTGGCCAAGGTATTAAGAGTTGCCAAATCAAGAAACTAAAAACACAACCATGCTTGAGAATGGACAGAAAGGAGATATGAAAACAGAATAGCAGCTGAGAGTACCAATAGGTATCAAAGCAAGAATGGCCAAGAAGTTTGGTTGAGAAGCAGAAAGGAGATGCGAAAAATGAATGGCAGCTTAGAGTCCAAACCAACCCTAGGTTCCAAAAGAAATCATTTGTTCTATGAGCGGTCAAGTAAGCGAAAAAGAATAGGAAATTGGCTCTAGAAGCATGAAACTAATTGGATTGCCAAATAGGATTTAAACCCCAAAACAAAAGGCTATTTTGTGATAATATAGATCTCTCCAAACCCTCACTTGCCTCCCTCCAATTCTAGAAAACCCATAATCTCAAACCCAATAGAAGCATTGACGTTTCTGAGCAGTAGAAAAAGGCAAAGATAAAACTGAAATAAAATCCAAATAAGTAATGGTGAGAAATTCCAAATAATTACCTGCCGCTATTGAGTTCCATGGGCATCATCTCTGGTTTTTCTTTCCTTCCTCTTCTTTTTTGTTCCCCCACGCAAGGTGAAGGCTTTTAACAAACTCACATCATGGCCATCATCACCCTGGCTTCACCTAATTGATTCGATTGTAAGCAACACCTGAGAAAGGGGGAAACAATCGTCGTGTGAAAGCTGGCCTGGCGGGCACGAAGAAAGAAGAGACAGCGAACAGAGAGAGAAGGTCACCTTGGTGTAAGAGGGGAGATCTGTAAAGCTTGAATCAGATCCGGGAGGAGGCTGGTGAAGTTGGGAGGCTGAGGCGGTCGTTCTGGGGCTTTTGGAGCTTGGATTCAGCCGAGTCGCAGCGGAATTGCTGGGTTTCTGCTCAGGTCGCTCCAATCGCTTCAACCTTTCCATTAATATCCATCGAAGACAACACGGGTAGGGGCAGAATTCACTCCTCCAGAGGCATCCCTGGACTCTGTTGCTTCCCTTATTCAGACGCTCCCAACGTATCCAAAACTTCCTCGGCGGAATTCAAAGTCTCCGAGTCCTTGCTCACTGTGATTCCAGATCATGTACACCTTGTCGAGAACTTGGCCACCATGGTGGATTACGCGGCATCGTTGGAACACTTAAAAATGGGTAACAACTGATAATATAATGGAGGTGGCGGAGGGATGGTGGAGAAGGGGAAGGCTACATGGAGCAGTCCGGCGAAGCTGGGATTCCGCCGAGGTATGATCGACAGTCCAGAGATGGACGGGACAATGAGAGGAGGTATGTGAAAGATAGGAGTCTTTTCTGTGAGATGAAAATTGGTATTCCATCGAGAGGAGGAGAGGGATGGCGTGCTCCGTGCAAGAAGAAAGAAGATGAAGCAGACTGATAGTGAATGTTGCGTATGGAAAGGAGAAGCAAAAGTGAGTGGGGAGTGGAGAGGTACATAGTAGCATCCGATGGACAAAGAGTAAATCCCAAGGTTTTTGGACGGCGAGTGGGGTAATAGGGATTGGAGGGTTTTTGTGTGAGAGGAGAAGCAGATCACGTGGACAAATGAAGGGCAAAAGTTTGGGCCTCCACCAGTCGCAGAGGAGAGAGTAGGGGCTACTAATGAACAGTAGAGGCAACTAAGACTTTTATATATTAATTAATAGTGGGATGAATGATCGATCGATGTTTTGGTGGTTTATACGACGACAACAACAACATGTGTCATAGTCGAGGAAAAAAAACAGAGAGATATACACACACTACAGAAACAGGACATTATTATAGTTGTTCACTTGTGTTCTTGTTCCTTCCTTCCATCTTTGCTTTGATTTGCTCTTTATAGCGTGCCGTGGTGGACTTTGCAAGCCTCTCTTTGTTGTTTTTCTTTCTTCCTCTCTCCTGTCTCCCTCTGTCTCTCCGTACCCTTTCTTCTTTCCTTTTCTTCTTCTTGTTGTAGTAAGTAAATGTATGGCTGGACTTGGTTTGGTCCCTCCACTAGAGAATAGTACAGAGACCACACGAGTGCTTGTTTTATTAAATGAAAGTTCTTCTTTTGTACCCTCTCATTCACAACTTGTTAACAAAGATGAATGGATACGATGCTCGTCCATCAGGATGAACCCACGACACAAACTCTGAGCAGGTCATCTTATATATGTTTGAGTTTCTGTTCCGAGTTTTGCCTGCAACCTTATTCTGTATCGGATTCGATTATGGTTAGAAAGTTCGAAGAAGTGTTATATATATTTCTCAATTTCTACGTAACGTGTGTCTCCTCAATCGTAGTAAAAGTGGTTGTTTACTGCTCGTGGACTAGCTAACACATATTGTGTTTTTAAATCACATATAAATTTGTATGTTATTTATTTTCTTAAATTGTCGATTGTACGATCTCGTACTATCATAGCGATCTCGTACTATCATATATATTACTCACTGTCCCACTGCATGAGTTAAATAACCTTGAAGTGAAAGCAATACTACTGACTAGCCGGTTGTTTTTTTTTTTTTTTCTTTCAAAATCCGGTTGGTAATTTTGGTGAGAAAACAGGTGATGATTGGAGCCCCAGCACGCCGCCCAAGCATGCACGAACCATCTTTACCTTATAAAAAACAACAATACAATGTCATTCATCAATTTCTGCTCTGTTCCATCCTATGGCATGTCTCTATTCATATAATATTCTTCTTTCTTCTTCACCATCTAGTTAGCTTTCTTCCCCTCTCTTTGTTAGTTTCTTTTTAAACTTGAAATTTAGGGGTAGTTTGGTTTTGGTGATTGTTTGGTTGAGATAGTTACAATATATGTATTGTCCACAATGCATCGTTTTTCTGAATTTTCTGCACAAACAATATATGCATTGTTTGCTTGATGTGACACAAACTATCACTCAAAATGAGTGATAGTTAAATCTCAAGTTTTTGGTGAGATTGTTGAAACTGTTTGATTGAGATTGTTGTGTGTTTTTTTCTTCCAATTTTGTCTCAACCTTTTTATGTGTCTTGCTTTTTTATATTACAAATAAAGACTAAAAGTGACATTTAACTCAAAAACTAAGATAATTCAATCAAATAACATAATAACTATCATATAAATCAAACGATTCAAACTATAATATACCGATTTTCTATATATAATGCAATGCACCCACCAATGAATATCATCATTATGTTCCATTTTGTCTTTGCCTCACTTAATTAACAGCTGTTTGCTCTCTAATAATTGAAAGCTTACAAGCCTCTAAACACAATAGTAAGAGAAAAGCAAACCCATCAATTTGAACTATATTTGGTTAGACTCCCTTTTGGCTCCGTCTATTGCGAGTAGGGGTGGCTATACGATCCGATCTGGTTAAATTGGACCAAATTGATTCGGTTCTAGTCCGGTCTTTTCGTGAATATAAGGACCAAAGATTGGATTGGATACACTCCGGTCTTGATCCGGTCCGGTCCCAATTTGATTTTGATTTTAGATTGAGCTTGTGGGGATTTGAGTGTTGGGGTCTCTTATCCGGGTTTTTTTATATCTCAAATCTAAGCCCAAATATAAGATTGGATTGTTTGCTATCCGGTCCTAGTCCGGTCCCGGTCCGGGTTATACAGTCTGGTTTCGGGTAAGACCAAACAGTCCTGGACCAAATTGCCAGCCCTAATTGCGAGCTCTTCGTTTAGGAGATAGATGTAATGGAATGGTATACTTTATGTTTGGGCTCTTTTCAATCATTTGAATTATTGAAATTAATTAGTTTATTATATGATATAGTATCCGATTAATAAGTTTTCTTATTTGAATTCTCGTGAGCTCCAATATTAACAGTTAATATAAGCTCATGATATGACGATGACGAGTGTGCAAATTTCAAGTTTATGTGTTGGTTTCGTTGATGGATGTGCAATAAAATGATAAAAGATTCATATTTTAAGTGCTCTTAACGGTTTGAATTATGCAGACTTCAAACCTACTTGTGTTCGCTTTCATTTGATGAAGTATGTAAGGAAATGGTTTACGTGAATCTCTCTTGACTACTAATTAGGGCCATACTATGTTTCATTCAGATAGAAGTTGATGCGAACACTTTATTTGAAACTTTTAAATTGCCTCGAGATTACCATCCTTCATGCTCGGACTACGAGACTTTAATTTAACGAAAGTCCTTGTTTCTAAGCCACCATCGTGATCTTGGATATATATAATATAGTTTTGCATGATGCCTAAAATCTTCTCCCTCAACCCCAAATTAAAGTCGAAAGAGGATTTAGTTGTCAAATCACTCCCTAAAGCATATTTTGTAAAATACTTGGGTTATTATTATGGATCTCATCTCATATTGTATAGCTTTCGCTTGTACGCAAATTTTGTAGAAATGGAATCGAATTGGGACCTTTGCTGCAGAAAAAGAACTAATCGGGACCAACCTTTCTTCTGCATAAAAAAACCCGAAAGAGAGTGTCGTAGATCGGAATTGGGTTGGGTTTGTACTTTGTAATGATTGGATTCCAAATCGTTTATATCATATCTTGCTGTCTAACGTTTTCTAATTTATGGGGGCCCATAATCAATTAATCATCCACCAATAGCTACATACCAAGGCCATACTTTGCACAGCAAAGCATGAGTATGGTTTTGATGAAGAACAATGATAGATAATAATATTACAAAGAGGTGTAGTTCAGAGTTGTGATCTTTACATATATCATCAGAGAATATTACAAATATTGAATTATGGATTTTTATTCAAGAATCAATCCTTTATTTAGCTTCCAACGACTATTTAATTAAGTTTGGTGAAGGCTTTAATATCGATATTGGTATTTGGCCTTACCCCAATTTCCCGCCGAAGAGTAAGCATTCGACAACTTTACATAAGTCGAAAGTCACACACAAGATCCAAAGCTACGATCTTTCGTGCTGCCAATGCTCCCAATTCTACGTTCGAATGTATTCTACACGGCTACACCCTCCGTGCAATGCCTTCCAGAACCCAATACCCAGTGGCGGAGCCACTTGGAGAGGAGGGGGTGCTTTGCACCCCCCTTGGGTTTGGAGAAAAAATTTCCGAGTAGGGGTATATACAAATTTGAACCAATGACCATTCAGTTGCAGGAAGAATTTCTTATCATTTCGATCGAGTGAGTTTTGTTATGTAATGCACTTTCGTCTTTATTTATAGTAATAAATTGTTGTCTTTTGTTTAAATTCGCTCATTTTTTTTTTTGTAGCTCTACAACAGAGAAATTTCTTGTCTTTTGTTTAAACAAAGTTGAAAGTGAAGAATTACCAATTGAAGTTCACTTGTTTGTTTCACAAAATCAATTCCAAGGTACTTCTGAGTTCTAATTTGTAATACTTGATGAATGGAAGTCTTGATTTGTATGTACTGAACTTATTTGTTTGACATTGTAACCGGTGTACGTGAAACTATTTTAATGTAATTGTGTGAATTTAGAGTATTGCGTTGTTGACTTTTTGTTTACTTTAAAGTTGACTTTTCTATTGTATAATTGATTTTTTATGATATCATAAAGACACCCCCTTGGCCAATTTCCTGGCTCCGCCACTGCCAATACCAGGATTGAATGGCAAGCTCGTGATGTATTATGCAGCTTCCCTGAATCGTCCACAGCGAGAGAGTAGATCAATCATACACGCATAGTGTTCAGGTTTCAATGCACTGGGGCTCCTGATCCTTGCTTGGTTGAAATGTGAGCAGCCAGCATCGACAAGACCGGCATGGTTGCAAGCCCACAGAACACCCAAAAGGGTGACATCGTTCGGGTTAAAACCTGATGCCACCATCCTGTCAAAGAACATCAAAGCATCCTTCGCTCTTCCATTCTGTGCAAGCCCACAATTCCACAAATCACAGCGTTCCAAGAGACCACATTTCTGTCAGGAAGCTTGTTAAAGACCAGGAGACTATCCTCCATATCCTCAAATGCCCTTTGAGCTTCGTGTATTGAAGCTAACTTGCCGTAAAAATCTAGCAATGCAGTCCCCACAAAGACTACAGAGTGAAGTCCCATTCTCACAGCACCACAATGGAACCGTCTCCCCAATTCGATGTCCTTGATTGCGATGGACAATGGAATCACAGTGATTGCTTCTGTCTGGCTAACTCCCCAATTAACTTTGTCGCGGTTCTGGCATCTGGTATGGGCAATTGAACAAACAGTTGGTGGGCACTCGACCCTGCAGAGTCTGATTCCAACACCCAGGTGCACGAGTGACGGTTACGAGAAAAAGTTCGAGACTTTCTGGTGAAAAGGAGCGACGGAGCCAATCTGCATAAAGCCATTCCAAGTTTCGAAAATGTGCAGACGGCGATCACCTAGTCCTTCGTCGCCGGCTCCATGTTTTGTTTCAGTTTGGACTTTGGACAGATATTGAACTGTCTAAAATTGTGGCAAGGCTGACCCAAATCGAAGCGAAAAGGAAAATGGGCCAAAAGCCCGGAAAGTGAGTCTCCCGCTCTCAAAATGATTATATCAGCAACGGAGCAGATGGTTTTCCAGCTTCCTTCAATAGAAGACATGAATTTTCTGAGACTCCACAACCGTTGCTACCAGCCTCGAATTACCCATATCGACCAACTTCCCCATCATCGTCACCTCTCTGCAACAATCCAGTTCCCCTCGACGCAAAGATCGAGCCTTATCAGTTCTTCGACCATTTCGTCACTCTCTCTGTCTAAACCCACCTTCAAGTTTTCGAGAATCCCAAGAATCAATGCCTCGGTTGTGGAGGGGAAAGGGGAAGAGCGCCATGAAGAAGGGTTATCCAATAATGGAACGGAGATGGATTACTTGGCACCTGATGGGAATGTCTACCTCAATACGCTGAGACTGGTGGAATGCTCTATGTTTGCTGCTGTCACTGGCCTCGTCTACTTTCTGAGCAATTCCCTCTCAATTGAGGTCGCTTCTCGATTCCTCTACTTCAGTTACCAACTGGGTTCTTCTCTTTCTTCGACAATTACCTACTGGATTCTCGTTGGTTACGAGTTCTGTGCTTCTTTGTTCTCTGTGTGGTCATTTATTAGTCTTGGATACTTGTCTTTTCTACAAGTTATAAATTATGATGCTGGTGTGTCAGTGAAGAAAAATCACTTGGAATGAGCTGCATAAGGTTTCCTGATGATATGGTTATGAATTTTTGCAGAATTACTTTGGATGCTTCTTTTCGTTGCCAATTGTAATATCTTCACTTAGATGGGGTGTCGCAGCAGGCAGAAAAACCATGGTTGGTGCTTTCTTTATTGTTGAAAATTTATGTAACACCATATTTAGAAGAAATGTGGATTGAGCTGGATCAGTTTTGTATTGGCAGGTAGCAACTGCTATGCTCTTGTTTGTACTGTCTGGTCCTGTTAAGGCATTAACCTATCTGGTGAGTTAGCATCTTCAACACTCCTAAATCATACATATGCCTTATTTTTTGGAGTATGCATATCAAGCAAGTTATTTAACCGAATATCAACTGATTCAGTTCGAGCTGTTATTGGATAGAATGAGACAAAGTAGTAAAAAGGATTGCTCTATTGTTATGTGTCTATGATTCAGTGGCTGCTGTTTATCATGGGGTCATTGAATTGCTGAACAAGAGGGCACGATTGTTTTGGAGAATTCAATGACGTGTTTGATCAGCAGCTCGTCATTTTCTTACGTGTTTGATCTTTTCAACAGCTGACTCATGGCATAATTGGTTTGACAATGGGCTCCTTGTGGAGGTATGTGATTCTAATTTTTGAGTAGTGGCTTTACTGCCTTCATGTGCCTTTCCAAGGCTAAGAAAAGATGCTCTGTAGCCTTGTTTGTTCCTGAATTATACTATTCACTTCTTGTTTCTAAAGTTGTGTGTGTGTATATTTTTAAGCTGTTGATGTGTTAGTACAATTAGTGTAGGCAGCTCCTAACACTTCATTCGAACAAGCTTGCTACTGTTCAGCAGAAAGCATGAAGGAGAAGTTTGTTGTATCAGATTGTTACAATAACTCTGGATTTAGTTGTTGCCATCTTTCAGGTTACAAGCAAACTGGACAGTTTCAATATTCTTGTGCACTATAGTAGGGTTTGCTTCCTTTAAGCCTCCTTCACTCTGTGCCCAATTTTCTTGCTATACCTCTCAACAGAACATGTCTTAACTATTGCAGGCTCGGGCAACTGGCGCCATGGGGTATGTCTTTACGTCCTCGTTCTTAATACGAGAAAACATACTTGCTCTGGTGATTGGTTTAACCCTTCTTCAATATCTGTAATAGTTCCTGGGCTCACTTTGCTTGTTTGACAGTCCTGATTTTCTTTTGATTTCCATATTTGTAGATTACAGTAAACATCCACGCTTCTCTGAGTTATGTGTTTGCTGCCACTGGCATTAATACCATTCCATCGATGAACTTCATATACACATTGTTTGGAATTCTTGTGAGTTTCTGGCTCAGCCCATTTCTTTTGTACTAGAAACTTCCTCTCGCAGACCCTTTCGAATGCTTGCTTCTTACTTATGAACAATTTCCCTCCAGGTGTTGATAAATAGCGGATTCTTTGTGTTCCTACTGCACCTCTTGTATTCCGTGTTTCTAACTCGCCTTGGAATGAGGACTTTGTTGAGATTGCCGACATGGCTTGACAAGGGCCTGTGAGCAATTGGCCTCTGCAGTTGTTATCAGCATCACATATTACAACCATGAATTGGCATGTAAGACTGCAAAAGTATGATGTAGCTGCAATTATCTCACACTGTAGGTAGATAGTTCTCCTTTTTCCCCTTTAAAGAGGCACATCACAATTCACAAGTACCTAGTTCGTTGTTGTAGAAGAAACTCATGGAAGGAAGCAATCGACCTCCCTTTGTAAAATCTGCTGATATCATATGTTGATAACTCTTGTAAATGCCTCATCTTTCACATAATCCGTTGTGTTCTCTTACATGCATCCCCTCTGTTTTGAGTTACTTCCACTACCGATTGCAACGACTAACCATCTACGAGCCTAACTGCCCCAAAAGGGTGCTTTTAAGGAGGCCACTTACAACTGAAATCACATTGACGGGGTAACAGAAAACGGAAGCAGAAGAGCTGATGAACTGCCAGAAAAACAGTTATACTGCTTTAGAAATGAAAGCCTAGAAAAGAAGCAATATTTGAGATGATCTCAGTTCCATATGCCTCAAAAGTAACCTAAACAAACCCAACTACGAGGATTCAATAGCATCTCGTCCCCCTACACTGTTAAGGAGAACGGTTATGCATTTTAAACCGCTTACAAAACCCTGTGTCATTTAATCAGACAAAAAATCCTGAAACACATTTCCCATGGTTGCTGTCTTGCTTCCTCCCTCAACTCCATTAAGTTGATACATCTGCATCATCAAAAGCTATAATTCTGCTGCCCAGAGTTTCTTGCACTATTTTGAACCACCCTGAAAAAAATGTAATGCATTTGGTTGTTAAAGATAGTTGCAGATACAGAAACGCACTAGGTCTGCATTGAAATGAAGGATGGAGGGACATACAACGTCCGAAACTGGATGTTTCAAGCTTCCTTTCTCGTTATCCTGTCCACGAGCACCAGAGTCGAGTTAATATAACATATCCAATCAATTCAGCACATGCACAGCCATAGATATAACAGATTCTCACCTGAAGCAGTTGATCCCTAAGGCAGTGGTAATTTCATAAATGACTGAAGTAGCAAAGTGCAGATAGAGACCCACTGCATAATGAACCAGCATACAATTGGTCAGAACATATAGAGGGGAACTGCTAAAAATGAGTGCAATCATATAGAACTGCTTCAGTATGTTTGTCAACAAGGGTTTACAAGGATATCCAACTGATGATTAAACACAAACCTGTGAATGAACAGTAACCCAGAAGAACCCACAACTCATCCACCAAGGGAACTCTGAAATGGAGAGTCAACACAAGTGTCACTAGGCGGAACTTCAAGGGCAAGTCAAGTGAAATAATATGAAATTTGGACATACCCATCGTTCAGTTTTGCTGTGAGCGCATTGGCAATGGCTAAGGGTAGATACAGCAAGGACTGCAAAATTTTTGCAGATAATTTAAACAATAAAATGTCACAAGATTCAGAACTGCTAGGTGTTACTGAAATAAGTTATATACATACCATGCACATGTTGGTTTTCAATCCCTTGGGTTCATCACACAAGTGAGCAAGAACCATTCTCCCCTGTCAAAACAAGCCTTTACTCAGCACCGGTGAAAAGCTGAATATTCTTATCCAGTGGTTTCGTAAAAAGTAGACATCTTACCACAAGAAATCCAAATGCTACTCCAGTTCCCAGAACCACTAGGTGAGGATAATTTCCCATTATATCTGATGGAGACAAATAATCCCTGCATCAAGGCATGAGATGAAATATAAGATTCTTTACAAAAATAAAAGAACCAACTATACACAATGAGAACAGCACAAGTTCAGCATACCAAACTAGGACTCCTCCCATCAGCACGAAGAAGGGGTAAAGCTGTCATTAATAAGAAAACGTAAGACATCTATAGCCCATTTCAACGAAATGCTAGGAGAAAGGAAATCCTCAAGGATGTTATAGAGTTACCATTGCTAATGCCAGTGGCATGCTGCTCTTTCTAGCCTGAACAACTTTGTGAACATTTAACACACTGCCACAGCACAACATACAAGATTAACATGACAGCTGAAAGCACAATATTATCGAGTTGAACTAAATATACAACAAGAACCATTTGTCAACGCACAGTTAACCAAGTGATGTCCACAAGAGAATGAAATAACCATTCCCATTTTAAAATCCAGAATGCTTACTTGAAGATAAGTGTAGGAATCACAGCAAAAGCTATCATTAAGTAAAGCACTGCCTTGAAAGTTGGAATTTCTGCATTGACAAAATTCAGGGGAAAGAAAACATGATAATTGATCAAAAATGAAACCGGCTAAGTAAAACTAATCTTCCCAGAAAGAAAGCAAACAAGTTTCTCCTTCAGTATATAAACTATGGCAAATAAATACGGGTCTAGGAGTTAAAGTTGTGCACTTACCACTAATGAATGGTACCCAGCTCACAATAGGCAAAGACTTCCCAAAATCTTGAATCCACCACTCAGCACCTTCAATCGAAAGCAATCAAGTTACTACTATATAGATACATTAAAGAAATAACGAAGCAAGAGAAAATAACTAGAGATAGGAAAACCAGAGGCAGCTTAAGTAGAGAAAATCGTACCAACTAAAGCAGTGTAAAAATGAGCGACGTATATGAGCATCAGACCCTCCGTAGGCCCATTAATTGCCGGAAGAAGGAGGGTATTGGTGAAAAAGCTGGATCGAAGATACAAAACAAATCTCATAAAAATCAGCATTCTGAGAGATCCTAGCATCAGGGTCTTGCTCAAAGCATATGTTTAGCTTGCTTACTGTTCCCATGTTGCCAAATAAAATGGAATAGCAGAGATGACCCAGAACCAGAATGTGTATCTTCCACACATTGCAGTGCTACCAAAAGCCATGGCTTCAAACTGGATGACGTGAGAAAAAGGTTAAAAGAAGTTTCAAGCTATATTATTAAAGAATCGAAGTTGACCAACACTCACTGCACAACCAAGGGCATCACATCCTGCAGTTCATTACAAAAAAACGCAAGCAAAGTCAGGAAAAATAACACGAGGGGAATGGCAACGACATGTGAGAAAGGAAAATCACCGTGGTCAAACAGTTCCCCCAATGGACTGGAAGAATTTGTTCTTCTTGCTTGCTTTCCATCAACAGCATCAAATGTCTATTAAGTTCACGAAGAGTTGGGAGAACATTTCAGTAATTCACCCACCAAAATGAACCAGCAAAAAGATCATACGAATGCATTACAATTAGGACCAAAGTCAAACCTGATACAAAAACAGCAATAATCCATGTGCAAAGTGAACCCATCTTGGTGGAGCTGTATCCAAATGGGGTGAATATATCTGAAGCACAAAAATTATCAGAAAATGGCAGAGAAGACACAGATTACAACTTTCCCAATAAAATGCTAGCAAAACAATCGTCACTCACATAACCAAGCAATGCCGAAGTAACCAAGAACATGAATCCTGTCAGTGTTATCTGAAAAAGGAAGAGTGCAACCACTTAGATGTCGGGGAGTATAACATAGTCAGCACCATCGAAATCTTTGAGTTATAACCTTGTGTTTGGAGTAAGGATAATCTTACCATGTTTGGTCTAGTAGAGATTCAGAACCAAACAGAAGTCCAGAAGAGGGGGGAAAAGAAGAAACAGAGTTAGAGATGATTGAGGAATAATCATAACACATCATAAAGCGAAATCTGCGTGAAAAGTCTAAGTATGAAGCTAGAGGGGCCACTACCACCATGACACAGCTGAATTTTTGCTAATACCCTTTACAGTGGACAATTAAGCTACCAAGCAAACTCAAATCAGAAATATGAAAAGGAAACCAACTTACGGCATCCAGAGAGGGAAGAAGGTAACGCATCGTGTCCAGAAGGGCTGCAAGACATATTTGGCAAGCAAGGAGTTATCGACTCCGCTGTACTTGTGTCTATGAAGAGCTGCAACTCCATGGGACCCTATGTACCCCATTCCTCTCTACCGTCAAACAAGCAAACACCCGCAAACAATCTCTCAGAACCAGACCCAGGAACCCTCTCACGGTGTAATCTGCGACAAGCCAGGAAACAAACAGGATAAGCAGCGTCAGGCCGTAAAGATACTAACTTTCTCACTCCCTACGCAGCCAAAACACAACACATCGCAAAACCCCAAATCCGAGAAAGCGAAGAGAAACGGGCTCTAGCTTACCAGATCTTGAAAGGGGGGAAAATGGCAGTGAGGGGGGAGACTTTCTTTCCTCTTTTGCCTTTTTACCGTTCAGCAATCAGAGAGATTGGGAAGGGTGGATGAAGATAGAAATGAAGATTCCGAGATTTTGCGATTAAACAATGGAAAATTAGCGATAATTAATTGAAGAAAGATATTTCTTTTGGGGTGAAGCAAAGCAAAATCTTGTCTCCCCGCCGTGAACTATGGAAAAAAGAAGAGAACGGCGCCTCTATATAATTCCCGGCGACCCGGCTGCTCTTCTTCCTTTTCAACGAAGGAAGGAAAATAATAAAAGTATCGTGTGATGATATCGGACACGGTCCGACCACTGGTAAGGCATTGTCAGTTCGTCACTGGGCCACTTGTGGGTCAACATTCGGACGAAGATTGACCACATCCACATTAAATAACCCAACTAGATCAATTGTAAAGGGCATTATAGTATTCGACTAACCTGGACTCTCGGCCCGACGAGGCGAGATTAGATTCGGATGTTCAACTTGTCGCCGGCGAGACGCGCGGTGGAGAAAGGCGGGTTTTAGTTCTTCTATGAGGGCCGGCGCCGGGGAGTTAAGAAGAAGAGTGGGAGCCGTGTCGCCGTCAATCTTCACAGATTCAGAGTCGGGGGTTTTACCAGGGATGGCAATGATCGGGTTGGGGCGGGTTTTGTCAAACCCAAACCCATGGGTTTATTTGCCAAAAAAATCCGGGGTAAAACCCGTTGGGTTTGAAAAACTCAAACCCAACTAGCTATGTATTCGCGAGTTCATGGGTACCCGTGTGTTTTTGTGGTAAAAAATTTACAATAACAAGTTTCTTTCAAAATCAAAGTTTAACATCAATTTTCTCATACAAAAACACCAATCTAAAGCATACAAGCAAACCGCAAATGATCAATACAAATTGTTCCAAATTAAAAATAAACATCTATAAACAATAAGATTAATTGAAAGTTTCTTCCTCGTCAACTAAGTTTCTTCACTCTCCACTTCATAATATCAACTTCATTCTAAACAATTAGAAAGAACAAATTATACATGTCTCCACAAACATAAAGAATATTAGTTATTTGAGGAAGATATATTATTTAGAATATTAAATATACCGGAAAAGTAATTATATGTGTGTGAGCGGGTATCCATGGGGCGGGTTTACCTAAACTCAAATCCAACCCGACCTAGTAAATAATGTAGCGGGTTTAAACCCAAACCCGGCCCAAAACCCGTCAACACGGATTTTACCCGTATTGACCGGGTTGGGTCGGGTGTGTACCCGTGGGTTCGGGTTTTGTTGCCATCCCTAGTTTTACTGTTTGCGAATTGGGGGATTTGGGAACCTAATTATTGTCTTTTCGACGAAATTAAATAGGGTGAATAACCTTTTACATCCCCATACTATGAAGTCTTGACAAGCAAGCCCATGCGGAAGGAACATTGACAACTAGGGTAAATATAGTGTTTGTAATCTGTATTTACTGAATTATTGGATAACCAAAAACGAACATGTGGTTTATAATGAAAGTCCAAGTGTTAAGGGGATAGTACCAAAAAATCAAGAATGAACATGTAATTTCAATTTGATTATAATTTTTCTGTATTCCGAGAATTATGGACATAAACTATAATCGACAATCTTGAAAAGAATAATTGAGCACGATCGATTCGAAATAAGCATGCCAATGGTTGAAGTTAAACATCATCATGGACTAGAGAACCAAAACTCGTACGAATGAAAGAGAAAAAAGGGGGAGATGCTTGACATTTGGGAGATGATTTTGAAGCAAATTAATATTGTCCAATTATGAACGTCAAAGAAATTTACAAAATTGTGGTGATAATAATAAATGTTATCATAACTTCCCGCGCACATCAAAACTATCAACTCCCATGTTCATTCGACATCGATGTACCTTTGTAGAGGTTGAAAGAAAAAACAATTTTCCTTCAAAAAAAGTCAAAATACCGGTGAACTTAGAAGTTAGAACCAAAGTGTCATACCCTTTGAGAAGAATCTAACAAAAGAATACACTTTCAACAATCATTAGTGTTTTAATATTTACTTGGACAATGACAAGTGTAAAATCATAACTCATAAGCTTCACCGTCACTACTTATTTATTAATGGAAGGAATAACAGACTTTTTAACTAACTTTCTTCCTAATTTGTGTTATTCTCCTTTATGCAATGCACTGTAATATTCGCAAGGCATTGGGCATATGCTCAAAAATATGTACATGAGTTTGATGCTTTTGCCTCTCCTTCACAATAAAGTTGCTTTTGTGTTGGACCGTCCATTTTCATTGGAGAAATAGAAAAACAAAAACAAGTGCAACTCTTACTTATTTTTATCGACATTAGATTCGTGAAAAATTAAAATTCGGCAGTTACCCTGTTCGCATCGATGAAAGGTTGAAAATGTATCCCAATTCACTATCGTTCAAATTTCTACTTACATCTTTGCGTAGTTTTTTTTTCATTTTGATAATTTAGAAAACGTAATAATGACACTAATTCGAAACTCAAATCTGATTGACAACATATGTTTGACAAATGTGAAATAATCTACTGAAAGATCAGTGAATCACAGAGATCAAGTGGCACCTCAGCAGATGAGTGGAGTAGAAGTCCAAGAAAACAGGACACAACAATGGCTGGTGGGAGTTTCATCATCAGCCTATGCAACTTGACAAAGTTTTATTAGATTCCAACCTTTTCCCCAGTCGACGCCATACAAACAGTACTTAATAATTTAATTCCTTGGTGTCAAATAATTTCAATATCTGGAATCATGAACTCAATGGATTTATGGTGTTCTTCATTAGGCCATATACAATTTACATTGTACAAGTTTAGTTGGTAACAATGCGACCAACAAAGGACTGAACAGCAGACCCAATCCACAAACCCCCTTCTCCTCCCTCTGTTTCCAAAACTTCACTAACTGAATTCAAAGCATCTCCACCACCTCCATCCAACACCTTCACCACTTCACCATCTTCACTCAGCTTCACACCCACAGGATCCATCATCTTCTTCTTCTGCCCCATTTTCCAAAACCAGCTACCATAAGAAGAAGAAGAAGAAGATTCTGATTCTGGTGAATTGGAAACAATCCTGCCTCTGCCAGAGTTGAGTGCCACCCAAAAATCCCCACTAGGGTTCCTCTTTACATTGTCAGGAAACCTCCCAAGCTGAGCAAACAACTCTGGCACCAGTGGGGAGCTGCTGCTCATCAGCTGATCATGATCATCGTCATGGCGAAGAAGGAGTAATGGGAACTTGAGGATCCTCATAGTGCTTGATTCTGCCACCAGAAGGAAGGATCCGTCCTTGCTTAGTGCCACACCATTTGGAAATGCCAGCCCTTCTGATAAAACTTCAAGTTTTTTCGAGCGTGGATCGTATCTCAATAGTCTTCCCGTCCTGTCTGAAGTTATGATCGATAGTATCCAGTCCCTGCGATGTAACGGAAAACGATATCAGATTTACATCGTTGGAGGGTATTTCTCAATAACTCGAGTTATCGGGTTTTTTCAGCTCGTTTTTAACATGGTTTTACCATCTTTGGAAGTAAAGGCTTGTGTCAGTGAAGTACACAATCCCAGTGGTGGAGTCGATGTCCAAAGCATTTAAGAACCTGAAAGGGATTCCTTGAGGGGAAGAGGAAACCAAAACCTTAGCCACACCGCCCTGTGGGCCAACTGCAAGTAGCCCAAAGTAGGCATCTGCTATGTAGAGCTCACAGGTTAATGGGTTGAATTTCAGGCCCAGTGGTCTCCCACAATTGGGCTCCAGCTTTGGGTTTGTTGACCCATCACAAGCCTTCCTGTCCCTGTTCCAACTTTCAACCATATCAAGCTTATAAATGAGCCTGTTGTTGCCTTATAGGTTGACTAAAAAATTAAGTAGGGTGGATCAACTATCAACAACCATATCATAATAATAAATGACAATTTTTTTTCTGTCTCATTATAATTATTGGTTCTAGTGATTTGACACAAATAATTTCATCATGTCCACTATTTCCTTTTAATAATCACAAAATTAATTTATTCTACGCTATTAGTATTCGATAAATTGCATTGCACATAGTGTTCAATGTTAAGATAGGATTTCATATCTCTATGTACATCAAAAGTCAAAGTTGATGTTAATTCATCTCCCTTTTCAGTTCTATCATTTTAAACCATTTGTGAAAAAACAATATGAGAGATACAAATCAGTATATCGATCAGACACACACCAATACATATGTATGTTACACACCCTTGACCCTAGTATGTGATTTGCATTGAATCGTCAAACTTTATATTGAATTTCTCTCCCTATTTTAGTTCCAATAATGGTAGAGATAAATGCTAAAACTAAGAAGGGGACTATAAAAAAAAAAAAAAAACTAAGAAGGGGAAAGATACAGAAAGAAGCTTTAATTGCATGGAAGTTCCCAAGTCTTAAATGAAGAATGATTATAAGAATGGGCAATCTGATGATATGATTGGGATTGGGCTCACTTGCCTGTTATGGGATGGTATGGCAAATTCCACCCACTTCCCCCCAAGTTGAGCAGCAGCAGCAGAAGAAGAATGCCATTTGAGGATCCTGCCATCAGAGACACCAACATAAGGTCCTCCTCCATTGCAGTCAAATGCAATGCTCTCTGGCCCTTCCACTCCTTCTGGTAGCTCTACTTTCTGCAAACTCTTCAACCCATCTTCCACTATCATGCTGCCACTACCACAGACAACTGATGAACCCAACAGAAAGACTGCAACTACAAGGCTGACATGTTTCCAGCAATGACTTGGCTGTGTAATTGCAGTAGTCACCATGGTTGATCGAGCGAGCTCTGAGAGAAACAGAGAGATGGAGAGTTAGGAAGAATGGAAACTCCCTTGAGAAGTTAGAACTAGCTAGGTGGTACAGGTACCTATTTATAACAGATTGGAAAGGGTTAATGTTCTTTTTGAATAATGGAATTCTGCAGTCAGTGGGGATGAATCATGATAAAGAGTACTGCAATAAATACATACTGCTGGCTGGTTGGCCATTTTGAATGTTGATTAATGGAGAGGACACTTTCAATGTTCTTCTTAATTAGCTAGTGAATGTGTTTGGTGGTGGGCATTTAATTATAATTGGGGGGAGAGAGAGTGGCGGGAAACCAGCTGCCAACTGCCAACTTCTTCACTGAACTCAACAGTCAGAAGTTGCATGTTCTGGTTGCCAGTATGGAAAGTCATGTGTTGGTAGTTGCTAGTCATGATGCTAGTTTTCAGTTATGAAAGAAGAGCACACTCATCCTACCAAAAGTCTATAAGCTGAACTAGTATCTGCTGACTGAATATGCATGGCATATCTGCTGGACTGAAATGAGGAAGCAAAATTGTCCAATGGTAATAAATTCAGCTACATTTAGTGAAGAAGCTAATATGTACAAACCATGCCACCTCCCTGCCTAAACATTTGGTTTGAACTCTATCTTGCGAAGTACTATGGTGTATGGCTATTAGAGCTAGGGTTTGCAATTTACCCACCCATGAGTACTATTTTTGCCCAAACCCAATTATATCCATTTATATGGGTTGGGTATGGATTTATTCTATATGGATTTGGATAATGTTTGGGTAGGTGGAGTTGAGTTTGGATTTTATTTTTGGGTATGGATTGGGCTTGGGTACCCATCTCCTTTGACCTGCCTGTATATGTTTTTTTCATTAGGCGTTAAAATGTAAAGCAAAATTTTTAATGTACTAAAATAAAATTTTCCACATATGATGTTGGATCTATTTGTATCTTCTTAAAAACTTAAGGTACTAAAATGTAACTTTGGCTATCAGCGACCATCGCTCTTCGTCGGCTGCTTCGACGGTGCCGAACGCCGGTGTCGAACGCTTCCGACTGACAGGCGAGGAGCTGCTCGTCATCAGTTTGCCCGTCACCAATGCGGTGGTGCTCTTCGTCTTCAGCGTCACCTGCTCGTCGTCGTTCTGCATCGACATCGATATGTACACCGGAACCCCGAAGAATTCGAGCAGCGAGACCTTCCCCGCCGCGGTAAGGTTCTTGAATCTGGGCAGGAAGGCCTTGAGTGGGTCGTCGCCGTCGTCGTCGTCCGGCCGTTCATCGATCTAGGATCTAGGATCTGGGCTGGGCATCGAACCATCTGCCTCGTCGTCATCGCGTCACAAGGTCCAAGAAGTTGAAGAGGAGAACTCGTCAGTGAAACAGATGACGATGATGCAGATCAAGCCGGAGTAAGATATGGGAAGCGGCGGCGACGAGTACTGGAATTGGTATGTCGACATGGATAATTTGGTTTCTTCCGCGGATCTCAACATTTCGTGGGATGATTCAGAGAATAAACCGTGTGATTAAGGCTCTCTCTCTCCCTTCTTCTGATTAAATTGATTAATTATAAGTTAACTAATTAAGCTTAGTTTTAGCTGGGGAGAGGGATGGATCATGGAACGGAAGTGTGTAAAGATGATGATTAGTTTCGTTCTTTAGAATGGGTGGGTGAGTTTGTTTTTAAAATTTCTGGTTTTTTTTTTGTGGGGATTTTAACAGTTTGGAAGAAGAAGAAGAAGAAAAAGGGGTTGCGGAAGATCAGTGGGATATCTCTGGGAAATAAGGAAAATGCCATTCTCCAACATATTGAATTTGATTTAAGAAACGCTTGAAAACGGTTTATAGAAAATGGATAAGCAACCAACCAGTGTTCATCAACAATATCACAACAAAATGGGGGATATACAACCATGTCACTCACGTCACTGACAACCAACAACATACATAATACCTAAGATTACCAGTTTGTGATTCAGAAAAGTGCAACATCTTTCATAGAAAACAACTGCCCTAATAATAACTTAGATAGATGACTTCAGATACAAACTCCCAGATTCTTTCTCAGTCATCATATTCCATAACTTGTTCATCATCAGACCACTGCTTCTCAGAAGACCATACCATACGACTAGAAGACACACTAGACTGTCCATGATTACTACTCTCATGATTCATAGATAGACTATCATCATTAATTTCTGAAGTCATATTTCCCTAGAAAAACCAAGCAAACAACAAGCAATCATTCAAACATTCACATTCAGATATGCTTCAGTTCAAAATGAGAACAGAAAACATTAAGGAGAAGAAAGACTGTAAAGAAAATATCACAAATGTAGTCATAGTCATCAGAGTCAATGATCAAGTTAAAACCAGCAACCTACAAGTTCTTAATCACAAAGCTCAACTTCCAGTTAAAACAAGCAACCTCATTGCGAGAGATTCTATAAGATCCAAAACACGTCAGAATTAAAACCAGCTCAACTTCCAGTTAAAACAAGCCACCCATTGCGAGAGATTCTATAAGCTCAACTTCCAGTTAAAACAAGCCACCTCATTGCGAGAGATTCTATAAGCTCAACTTCCAGTTAAAACAAGCAACCTCATTGCGAGAGATTCTATAAGCTCAACTTCCAGTTAAAACCAACAACCTTATCTGGTATTCAATTATGCAAGGCACTTCCCCTGCATTCTTTTTATCAAACGTAAATAAAAAATTTCCCTGAAACTCATGACGTAAACCAACAAGCAATCCCAGTTTACAGCATCTGAAATTCATGTTCCTCTGTTTAGTAAGACCCAGTTCACTTAGTGGAAGATGAAGCATACCTGAAGCTGGTTGGTCTCGGGTCGATTGGAGACAAAAACACCTAAGACGTCTGGCGCTTGCCGGAGTGGGTTTCTGGTTGTCTATATCAATACGCCGGGTCGATTGGAGAAGAGAACAATCAAGATGTCGGGCGCTTGCCGGAATGGGTTTCTGGTTGGCTTCTCGATTGTATTGATGAGGCGGAGCAGGCAAAAGGGCGGGGCTTCAATCTCCCGGCGGAATCTGAAATGTGGCGCGGCGCTTCCGTGTCCGATTCGTGATGCAAGAGAGGCCAGCTTCAGGTCCGCTCTCCGATCGCCATCTCCGATTCCTGAGTTTTGGTCATCAACATTGTCGCCGCCGGCGGAGGGTTGAGGGAAACGACAATGTCGATTTCCGAGTGAGTGAGACCTGGGAAATAGGAACGATGATGACTGACGAGTGAGTGAGGCAGAGGATTTTTTCATTTTCATTTTTTATTTTTTTATTATTTGGGTTTGGATTTTGAAACCCAAATCCATGGGTAAAACCCAAGTGGATCCAACATTATGGGTATGGGTGTTGACCCATTAGACTTTACCCATTTAAAGTTGACTTGGATTTCAGACCAGACCCACATGGGTTGGATATTTAAAACCCAATGGGCATGGGTAATTCTGCCATCCCTAATTAGACCTCTGGCCTCTCAGCTCTCATCCGATATATAATTTTTTTCTCTGGTTGAATCAACTGATAACAGTAAGAGGGCATTGGTGAAATATATTCTTAGGTCGCGCTCGCTGTTTCTGTCGTCTTGCTTGTACACTTATTTGGTCTTCTTAGGGCTGAAATTCTGACCCTTAAAACCCGACGACCCGTCCCGTCCCGAAGGGTCGGGCCGGGTCAATCTGCATAGAGGGACAAGTTCGGGACGGGTCTTCCCCTTGACCCTATAAGGGACGGGTCAAACTACACTCAGACCCTAAAAAACCCACCTGACCCTATGACCCGGAAAACAGACCCGTAGAAATTAAAGAAATTAAAGAATACACTTCTCCTTCTTCATTTTTCTCGCCTCGGTTCTCACTTCTTATCGACTGAAAGAAAACCTACACCCTAAAATCTCAATCGATTCTTGACGACTTCCATCCGGGCGTCCAGCCCAATCGTCGCGCTTCCTCGTCGACGGCGCGGTTGGAGAATCCCTTCACCGCTTCACGATACCTCTTCTCCATTCTTCTCATCGACTGAAAGGGAAACCTACAGCCTAAAATCTCCACCGATTCTCGGCGACTTCCATCCGGGCGTCCAGCCTAGTTGTCGTGCTTCCTCATCGGCGGCGCGGTTGGAGAATCCCTTCACGATACCTCGTCGCCACCAGGACCTTGGAGAAGAAGTTGTTGGTCGAAAATCTGCATCAATTATAGGTATGTTTCTTCGGTTTCCTTCTTTCATTGTCTCTGTTTCAGCCCCAAGATTGGTGGTCTCTCGCTACTCTTACTGCTTTGATTTTTGAGGATTTGCTCATATATGTGTGGTCTGAATTTGGTATTTTGGTTACCCATATATGTATGTGGTCTGGGTTTGGTCTTCTGGGTGTTTTCGTTGTTGAAAAGTGTACTCATTTTAGCTCTAGAGTCTAGAAGTTAAACAAGTTTAGCAAGCTGGTTACATAGGCAGGCTAGTTTTTCCTTTCAAAAGTCATGTAAAGTTTACCTGGACAAACCAGGTCGTCAGCTATGGTCAATTTGGGTTGTGGGTATTGATGTTAGCCTGTTAACCATTACCGTCCTCATGGTTTTGTGAGTTTCTTTCTGTAAGATCTGATAGCTAATAGTAGGTATGCTTAATTATATATGATGATAAACCAATATGAAATCATTGGATGGTGAAAGTAGAAGTGACGGTTTTGTTTGGAGGGGAGGAAGATAACATAGAACAGTCCAGGAATCTATCTTCTTATCTTCCATTGTTCCTCTGTTCCTCTGTTCCTCTTGCTTTGTTTCTTGTCTTCCACAGAGTGATTCTTATCTACCCCTTGCGTCACTCTTTTGTCGATGCTTGCAAGTGCAATGAGGTGACAAAGTTTCATTATAGAGTTTGTGATTTCTATTGGTTGAGTCGATGCAATGATTCAGATTTATGATTTGCCCATTTCTGTAAGATCTGATAGCTAATAGTAGATATGCTTAATTATTGTTGGCAGTGTTTGGAGAACTAGTAATTGCAAGAGAAGGTGATCTTCTTAATTATTGTTGGTAGTCTACCGTCTAGTCAATCTGTGCCTGAAGAATCTGTTGATGAACTGAAGAAGAAAATTCAGTCACAGGTAATTCAAATCACAGCGGATAATCGAAGTACTTTTACAGTCATAGTAGTAAACCGTACAAGAGTTGTTTAAATCAATTGAATAGTCTCTTATGTGATTGGTGTGTCAAAGTTTGATTGTTCTGAACAAAGGTTTCTTGTGCAGCTTAGTCTATATGAACATTGAACTGAACTAACAAATTAGAAATGATGAAAAGAGCATATGAACTAAGCTATATGCTGTCTCTCTTTTGCTGTAACATACAAAGCTCATAAAGTTTGGATCTTGTAATTACACCACTGATGTTTTTTTCATAAACCTAATTAGTTCAACTCGATTCCTCCTATCCTGAATACCAATTAAGGACTTAGGCTTCTTCTTTTGATTATTTTGGCCGTTTTTGTTTTGGGTTCCAAATGACATGTATATATATATTATAGATTGTTGTTTGCTTTGATTCTTTAACATGGTTATAATAATATATCATCTTCACTTGGTATTAATTATTTGATTCATTAAAATGGCATGATATGGATGAAGCTAGCAGTAATCTCATGGAGGTCTCCACCAATGCACCTTCTCAAGGAAATCTTCCGTTAGTTGATGAAAATGAAGAAGGTACATTCGGAACTTCAGCTGTATGGGAGCATTATAATATTCAAAATTGGTCGGATAAGGAAACTAGAAAAGCTGTTTGCAAATATTGTTCATCAAAGTTAAAATGTCCATTTACTTTTGGAACAAGTTGGAGTATGTTTGTTTTGCGCTTGATGAGGTTTATGGGATAGAACATGGGGGAATTTGGACTAAAGATGAGTTGTTTGAGAGTGTGAAGGGATTTTTGGAGGATATGTTTAATGACTATTCGGAAATGAGAGGGGTTACTTGTGAAAGCTCATCAAGAAGTGTGGGGAGTGCAACACCAAATGAGAATGATGAATCTGAAAGTGTGGAAGATTATTTGAAGAAAGTTCAAGATAAAGAGAATGGAAGATAGGGTGGGAGAAACTACACTTTCAGAGCTTGAGAGGTACTTAAAGGCGAATCTTGAGGATGATGAGGACATAACTTTTAACATTTTAGCATGGTGGAAGAAGCATTCTAGTGAGTATCCAATATTGAGCTTGATGGCTAGAGATGTGTTGGCGATTCCAGTATCCACTGTTGCATCTGAGTCTGCTTTCAGTACCGGGGGGCGCGTTTTAGATGCATTTCGGAGTTCTTTGACTCCCTTGGTTGTTGAAATTTTAATTTGTGGTCAAAATTGGCTTCGATCGAGTACTCTTCCAATCGACATGGAAGAGAATTTTGAATAAATCGAAGAACTTGAAAAAGGTATGAAAAGTAATTTGTTTTTAAGATTCACTATTTTATTTAGATCATTATTAATTTATTTGATGTGTTGTTAATTTTGCAGAGTTGAAAGAGTCTTGCTTGGATGATTGCACTATCATGAGTGATTTAGTTGATAATGATTGAAGAATTGTGTATTGTGTAATCATGATATGATGTCATTGATGATTATCTAACAATGATGTATTGTGTGATCATGAGTATGATGTACTTGATTATTATCGAACAATGATGTCATTGATGATTATCTAACAATTGATGTCATTTCATCCTTTCATCAACCACATATATTATGGGAGTTTGGTAAATAATTTGGTAAATAAATAATTTTCTGGAATTAATTGGGTAAATAAATAATTTCCTGAAATTATTTTAGCAATTGATTAATTTTCTGGAATTAATTGGGTAAATAAATAATTTTATGGAATTATTTTGACAATTGATTAATATTTTGGAATTATGTTGGTGATTGATTAAAGTTTTGGAATTATTTTGGTGATTAATTAATTTTTTGGAATTAATTTGATGAATAGATAATTTTATGAACAGAAATTCGTAAATAAAATGATTTTTTGAAATTAATTTCGTAATTGATTAATTTTATGAAATAATTTCATAAATAAATAAATAAATTAATTAATTAATTTTCTAGAATTAATTTGATAAATAAATGATTTTATGGAATAAATTGGGTAAATAACTAATTTTCTGGAATTATTTTGACAAGTGATTAATATTTATGAATTATTTTGGTGATTGATTAAATTTTTGGAATTATTTTGGTGATTAATTAATTTTTTTAAATTAATTTGATGAATAAATAATTTTCTGAACTGAAATTCGTAAATAAAATAATTTTTGAAATTAATTTGTAATTGATTAATTTTTTGAAATAATTTCTTAAATAAATTATTTTATGAATTAATTAATTAATTTTCTGTTTTTTATAATTTGGTATTTAATTTTGTGTTGGAGAGGGTCGACCCGCTGACCTGGCCTGTCCCGACCCTAAAGGGTCAGACAGGGTCAAGACTCAAGAAGAGAACAGGGACGGGACGGGTCGATTATGCAAGCTGACTCTTTAGGGACGGGACAGAAAGAGACAGGTACGGGATAGACAAATTTTTAGCCATACGTCTTCTTTTCAGAGTTTTCTTCTCATTTTTACGCGACAACTTGATGTGCCCAACCAACTGATGGTGACGGATGAAGAACGGTTATGTTGTTTGTGCAGAGTTTGGAATTTTTGCTAAAACCTTGAGTTAGACTGGCACAATGTAATTTTTTTACCCAACCTACTTTGGAGCTGATGCTGACCAATCTGAAGCATCTAATTGTTGCACAAAGTTATTTATACCTATCTAATTCCGGTCCAACGCACTTTAAATCCTTAGATCTTTAAGTTTGAACAAGATATGATAAATATTAGGATAGCAAAGTTCCAATTATTATTATCCTTGTACTATAACTCCACCAATCCTTTGACTTGATTATGACCCAATACAATATACATTGAAAATTATCTTGATTTTTATCAGTAATCAATATTTATAAGATTTCATGACTATAATGTATATATACAAATATGGGGTAATTAGCATAAATGGTCACAAACCTTTGCACTTAGTACAAAACAGTCACAAACCTTTAATTTGTAACTATTTGATAACAAAACTTTTTACTTAGAACAAAACGGTCACAAATTAAACAGTGTGACCATTTCATACCAGTTCGAACTTTTGTTACCGTGTCGTTGCAAATTAGACTTTTGGTGACCGTTTTGTACAAATTAAGTTCAAAAGTTTGAACGATCAATCACCGTTACAATTCGCTCTAGTTGTATGGTGGTTTTGTTAATGTATGTGAATGATATGATCGTCATAAAGGATGACAATGAAAGAACTCAATGGCTCACAAACGGGTTCCAAACTGCTTTTTAGTTGAAAAAACTCTGTCTACTTTCTTGGTATCGAAATTGAAAGGTCAACTGAGGGCATTCTTATTCGGCAAAGCAAATATGTCGATGAACACATGACCTGACATCTTATATGTCGTTCAAGTGGTTAGTGTCATATACTTAACGAACAAACTACCCTACCTTAAAACATGACAAACATTTAATTTGTAACGATTCGGTAACAAACCTTTGCACTTAAAACAAAACGGTCACAAATTAAATAGCGGTGACCATTTTATATAATTTCAAAGTTTTGTTACCATATTGTTACAAATTAAAGGTTTGTGACTGTTTTGTACTAAGTGCAAAGGTTTGTTACCATTTATGCTAATTACCCTACAAATATGAGACATGGTTCAATCATAGACTAAAATATCAAATAAACTTTAAATAAGCCGTCAATAACTATCTTCCACTAACATAAACAATGCCTATTCATAAATACATTCAATTCTTACTCGCTCAAAGCCTATGCAGTCAAAAGATAACATATCATTAAACAAAACTTATCTCATCCTCGAAATACTTAATATTATGATTGGAGAGTATTTCACTATTTCTCATTGAACCTTGGAAAGAATGATAATGCTGACTAGTTTGCTAGTACATTAAAAACCGGTAACTGGAATGAGAAATGTCTAATGTTAATTTACCTCGCCATCATGATCACACTTTAATGGTGTCGTTGGCGGAGATCATAGTTTCTCGTCTTGGGAACACATACGATCGACTTGTCTGCCATATCATTGGGGGGTACGTAGTCAGGATCTTCTAAACTGGCAACTTCTTCTAGTAACTCATCTTCAATCCACGACGACCAATCCACATCGCTGTCTTCTTCCCATGAATGCTCCTTGTTTCTTTGCAAGGAGTTGACCATCTCTACCAATGATGCGATCATTTTATGATTTAATGCTTCATAGTCCCTGCAAATATCATGAATCGTTAGGTCAAATTTGAAAATGCAACTATATGGGTGTATCACAGCTCCTGTATGAGACTTCCCCTTGACAAACCTGTATGTGTAAATGGCGTGTAGAAGCTGAAGAATAGCTAACAACGCATACAACAACCTCATCAGATTGATTATCCAAGTTTGTTGCACGATATCACCTGGTGTGAGTCGAATGATTGCCACTTCCATGATGAAAGTGATGCATAGACCTGCAATAGAAGAAACCATTCATGTATGATGTTCTAGTCCTTTTACAGAAGTAAAATATAAAGAGCTGCAGGACACAAAATAACCATACCAATATAGAGGTTAGCCCTAACAGGATATGTCTGCTTCGTGCTCGTGAGCATGTAGATGATGAAAGTCGACATAACATAGATGAAGAAAGCTTTGATTGCTCGTGATTCGAGCAGCATAGCGTTATGCAGATCAAACAATTTGTCGAGAGCAACGAACATGCTTGCTTGCTTCATCTCAAAAGCTTCCTGTCAAAACAAGAAATTTTGCTTCAAGTTCAGTTGTAATTAAGGAAATTTTAGATTGATGGTTTGTTGAAGAAAATCAAACCTGTGCTGCCAATATAGACTGTGAATTCTCAACCAAGTGATCATGAACTTGGTGAAGTTGCTCCTGCCTATGAAGAAGCTCTTCCTGCTGTTTACGACTCAGATCAACCAAATGCTGCGCAGCATTCCTACTTTCTTCTAGTGCTGCGGATTGGGATTCGGTAAGGATCTGAAGCCCTTTGAGTGCAGTGGATTGTCCATCTAAAAGCTCTTGTTGCTTGCTCAACGAACTTCCTGCCATGTTCTCGATGTCATCGGCTTTGCTCTGTAGAGTCTGAAACTTGGATGACATCGCTTCTCCTACACTGTCAACCTGCTTCACAATCTCTATAGCCTCATTCCTCAGGTTGCCTACTTCCTCGCCCAAACTATTGTAAGCATCATGAAGCATCGTGACTCCCTCCTTCAGGTCCTCATTCATTCTTTCTTGTTCTGCTCGCAGCTCTGATTGTGACTCTGCAATTTCCTCCGATCGTCTGTAAACAGCTTCCGAGTGTTTTGACAATGTGTCCATCTGATTCTCCACACCCTTTGTTGTTTGGATGACATGCTGAACTTGGAGATCCACTGAACTCAACGAATCATGAATCTGGTTCGAGCTTTTTAGTAGAGAGGACGTTGTATCTTTTATTACGTCCAATCTCTGCTCTGTACACTGCGCTGAACTTGTTAATTCATTAATCAACCTCTCAGTTTCACGGTTGAAGGCGTGTGCCCTGCAAACCATAAAACAACAGCAACGAGTCCGATTTCAGTTCTGGGTTCATAAATTTGCAACAGGTCATCAATGAACAGAGTCGTGCATGCAGAACAGAAGATTGACATATTCCACAGTACTCAACTGTAACTGATAGCAGATGGAATTGGTTTCCAGCAAGAACTCGAGATAGATTTTCTGTTCATGGTCATCCAACTTCTTCAAGCAATGAATCATGGCTGAATCCTCGCCACAGTGAGGGAAAGGTCCCCTCCCAGAGTCCTTCTGAAAGCAATCGCTGAGGTGCCAGGCGAATCTAGAGCGTTTCTCGTCATTGGCAATAATTTGGGTGCACCCAGCAAAGATGTGTTGGTAAGCGTTCTGCCAGCAAGTATTCGAACCAACCAATTTACTCCTTGCCCTTTCAACCAGTTCCATTGATTTGGCATTTGCAGGACCATCCATGGAGAACTCGGCCACTGTCACTCCTCCTCCTCCATCCTCAGCGGCAGAAGCCGAAGAGGACGAAGAAGAGAACCATCCCCATGACTGGCAATTTGGAGAAAATGACACTAAAACTAGGAAGAATAGCATAAGATTGTAATTGATCATGTTTTTAGTCTCAACTTTAATTAGGACTCTTTCGATTTTTCCCCTTAAATTATTGATCGACGGAACCTGCAGATAGAAGAACCCAGTTGCAGAGTCAATCTGTTAGGAAAATGGAAGAAGACAAACGATAAATGTAAACAGAAACTGGATCGATTCTCCCTAAGTTCTCTGCAACTCTTATGTGCGCACCTCTTTATAATAATACAGCGGGGACGGAATAGGAAACTTGGCTTGCAAGTTAAGCTTCTGGATTTTCGTCAATGGCGGTGGTTTTATATTATTATATATTGGCCGGCAGCGGCCGGCAAACGGCAATGCAGTTTCCCGCTGAAGGGTCGGGGCGCTTCGAATTCTTCTTTTCTTTCCCCTTTTAGTTTTTTTCTGTTTCTGAACGGAAGGACACGCTTGACAATTTGACATCACCACGGCGTGTCGTTTGCTATCCTTTTGCTTTCTGTGATCGACGCTGGTGGAAATGATAATTCTACGATGAACTTCCTGCAAATGCGAGATAAGAGAAGAGAGAGTCGGATAGAGAACTGGAATGCTGGAAAAAATCTCTTTCAAAATGTTAAATAGCGTGCAAAAAACGTATTTAGAACTCAAGGTAGATTGACTCTGTAAAAGTGGACACATAATAACTTGCTGATGTATTGAAACGTCTGCAAGAATTACCATTTACTAGGGACGGAAGCGCGGGAACTTGGAAAACTGCTGTTTCAGCCGCAACCAGAATTGGACATGGAAGTTAACAACTCTTTAGCTTCTGGGTTCAACGAATCTCCGCATAAGAACAAGTGAACTTTCCCACTCAGTACGATCCAGCTGCATACTGGAACCTTGTCAACACCCTTCATAGCCATATCCCGCCTCAGCTTATATTCCTTCAGGTGGTGATCGTTTGATGCGTACAAGTTGCAGAGGTGGGACATGAGCAGCTGCATTCATTGGGTCGGCTTCAAGGACTAGCTTACCTGACCGTTCGGCAATTCCAAGACTCGTCTTGTCTGGCCTGCACACACTGAGCATTTCTCCCAAGATAGCAGGGTGTCTATGGAATGGTAGTCCTGAGATAAAATTCTCTGCTTCTTCAAGTTTTCCTGCTCGGCCAAGTATGTTGACGATGGAGATGCAATGTTCCAAACCTGGTTGGATTCCATGAACTTCAGTCATCAGAGTGAATAACTCCAACCCTTTGTCAAGCAAGCTGGCATGACTACATGCCGATAGGACAGCCAAAAAGGTGAGGGCGTTGGGGCGTGTTCTTGATTCCGCCATGGCTTCGAAAACCTGTAAGGCTTCACTGACCAGACCATGATGAGCGAACCCCATAATCATAGAATTCCAAGAGATCTCGTCGCGTGAAGTCATCCGTGAGAAAATTTCATAGACATCACGGAGCTCCCCACATTTTGCATACATGTAGACCACAGAATTCTCAAGGATCAAATCAAAGCCAGGTTGTCTTGATAATCATCCCATGCAGCGATCTTCCATGATCAAGATATGTCATTGCACCAGCAGCGCCGAAAAGAACGGTGTATGTGGTACTTAGAGGAATAACACCGCAAGTCCTCATTTTCGAAAAGAAATGCATAGCTTCATCAAAGAGCTCATTTTGTATATGCCCTGTGATCATTGTTGTCCACGCAATTGCATCCTTGAAAGGCATGTCGTGAAATAGATGGCAAGCCTGCAACACGAGTCCAACACTGAAGTAACCGCTAATGATTGAAGTCCACGTGATCGTGTCACGGGAAGGTGCTGCATCGAATAAAATTCGAGCCTTCTCTAAGTCTCCAGCCCTAACATAGCCATTAATCAAGCAATTGCAAGACTGAAGAACACAGTTGTCGGAGAAGTTGTCGGATAAGTATTGTGCAGAGGGCATGGTACCAAATGAAGAGTACATGTAAATAAGGCTCTTAGCTATTCTGCCATCATAATCATCAAATTGCATTGCATGAACAAGCATCTGAGCATGAACCTGCCTGCCAAGTTCAGAAAATATTAAGCCAGCACAGGCATAAGCAAGGGAAATCAAGGTCTCACTGTTTGGTGTTATATCAGAGCTCCTATTCATATCCAGGAAAAGCAACAACGCTTCTGCATAGAAACCATTCCATGTGAACCCACTAATCATGGATGTCCAAGAAATAACATTTTGGACATGGATTCTGTGAAACATATTATATCCCTCAGCCAATTCAACCCTGCAATAACCAGAGACCATACTAGTCCAAGTCGACACATTTGGATCAGGCATTATATCAAACAGGGTCCTCGCCTCATCCATTCGACTACTATCTGTGTAACCTGCAATCATGGTATTCCAAGAAACCACATTTTTAACAGGCGTCTTGTCAAAAACCAACCTTGCATGCTCCAAATCCCCATTCCTAATCAACCCAACAACCATGGCATTCCATGAAACCACGTTCTTCTCAGGCATATTCACGAACAGCAACTTGGCCTCACCTATTCTTCCTGCATCAGCCAACCCTGAAAGCATCGATGTCCAAGAAATAACATTCCTTTCAGGCATCTCCCGAAACAGTGACATCGCCTCCTTCAATCTCCCGCACTGGACATAACCGGACAACATTGCGTTGTAAGTAACAACATTCCTCTCCGCTGGCATGATATCGAACAGCAAACGAGCTTCATCCACGAATCCACTCCTGGAATACTTGGCAACCAGAGAAGTGTAATAAACCGTACGGCTGCGGGAGGTTCCCCCTGGGAGCATTTCGTCGAGCAGGTTGCGTGCGTCATATATCCTGTGCTTGGAGAGGCAGCGAAGCAGTTGGTAACCTCTGGTTGTGAAAGCCGGATACCGGCTAGTGGATAATACAGGTTGAGAGCCGAAGAATCGAAGAAGACTGACATTGACGCCAACAGCAATCGAGATTCTCGAAGCAGCGAATTTCAAGCTTTTCAAACAAAACCCTAGCATGTAGCACCCAGAACCGTTGGAAAATTGTAGAGAAACTGCTAACAACTGTCCGTTTACAGTTTCAGGTTGAAATATCTCTTAATCTCCTGAAAGCGGCAATTGATTTAGCTGGAGGACAACGATGGCGACGCCAAGGCCCAGCTTCTGAATTCCAGTCTGGCTCACTTTCGTCCTCGTTGCTGCTCGTCATCCACCAACGGATGCAGAGAATTGAATGAGGAAGCGCCATTGCCAAACCATATTAGAGCTTTACGAGACAAGATGACTGCAGGCCGCACCGTAGGGTTTTCCCATGCGCCCTTTCAAGCGGGAAAACTTTACCGGCGGGCAAATATGAAAGTGAAACTCCAAATAAATAGAAATGAAATACAATAGTTATAGAACCTCGCAAACGAGTATAAATAAAATCTCGAAGAAAGAAAAATGTGAATGGACATTTTAGAAACTGAGATGACTCAACCTTTATGCATTAACGAACTTTGCGATTTGAATTCCAATTTAATCAAAGTACAGATAGTAACCAAGAGAATAACAAGGTCGCAAGAAAAATGCACAATTGTGCACTTCACACAAGAGAGAAACGAACTACCTGAGTACAAAATCCGCAAAGAAGCTACCTATCAGACACTGTATCAGATTCTCTACAATGTCCCGAATCAATGGAAGAAATCTACAAATCTCTTGCAAGTTACAAACTGAAGATCTGTACAAAGAATTGCTATATACGATACAACCGATACCTTTCTAGGTGCCGATACAGAAATCGACATGCATAATATGACCTCAGGACAACAAAATTTGTTCAGTCCCAGCCATCTGCAAGCAGCAGCCTGCACTTCTGAATACTCCTAAAAGAATGAGTCTGAGCTATGCCAAAAGTTATTTACATGCAAATGACAAGTCCTCAGTGACTCCTCATCTGTGTTTGTGACTTGTACTGACAAGATTACATAAGGAAGTCACTATGAACTATTTGCGGCCTCTACTCCGGCTCTTCTAGGGTATAACAGATTACATAATGCAATTACAAGGGGCGTCATGTACAAATATGGACCTTGCAGCAATAAAAGCTGACTCACAGGGCAAAATACAGATCAAAGATGCTATCAAAAGAGGCCACTTACATGCCAAGGACCAAATTTACACATTTTGAGAGAGACAATGGTGATTTACATAAATAAATAAAAACGACACCAGGTCGTCATGAGCCAATGACAATTGTGGCTTCTTTCGAAACCTTTGCAAAAACAAACTACTACCAAGGGAGGAATCCAGTGAAGACAGCCATCTAACACATCTTCCTCCAAGCAACCATTACAGTTGAATTCAATCATTGAAAAAATAGGAGTAGTCCACTGCACTCCCTGGATTGATAATAAAAGAAAACCCCCAAGTCAATGGACAATTAAAGAAGCTGAATATTCAAGCCACAAGACACGTGCCAAATTGCAAGAAAGAGCACAACTAAAATTCCTGAAAGCTACGCCATTCAACAGATACCTAGCCATTTCCTGACAACGACATCCTGTGGCGATCAATATCACACTTACATGACACTAATCATGCTATCAAAATCAACTGGTTCAGCCACCAAGCGGAAGAAATAACTAACAAACATTGAAATGAATCTGCGATCCAAAAGTAACAGCACACTTCAACCAAACTCATAGGTTTGAAGTAAGAACCATTATGATAGTAGAGCCACATGTTGTTCTAATTCTATAGGTGTTGAATGGTTCGACACAGTCTTTTCTAAACCACCAGACACCTCAAGCAGACTGACAAGAGTAATATAACATACTCCAAAAACATTCGCCAAGACAAGAACAGGAAATAATCAAGAGTCTCATCTCAGAAACCTCCACATAGAAAATTTTCAATTAAGAGCCACGCATGCGAGAACATCACATATGATATACTGCTTTCAGAGAGCAAAAGAGAAAATGCATACAGTTGGGTATGTTTGAATCAATAACAACTAACACGGAAAATGGAAATCACATGAGAGACTTTGCAACTATGTGAAAGAAGAAAAGCAAAAACTAGAACTAACCACACAGGCAAGTAGCAACGATTTACCAAACTAAAATACAAAATGAAGAAGCACCAAAGCACAAGCTCAAACTTTTACTTTTTTGTAATTTCAATAGAAAACTAAAGGAATTATTTGGTTCCCAAATCATGCAAAGCACTGATGGAATCGGTTGGAGTAGATAGGTGTGTGAGCATACCCTGGACAGAGTTATTGACTTATAGCATGCAAGTAAAACGAGTAAATCAGTAACACTTGATGAAGAAAGCTAACGGTAATTCATTCCCACTAAATGGTTAGTGAAACAAGAAACAGGTAGCCAATATGAAGGTAACAGGCTCAGTCTATCTATAATTCTGAACCTTCACTAAACAATTAAAAGAACACAGGATTCCAGAAAAACACGACAAATTTAGATCAAGTTCACGAACCGACAGACAGATTATCCAGAATAAACATAAGTTCAATGAATTCATCAACAGTGGGATGCTCTAATCCAGCCTTACAAGCATAACCATCCGTATGCAAGCAAGAGAAGTTTTTTAGCACACAAATACTAGGATTCATCTAATGATGTTCAGTAAATCCAGTAAGAAAGAAACGAGAGAATTAAGGCACTCTCTCATCCTTATGATAGAACTTACTTCTTCCCCCAAGAGGTCATTTTCTGCAGTTTAGGTCAAAGTAGAAACTGCAAAGGCTGCTGTTCTGGTTTCGCGACACAAGAGGACAGAAAATAAGTCCACATGTAAAGGCATAGTCAAATTGTATCACTCTGATGGCTGACGTCTCCTCTTTCCATAATCTGCATCACGTGACCTTGACCTGTGATCTTCTTCAGGCACTGCCCGTGACCTGCTCTGATGCCTAGAAGAAGCCTTGTTCCTATCCCAGTCATCATCATAACCTGAGTCGCGTTCTCTCTTTCGGTGATCTCTATAGCCATCCTTTTCCTCCTTGTGACGGGGCTCCCGATGATCCCTTTCAGATCTGTCCCAGTCCTGCTCCCTCTCCTCACGGTGCCTCCTATCAGACGTCCCCGACCAGTCACGACCAGAAGGTCTCTCTTTCTCCCGAGAGGCAGCACTTGAGCGTCCATTCTTTTCATGACTTGCCTCTCCATAACCATAGTCAGAGGCACCATCTTCAGCACCATAACTTGATTCTCTAGTCTTTCTTCCATGCTCTTCTCCCCATCCACCCATGCCGGTCTCAGACCACATTCCCATGCCTGGCACTTCCATTCCTGAAGTACCCATCATCCCCATAGCATTAGGAGCCATACCACGACCAAAGAATGCTGGGTTGACATGAGGAGCTACCCCTGCAAGTCCCATCGTGTTGACAGAGGGAAATTGAGGAAGCATGCCTGGAAAGCCAGGAGCTCCTCCAAATCCTCCATAGCCAGCCCCTCTACCCATGTATGTTGGATCAAATCCAGCTCCCATCATTGCCTGTGGAGGCATCATTCCAGCACCAGGACCACCGAATGCAGGACCACCTAGACCCGGTCCATAGCCTCCCCCATTCATGCCGCCTCCCACACCAACAGCACCTCCCATCATACTCTTAACACCCATGCCTCCTCTTCCCCTAATTGGTCCTCCAACTCCAGGAGCTTTATTGAGAACACCTGGTGCACCACGGCCCCACCCACCCCTTCCGAAGTTTCTCCCACCATCTCCAACTGGATAATTATTCACTGTGGCACCCCTCCCAGCAACATCATTCATAGGCCTTCTTGCCTGTGCCTGTGCCTGTGCCGGAGGCTGATTCTGGCTTTTGTTCATGTAAGAAGACGCCATTTGCTTTATTGTTTGAGGAGAAGCAAAAGCCACAACGCAAGCTCGGCTATTAAACATAAACCCATTCATTCCCTCTTTGCAAGCAGCTGCAGCAGCTGACTCGTAAAATTCAACTTGGCAATAACCCTTAGATTTACCACTAGCTCTTTCGTCATAGAACTTGATCTCCTTGACTCTTCCGTATTGAGAACAAACACTCTCAAGTTCTGCATCAGTTGTCCACCAATGCAATTCTCCAACAAACAGCATAGTTGCACCATTATCAATAGGAGCCCTGATCTGATTTTCATTGGTGATATTGGCACCCACACGTATGCTCATTTGATTAGCTGGCATCTGCGGAACACTTGTGAGACTACCTGCTCCAGTACTTGGCATAGGCGATGGCTCAATGGGAACTTTTCTAGTCATACCAGAAGGGTCAACAGCAGTATTTGATGATATTGATGATTCTCCTTGAAATCCCACATTTCGAACTTGAGTATCATTTGGCATCTCCATGGCCTTTCCTTTTAGTGAAACAGATCCATCTGGGTAGCCAGCTGATCCTTTCTCTGGTCCCTTGACTATGGAAGGACCCTCCTTTGTCTCTTGGAAATGTGTTGTAGAATTAGTGTACTTCCCTTCAGCAGCAACTCCAGGATTGTGAACCCCTTGTGAACCAGCGCCACCAGCCGCTTCAACTCTGGAATCAGTAGCACTCTGAGTTGGGAACCCCCCATTGCTCACATTAGCAGGTGGGGCTGGTGGATCAGATCGATGCATTTGTAGGAAATTCTCACCAACATTCACATCATTATAAAGATCATCATACTCATCATCTTCACCCATCTCTTCCTCAGCAAGAGCAGGAATAGTACCACTTCCCTGAAATTGCAACTTCTGAGGCCCTCCGTATTCTTCATCCTCAAAATCAATTCGCTCATCAGCCATAAGGTCCAGACGCTTCTAAAATACAAGAGAATAGAGGCGAAGATTAAAACTTCAGTGACACAATTGTAAAACAACAAGTACGAATCCAAAATTCGAAGGAAAAACAGCATCATTCACACATTGAAAGCTCATAATTCACCCTAAACCCATTTCCTTCGGATAGAAATGACCAAATTCTATTTTCCTAATGGCAGAGACGCATATAAGCTTGTCACTGTGTAAAACCCCATACCAAAGCAAGATAAAGGAGACCAACAGATGGAGATACTTCAACCGGAATCCTACTCTTGTAAGAGCTTAGATTTAAGTTACAGGCTCGAGGAAACTCAATTGAAACTCTATTAATTTCATTACCAAGAGCAATCTTCGAATGGAAAGAAGAGAACCAAGAGAGCGAGTCCCCCAACCACCTAGACTCAGAGCGAGCTCGAAACCGTAGCAGATCGCTGAATTGATTCAAAGCCCACTCCAGCGAGAAGTCCCGAACATTTAACACTGATTCAGACATGAGATTGAAACGAAGCATTAGAATATAGAGTTATCCCACTGGTCGGAAATTCGCCGGCGACAGAAGAGAGAAGATTACCGATTTGAAAGACGGAGGCTAGAAATTAGGTATTCCAGTTGCAGATTGAAGTTGAGAAATGGAATGGCATCCGATTGGTTCCCGCGAGAGTGACGAATGACGATGAGGCGGGCACGCATGGCTTTGTCGTCTGCTGGCGTCTCCACGGACAAAACCGACGGCTCGAGCATAGATCCGTACAGAAATTAAAATTGCGAAGAAAGAAGAGACCAGAGAAGGACAATTCGGTAAAAGCGGACAAAAACCACGCGTGTAAGTGGAGATGGCAATGGGTCGGGTTGGGCCAAAGTCAAACCCATGGGTTTATCCGTGAAAAAAATCTGGGGTAAAACTCACTGGGTTTGAAAAACTCAAACCCAACCTGCTGGGTATCCGCGGGTTCATGGGTACCCAAGGGTTTTTGTCGTAAAAAATTTACAATAACAAGTTCCTATCAAAATTAAAGTCAAATATCAATCTCTTAATACTAATTATCCATATTTAAAACACCATTCTAGAAAATTCAAGCAAATCACAAATTAACTATATACAAATTGTTCAACACCAATCTAGAAAACTCAAAAAAATTAAAGCAAATCACAAATTATCCTTAAATAACATGATTAATTGAAAGCTTCTTCCTTTCAATTAAGTTTCTTTACTCTCCACTCAATAACATCAACTTCATTCTACACAATTAGAAACAAAAAATTAGACATGTCTCCACAAAAATAAATAAGATTAGTTGTTTAGAATATTAAATATACCGAGAAATTAATCATATGGGTGTGGACGGGTACCCATGGGTCGGATTTAACTAAACCCAAACCCAACCTGGTGAATAGTGAACGAGTTTAAACCCAAACCCGTCAGCACGGATTTTACCCGCGTTGACCAGGTTGGGTCGGGTGGGTACCCGTGAGTTCGAGTTTTGTTGACATCCCTACGTGTAAGTTGTTTGTGTTGTAAATAATTATCCGATGATGGGAATAAGCAACACTATTAACATGAAATATAAGAGAAGGAGTAACACCGCTTTTATTTCATACTCTCGTATCCCTATTACAGAGGATTGTAGACACATAGATACATGAAGAAGTGAGGGAGAAGAGAAGCTTGTTGGTGTGTCTTTCCTTCTTCCATATCATGAGAAGTTTGGCTCTTTCAACCAATGATTCTTTGTCAGAACACATAAAACTATCATTGGAAGATATTCTAGGTAATTCATCTGTCTTCCTCAAATTATAATAAAAATATGGAATTTGAGATCATTCGTATTTCTCCTATCTCGTAGAAACTTCATTGAGATAGTTATTCCATATATATAGATGCTCATTCAATTTGTTTGAGGGGAGGATACAATATACTTGAATAATGTTCTCCACAATCTCAACATGTTTGCTTCAAGCAAACTAACTCCTTCAGAGAGTTCCATATGAATTTCGTCATTAAACATGCTCTAGTATCAACCTTCATTAGACGCATATATAACTTTTATGTACTTCCAAAAACCATATCCACCATATGGAAGTTTTCCTAAATCAATGCCAATTATTTTGCGAAGACCTTTATGACAAGTCGAGCATGATATCTCTTAATTTCTCCCCCTTTGTCATGTCTTCGTAAAACATCATATGAGTTTTACTGGCATTGCTTCTGTATAGCTCTTATGACCTTTTACTGTTTATCATCCTCTCTCCATCTTCAATTTCGCAAGCCAACAATGCTATTTCGGTACCAGAAATATTGTGAGGATTGGTACTCTTCAATATTGGGAGGATCGATACATCAATCAACACTAGAGTCTGATCGTGGATGCCCCCCTCCACCCAGGTGTATCAATGTCAATTTCAATGGAGCAAACAAGCACCGACTAACATCGCACAATGGGCAAGCTGCTCGATGATATCGACATGATCAACCCTGGTGGCAATAGACCAGCAAACAAACCTCTCAAACCCAAAGAACTTACTTGGTAAACCATGGTCACACCACACATTGCTGAATCCTTGTGCCATTCACCTGTTGTGAGTACAAACATCTACCCATTACAACCGACATGGGAAAAACTAGAATGTGCTGAACCAGTGAACAAAAGGCTACTACATCCCGTAAGCTAGCAAATGGACATGGGGAAAAATGGTGTCCATAGGCCATAGCATAACTGTTCAGTCCCAGGCTCCCCAGCCATCTGCAATGAACAGCATGCACTAGTCTCATTCTCCTAAAACCTAAACTATCCGAAAAAACCATTTACATGCAAACGGCAAGACTGGAAGCAAAACTTCAGAAACCCTTCCCTCGTCTGCGGCTGTGACTCGTAGTAGTGACCCAGTACAGTGACCATAGGCCGTCTGTAAGAACAATAATTTGTTGCCCCAACACTAGCTCTTCTAAGAACAGATTACATAGGGAAATTACAAGGGCATTCATCATCTACAAACATGGTCCTTGCAGCAATACAAGCTGACGGTCAGGGCAAAAACATAGAGGCGGCCACTTACACGCCAAGGACCCAGTTACAAATTTTGAAACAGGCAATGGTGATTTACAACAACAACAACAACAACAACAATAACAACAGCAAAAACAGACATCAGGTCATTATGAGCTAAAACAAGGCGCTCACATCCCTTCAACATTTCGCAGCTTCAAGCATTCTTGTAGGAGCATCGTACACAAATTTAAACCAAAAAAGGGAGAAAAACAAGGACAATAGAGGCTTCTTTTGCAACCTTGGCAGACCAAAACCATAAAGGGAGGAACCCAGTGAAGGCAGCTCATCTAACACATCTTCCCCCGTGCAACCATTACAGTTGCATTCAATCATTGAAAAAACACGAGGTGTCCATCCTACTCCCTGGATTGATAATAAAAGAAACTCACAAGTCAATAGACAATAAAAAGAAGTTGAGTTTTAAAGACAAGCACCATAAACCCACAACTTCATACCCTAACAGCAAAGTGATCCAACAGTCAACTAACCATTTCCCGATAATGACATCCTACCAGCAACATACTTCCATGACATTACAGACTTGCGTGACACAAAACAAGCTCTCAAAATCAACCGGTTCGGTCATCAAGGCTGGAAATAACCAACCAATATTGCAATGAAAGCTGGGATCTAGAAAGTGAGCCAGAAGATCACTTGGGGGGAAAAAACTCCAAGGCTGGGGGTCAGGTTTCAATGCGAAACACTATGATGCAGTTCAAAATTCTACAGACTTGGAATAGCTTAGTACTGTCTAAACCTTCCAGACACCAGTAGAAGACTGGCAAGACTAAGTTAGGATACTCTTGTTTTCTTTTTTTTACAGTTGCTAAGATAACATGCTTCAAAAAAGAAACTATCAGCCAAAACAAGAAAAGTGAGGAAGCAACCAAGGGTGTCATGTCTTGGGAACCTCCTTTACGAACTTTCAATTAGGCTTCACATTTATGGACATCACAAATGGTGCACCACTTTCAAGAGTTTCTAATATTTGGCTCAGCAACTAGTCATATGGAAGTTTGAATTTGCTACTATGTCAACAGAAGAAGAAGAAATAACTCTTAAACAGCCAAGTGAGCAGATAAATCAAATAATTAACATGTTAACGGACACAAAAAGAAGCAACACAAGACAAATCAAAGTTAAACCTCTACCGAGAAGCTAAGGGATTAATTCAATTTCCAAATCCACACGAGGTGCTAATGGACCAAATTGGAGCAGGCACAGATGTTAGCATACCCCAATGAAACTTTCTTCGTTTATAGCAAGCAAACCAAACAAGTACACAGTAAACTTGATGGAGAAAGCTACCCCACTATTCATTTCCACTAAATGGCCAATGAAACGAGAAAGAAGTAGCATTTTGAAGGTTAAAGGCCCTAATCTAGCTTTCCTAATGAACCTTCACCTAACAATTAAACAACAGTAGATAGATGGTCAAAAAGTCATTGCAGTTACACGATCTAATAGCAATTGAAGCTTCACTTAACCAAAATAACAATAAAGATCAGTCTCCTGGTGGCTACAAAAAATAAGATGAGACAGTTCTAGATCAAGTTCACCAACCAACAACCAGACTATCCAATACGAATATAAGTTCAATGAGGTGTTCAACTGTGGGATACTTGAGTGCAGCCCCACGAGCATAGCAATGTAAGTCTCAGAGTAAGAGTCACTCTGTTTTCTAACACAAACACTAGGGTTCATCTAATAAAATTCAGTAAAATGCAGAAAGAAAAAGGAGGTACTGAGGCACTCTCTCATCTTTACGAGTAGAACTTACTTCTTTCCTCAAGAGGTCACTTTCTACAGCTTCTGGTCAATGTAGATAACTGCAAAGGCTGTTGTGGCGGTTAGCGACCCAAGAGGATAGAAAATCAAGTCCAAATGCAAAGGTGTGTCACTCTGAGGGCAAACGTCTCCTCTTGCCATACTCAGCATCCCGTGACCTTGACCTGTGATCTTCTTCGGGCGCACGTGACCTGCTCTGATGCCTAGAAGAAGACTTGCCCCTGTCCCAGTCATCATCATAACCTGAGTCACGTTCTCTCTTTCGGTGATCTCTATAGCTATCTTTTTCCTCCCTGTGACGTGGCTCCCGATGATCCCTTTCCTGCTCCCTCTCATCACGGTGCCTCCGATCTGATGTCCCCGACCAGTCACGACCAGAAGGTCTCTCTTTCTCCCGAGGGGCAGCACCTGAACGTCCATTCTTTTCATGACTTGCCTCTCCATAACCGTAGTCAGAGGCACCATCTTCAGCACCATAACTTGATTCTCTAGTCTTTCTTCCCAGCTCTTCTCCCCATCCACCCATGCCGGTCTCAGACCACATTCCCATGCCTGGTCCTTCCATTCCTGAGGTACCACCCATCATCCCCATAGCATTAGGAGCCATACCACGACCAAAGAATGCTGGGTTGACATGAGGAGCCACCCCTGCAAGTCCCATTGTGTTAACAGATGGAAATTGAGGAAGCATGCCCGGAAAGCCAGGACCTCCTCCAAATCCTCCATAGCCAGCCCCTCTACCCATGTATGTTGGATCGAATCCAGCTCCCATCATTGCCTGTGGAGGCATCATTCCAGCACCAGGACCACCAAATGCAGGACCACCAAGGCCCGGTCCATAGCCTCCCCCATTCATGCCGCCTCCAACACCAGCACCACCTCCCATCATACTCTTAGCACCCATGCCTCCTCTTCCCCTAATTGGACCTCCAACCCCAGGAGCTTTGTTGAGAACACCTGGTGCACCACATCCCCACCCACCCCTTCCGAAGTTTCTCCCACCATCTCCAACTGGATAATTATTCATAGCACCGCCCCTTCCAGCACCATCATTCATAGGCCTCCTTGCCTGTGTCTGTGCCTGAGGCTGATTGTCATTCTTGTTCATGTAAGAAGCTGCCATTTGCTTCATTGTTTGTGGAGAAGCAAAGGCCACAACACATGCTCGGCCATTGAACATAAATCCGTGCATTCCCTCTTTGCAAGCAGCAGCAGAGACTGCCTCATAAAATTCAACTTGGCAGTAACCCTTTGACTTACCACTAGCTCTTTCGTCATAGAACTTAATCTCCTTGACTCTTCCATACTGAGAACAAACACTTTCAAGCTCTGCATCAGTTGTCCACCAATGCAATTCTCCAACAAACAGCATAGTTGCACCATTGTCTACAGGAGGCCTGATCTGATTTCCACTTATGATATTGGTATCCATGTTCATGTTCATAGGATTAGCTGGAATCTGTGGAACACTTGTCAGACTACCTGTTCCAGTACTTGGCAAATGTTGCGGTTCAATGGGAACCTTTCTAGTTGTATCAGAAGGATTAACCCCCATATTGGATGATATCGATGCTGCTCCTTGAAATCCCATACTACGAACTTGTGTATCATGTGCCATCTCCAAGACCTTACCTTTATTTGAAGCAGATGAATCCGGGTACCCCGCTGAACCATTTTCTGGTCCCTTGATTATATCGGGAACTTCCTTTTTCTCTTGAAACTGTGCCGGAGGATTGGAGTATTTCCCTTCAGCAACAACTCCAGGTATGTTTACCCCTTGCACACCACCACCACCACCCCCGGCTGGTGCCTGGACTCTTGATTCGGGAGCATTAGAAGTTTGGAATGCCCCATTGTTCGTGTTAGCAGGGGGAGCCGGTGGTTCAGATCGATGCATCTGTTGGAAATTCTCACCAACATTCACATCATTATAAAGATCATCATATTCATCGTCATCCCCCATTTCTTCCTCCGCAAGAGCAGGAATGGCACCATTTCCCTGGAAGTGCAACTTTTGAGCCCCTCCATATTCCTCATCCTCAAAATCAATTTGATCATCAGCCATTAGACCCAGACCCTTTACAAAGACAGCAAAACATAAAACAAAATGAGATCTTCCAACTCCTATACATGTAAAGGAAGATTGATAACTGTTGTTGGAACAAAGCAACATCAAAAGAAGAATCTACACATCTCATTCAATACAAATTTATCAGGTCTTCATCAATACGAGGCTACATGAGTGCATCACTTCAGAAGTGGCAATTACAGACCAACAAAGCGAGTTAAAGTTAAGACCTTGTCATAACAAAATGTCTCAAAATTATTCGCTAAACATACAAATTCATAAGTTACAAACTTACAGTCTCGGGGAAACCCAATAAACCTCCAACCAATTCCTTTACAATAATTCAATAACCAATCTGACGTTCCTACCTGAAACTCCCCAAATCAGTAGCAACCCTAAATAAAGCACTAGGCGGGTATTAACCCTACAAAGCTAAACAAAAAGCTGAGATTCAGTTACATGAAGAACAAATAGACCAGATCCCCAGTTCGGAAGCCTGACGTGTTTCAAAAAATCAAATGAATATCTCTCAACTCCACAGCCCGACCAACATACGAAGCTAAAGGTTGAGACTGAGAGAAACCAATAGATTGATACCAAGAGCACTCTTCACAACGGGTAGACAGAGAGGACCAACAGAGCGAGCGAGTCGTCCAATTTCCAACCGCACAGAATCCGAGCTCGAAACCGGAGCAACCGCGGAATCGATTCAAAACCCACTTCAGCGGAAAAGCGCGGAACGACCAAACACTGATTCAAACTATCAGATTTGAAATCGACGCGTTAGAAAGGAGGGTTTTACGTTTACGGTTTACCCCTGTCGGGGAATCGTGAATTCACCACCGCGCGAGAGAGAGAGAGAGAAAGCTTACCAATTTGAAAGAGAGAGGCGAAGAATTAGGTATTCCAGAGTCAGATTCAAGGTGAGAATGGAGTCACAGTCACGTCGAGTTGGTTCCCGCTAGAGTGACGATGCGGAGGATCTCGTGCCTTCTCGTGGGGGCTGCCGTTGCATGAAGAAAAGTGCGAGCGCTAAACCTAGAACCCGCGCGGAATCACCAAAAGGACGGACAATTGGGGCAAAGTGAAGGGTTAATGACCCTTTTAGCCTCTTCAACATGCATGATTAATTAGGGGTGGGCAACAGGAATGGACACCTGTCGAGTTTAAAACGGGTATCCAATCCAATCTCGTTTGGAGACCAAAGTCCATCCCATATTTCAAACCCGTATGGGTAAACGGGTACCTATTACCCGTACGGGACGTATAACAGGTACCCGTGCTACCCATAAATACTCAAACTTTGAATCATTAGAATTTTAACAAAAGTTTAAACTTAACTTGTACTTGCTTAACTATCACGCCTCTTCAACATGCATGATAATTAGGGGTGGGCAACGGGAATGGATACCTGTCCCGTTTAAAACGGGTATTCAATCTCGTTTGGAGACCAAAGTCCATCCCATATTCCAAACCCGTATGGGTAAACGAGTACCCATTACCCGTACGGGACGAAAAACGGGTACCCGTACTACTCATAAATACCCAAACTTTGAACCATTAGAATTTTAACAAAAGTTTAAACTTAACTTGTACTAGCTTAACTATCACAAAATCCATCCCAATCACACAATCACAAATACTCGGTAAGCAAACTACACATTCATGAACAATCAAAACGCAAAGAAATAAACCATTTCATAAGCAATAACAACTAAGAAGGAAGTTGTTGGTTGATGCTGTTATGCTTCAAATAAGATCCATTTGACACAACCAACTGGGAAGGCATGTTGCTGTTGTTCTGCTTCTGCAAGCTGCTGTTGTTCTGGCTTCTGTAAACAACAACAAGCAACCTTCAACTTCAGTGAAGGCACCAAACAACAAACAATCTTCATTCGACACAACAAACTTCGGTAAATTGCATTCCTATGTAACCAGAAACTGAATAAACAACTGGAAGCTTAGCTAATAGTGTGGCATGTGATGATCAAAGTGTATAGTTCTCTAATCATGAGCCCACTGTAGTTTAGTGTAGTGGTTGCCTTTGCTTTTAATTATTCCTGAGGGTATTATAATTCTAGACACTGATGTGTCCTTGTTACTTTCTTCACTACCAGTACCCATACGACCATACCATTACTTGCTTGTTCAGATTGAGGGGCTTCATTCTCGTGACTAGCCATGGAAATTAGAAAACCAAATCAACAGAAGCTGGCTGGTAGGGATGGCGGCTAGAAATAGATAGAGGTTGGAGATTAGAAACCTAACTAGTAACTGGGACAACAAATAACATTATAACAAGTTACTCATTACTCATAATCACCACCCGAGGGCTACGACAATTAGAATTGGAGAGATGAGTTGAGCTTGAGCAGAGCTGTCGGGTGACTGTTGAGGGCTACGACGATAGTGAGTCGTGACTGCTGGTGTCTGGTGCTGGCTGCTAAGGGCTACGGTGACGGTCGCGGTGGTGCTAACTGTTGGGTGCTGGTCGACGGTCGGGGAGAGCTGGAATTGAAAAGTTGCACTTGAATGGAGGCGCATCAATCGAACTAGGAAATGTTGAATGGAGGCTCAACAACTTCAGGCGGGGAGTCAGATTGGGTGCGGCGGCGAGGTTTCCCCTTCCTCCGCGGCGGTGGTTACTAGCTGCACGGTGACTGCGCCTCTGTCGGCTGTCGCGAGGAGAGGGAAAGCTCAGAGGCCGAGCTAAGTCACTCTTGGTGGTCTCATGCAGTCGTGCTCATCTGTTGACAAGGGTCAACTGGTCAAGGGAAGGGAAAGGGCCGAAATGGCCAAATGGGTTCTCAACTTCTGGTTGGGCTGGGCTTCAAAAAAGACAATTGGAGATTTGGAGTTGGAGACGGCCAGAGGGGCTTTCTGTTTCTGCCTACTGTCTGTGTATTTTGAATGGGTATAACGGGTATCCATATGACCCAAACGGGTATTTGCGGGTAACCCGTGGGTACCAATATTAGGAATGTACAATCCAAAGTCCCATCCGGTAATACTATTACGGATAATATGGGTACCCGTAACCCTCAAAAAAGGGACGGGTACACCCAAATACCTGTTTCCTGTTGCCCACCCCTAATGATAATGATGATATCTACAATCTACAAGTCTACAAGTATATAGATAGCTGAATATTTTTTGTGCACCCCCATTCAAATTTTCCTACAATGAGAGTGAAAGTAGGAAGAGTATTTTTGTCTTCACAATGATCTATTTGTTTCTCATTTATTCTTAAAAAAACACATATTAGGATTTGAATCGTGATCATTTTCAACTATAATAAGAATCTTAACCAATCATACTACATAGATCAGTTGTATCATTTTAAATAAAAAACATATGAAGCTAAAATTAAAAAATCACATAACTTTTCAACAGTTAGCTAAGATCGCTAAATCTTCGCTTAGTACTTGTTGGTGTTTTGATATTTCGATTTTCATATTTAATTATTTTAATTATACTTTAGTACTTAATTTAAATTTCTATTATCTTATAAATAGACTATAACTTTAAAATCATAGACCAAATATCATTGGTCCAATATTACATATCGAATTGCAATATCGAATGTGTAGAAGCGATGTTGAACTCCTGCATTTGTATTAGTTTATAGAACTACTATGAGGCAATCATATTCATATATTTCTACAAACTATATGGGGATGAGTTCTTTGAACATTTTTAGCTCGGTTAACCATTAAGTTTTAAACATGAAACATCACAGACCATGTTCATCAATTCGTATACGTAGCTACACTGTCATATCATCCTTTTACTTATCACAGAACCCTCCAACATGAAACATCACAAACCATGTTCGACTATCCCATCGTCTCTTCTTCTTACTTTAGATTTGAGAGCCTACAATACTCGACCCAACCATCTCAAAATCTATCATAATCCCGCAATAGCAAATTTCATTTTTCTCCAGCTGCACAGTTATAGAGCCAGTCGACCTCATCTCATATAAATACAAAGCAAAAATTATTAAGAAACATGCATTTGAGTTGAAACTTTAGGTGACTAACAAAGGCCAAATTCCTTATTTTAATTATTTAATACTTAATTAAATTGCTACATATCTTATAAATAGAGGATAACTTTAAAATGGCGGCCCAAATATCATTGTTTCGAATATTCTATATCAAATTGCAGTGTTGAATATGTAAAAGTGATGTATAATTCTTAAACTAGTATTAATTTTTAGACCTACTATTACACAATCCTATTCATATCTTTGTGTAAACTATATGAGACTGATTCTTTGAATATTTTAGTTCGGCTAACCAGCAAATTTTTAATTTTTTCTTATTTTGACATGATTGGATCCAACAATCATTAGGAGTTTAATAAGTTGGTTCATTCCACCTTTTTTCAATGTGCTAAAGAATTTGTAGGGAAAAGACATGTCTTTATATACACTCTACACAATATATAATACTAAAATGAGAAAATTGTTGTCTCATTTCAAATTTCCTACAACGAAAATGAAAGTAGTAATTATATTTTTGCTTCATAATTATTTTACAGAAACTACGAACTTTCAAAATCCAGAAATTGTTGCTCAAACTAAAAATCAGAGCATCGAAAATCAATGTTTGCAAATTTTATTTCATATATCACTTATTTGAGAGATTTTTCTCTCTATAAATAAAGTAAAATGAAACAAGTTATAGCCAAATCAACAGCTTTGGCTCGAAGACGATGACCTGCTTCTTCGTGGGAGAAAGAAATACATGTGGTACCGTCAGATATATGGAGAGCAAAGACGAAAAGGATACACTACGAGTTCGTGAATGAGTACTGTGAAATAGATCATCAAATCACGGGCTTGGGGCAGAATAAAATGATAGGAGGTTAGTTAGATAGCCGATGATATAGAACTTGACAATTTGGTACATCTATAGGAGAAGGAAAGAAGGAGAAGGAAAGAAGAAGAGGTCTCGTGGGTGGAGCCTCAAAGCCACTCAAGTTCACGAGCCCTCAATCATGGACTCGTCCAATGCTCATGACTTGAGACATCACCTCACCGACGAGAACCTCAACTTCAAGGAGGTTCTTGGGTGGACCAAAACTTGAAGAGCAACTGTCTGGCTCATGACGTTAAAGAGGCGCTTGGTGGGAGGCAACCCATCTACCATCGGTTTGTTTGCTTTCCGCTCCAATAAGAAGACCATTGAAGAGATTTTGGTGGTGTTTTGGACGTGATCATGCTCTTTCGGAGCTCACCCGCCCTCCGCTCTCGAGCACAAACATTCACAACTTGAACGGTAACATCGTTCTATCCCCTTCTTTTCCGCCATTGAGGGCAATGTCAAGCTTAATTGCGTGGGGGGGGGGGTAGTCCATTATGCATGTGTGTGTGAATGTTTGGTGTGCTTTTGAATGCTTTGGAGCCTAGATGTATGCCCAAATTTTCAAAATTTGAGGGCTCCAAGCATAACAACTTCTACATTTTCATGATCATAGTGGCATCTTGTGGTGATTTGTTTTGAATCTCATGGTTATTAGCAAGGTCTATGGATGATTTGCCCGAGAGTGTGTGCAACCTATGATGATGACCGAGACATGTATTAGGTTTGTGCATAAGTTCATTTCTCATGTGTTTGTGAACCGATAGATGTTCGAATCGATTACTTGCTTTTCACAGTTGCCTATGCATCGAGTTTAGGGAGTTAGAACGAATGATTGAGCAACTAGGTAGCCATGTAAGACTTGTGTCGTTCGTTTCGTTCTTGTGCGATAGTTCCCCCTTTACATGATGCGTAGCATTCACGTTGTTGCTGGCGAGGAATATGGAGGCATAGGTTTAGTCCACGACCCAAATGTTGACCGTCCCGATCTCATTATCCCCTAGTTAACCCCTTTGAGCTGTGTGTCTAAGGGTCGTTCTCATGTTAGGTAGCTCACACTACTTGAGCTTGATTGATTTAGATAGAACGACCCTACTTTCTTTGTGTCTACACCGTTATCGAGTCACCCTTGTCTTTGGAAGCTCCATTCATATCATTTGAGCTTAAACGAGGTTCCACACGAGTGATTTGTGTATGGTCCTGCTAAGAAGTGAAGTGAGTGTGGAGGTAGTGTTTCAAAGTGAGCATTGTTCATTAAGTTAAAAAATGTGGCATGTTTATAGCTCTCTTATGCCCCCAAAGAAAAGATAAGAAAAGAAAAAAAAAAGAGATCAATAAGAGGCCAAATAAGAAAAGAGAATGTCCACCAAAAATATAATAAATGTTGAACAGGCTCTTAGAAGTGTTGCTTAGCATGCAAGCTTTAGGAACACTTACATGTTGTTTGCCTACCACACTCTTGTGCTTGAAATTGAATAGCAAAGGTAGCAAGAAAGATTGTTGTGAATGGTTTGGTGATTGGTTGTGGTTTGGAATCAAGGGAAGTGTGGTTTTTGGCCGATGCTAGTGACCATTGAGTATAGGAGAGGGTTCTAATCGAAACCTTAGAACCTTTTGTGGTTTTATAAAGGAAATGTGGAACCTTGTGCTATGTTTGCCACCACCCAAAAAGTCTTTCACCCATGTCCTAGACCCTAGCCAGTCATTTGAACCTGTGTCCAAGACCTCCGGACAAGCTAGCAATGACACCCATCTTGTGAACTCTAACATTTAGAGGTTACCATCATGATAAAGGGACGTTAGGATTGAGCGTGAATATGCACATCTTATGCATCAAATGGTCCCGACCCCACTGGTTGAGAGTGAGTGATTCATTCATCATGTTTTGTTCATTTCTTATACCCCGGTGAGGACCTAGGTTGCTCGATCATTCGTTCCTATGATGTAATCTTCATGCATGAGTAACTATGATTGGTGAGTCGTCGAGGCATGTTGTGTGTTGGTTGATGAATAATCCGAGAACTCTTCTTTTGCACAATCTTAATACAGTTGAATGTCGTTTGTGGTGGTTGCCAAGATTACTTTGATTTTGTCCATAGGTCAGTGTCAAATAACCATTGTGATTCATTCATTTTGTGCCCTATGACATGCCCCAAAAATTATGTTGAAAAAGAAGTTGTAAGCTTACCTTGTTTTGCACTTGGTTTGCTTGGAGACAAGCAAACGTCTAAGTGTGGGAGCTTGATTCGGGCTCAAATGTACACATTTTACTCCTCATTTCTTATTCGTTTAGCTTAGTATGTCATCGTTGGATTTGACGCTAGGTTGTGCTTGTTTTGATACATTTAAGGTCCTAGCACGTGTGGAAGGGTCGAGGTCGAATTGTGGGATAATTGGAGGTCAAAAAGTGCAAAAACCAAAGAAAAGTCTGAAGACCATGACAATTGCCTCATAACAGGGAAGTGAAGGCGTCTCAAGAAACAACCGCAGTTCACGGGTGGACAAGGCAGTTCACAGTCTCCTAAGACCGTGAACTTGGACCACAAACTGTGAACATCAAGGCGTCCAGGGCCAAATCCGAAGTTACTGACGGTAGGCGAGTTCACGGTCCCTAAGATCGTGAACTGGGGCCATTGACCGTGAACCTAGGACTGTGAAGTGGTGCGTTTCGGACGACGCTGAGTTCATGGACGCGTTTAGGTGTTCACGACCGTGAACTGGCCAACGCGTCCGTGAACTGGTCACTTTCGTCCAAATATGAAGACAATAGCGAGGAGAGAGAAGGGAGAGCTGGTTTTTGGAGAAGAACACTTTCTTTCTCTAGGGTTTCAACCTAAACACCAAAGGGAGTACTAGTGAGAGAGAGAGAGAGAGAGAGAGAGAGTGCTAGAGTGATCTTGGAGCATCATTGGAGGCTTGGGTGGAAGATCAAGCCTAGAAGAAGAAGATCTTGAGCTCAAATTTGTAATCCCTCTCTCACTCTCTAGAAACTCGCTCTTTTCTCTTGGGTGTTGTAGATCCCTAACCAATGCTTTGTAATTACTTGTTTAGATTGAATGATTGAGTTTAGGTATTGTTCAATTCAATGTTTGATGCATTATTCACCATGACTGTGCATGCTTGTGCTTAGCAACTTAGGGGTTGTGCATGTTTTGTGCTTAGCATCCTAGTGATTGTGCATAATTGTGCTTAGAACCCCCTAAGTTTGTGCATTTAGGTGCTAGTAATCTAATTTGCCACCTTAGCCTAGTTTAGAGAGGAAAATCCCCCCTTTCAAGGGAGACTTAATCGAGTTGGTTTTCCTTCCGCTTTCTAAGCCACCTGAACTAAGTTGGGTTAGGGCAACCCTCAATATTGAATTAAATAAGTCGATTAATCGTGGTTAAACCGTCAGACCTTAGAGTTGAGTGAGGGAGTAAGTCGATTACCGATTGTCTAAACCGAGAGGGTCGAGTGACACGGCCTTTCATCCTCACCTCGGTTTGGAAATTGAGACTGTGGTCTCCGACCACATACGCTTTCCTCTGCGGTTCACGATTAACGTGTCCAAGGCAAGCATTTCAATCCAATGAGTCATGGTAGCTAGTTAGGGGAAAGCAATTCCTCGGTGAAGCTCCCTTAGTTAAACTTTTCCTCTATTTACTTTTCCTTGCTAGTTTAGTTTGTAGTTCCAATAAACCTAAAACCTAAAGTTGCTTGATAGATAACAACCTAAGCGATTGAAGTAGAGGTACATGGATCGGCTCGAGTTGACAATTTAAATACTTGCATTATACTGCATCCGACTAGAGTTTAAAAACTTAGACTCTAGTCGGGATTAATTTGTGGTGTAGTTTCATGCGAGTGAGGAATTTCTAACAAAGATGAGGGCACCCAACAAAATGTGTTTTCTACAACTCACTCCATATGAAGTTTTATATGTTAAGCAAGTAAGATAATATGTCTTATTTTTAATTTTATAAAGAAATTATGTACCACCATTTGCTTCTATACTATGAAATAATATGATTTGACCTAGTTAAATTTTTTAAATAAATAATATGATACCAACAAAGGATAATATAAGATTAATTAATGTCAAATATTTAAATATTATTAATTTTCTTGTCATGACATCAATCACATCAATCACATGTACCATATATGACATAGAAAATGAATGTGTCACGAGCTAAGATTTTAGTAAACAAGGCTAAATCGAGATCGACTCAACTCGACTCGTTATTAAATGAGTCGAGCTCAATCTCAACTCGTTTATTAACAAGGCGAGCTCTGACTAGAGTAAAACCCAACTTAGCTCATTTGCAGTAATAGTAAAGACCCACAACCAAGGTTCAGAAAACCGTACCAGAAGTTATACTGAAAAAGTGATTGGTAGGTATTTTTTACTAAAACCGTGATTTAAGCGTGATTGAACCACTTCCTACGTCTAAAACCGCCTACCGTTTTGCGACCGGTATCCGGTCCGACAGGCCGGTACGAGGATTCATGAACCTTGCCCACAACTACTATTTACATCAGCCTGTGGGCCTAAAATAAATCTTTCTACTTGCCAGAGATAAAAAAAAGCCCACTTATGAGCCCAGTAACCAGGGCTTTGCCCGCCCCTCGCTCCACCGCCATTAACGGAACGGAAATATCACGTTATTTTCCTCCCTACCTCATATTCGGTAACCCTGCCCTGGTCTGTCATTCTCCTTCTATTTCCACTAGCAAAGAAGCAAGTAGCAAGAAGCAACGAGCCGGCGCGCTTTTCATTTTCCTTCTATTTTCACTAGCAAACAAGCGCAACGAGCCGCCGCACTCCAATGAGATATGAAATCTCGAGGCTCACTCCAACATTTCTAATAGCGAGGACAAGGGATAAGGTAGTCAAAGTCTTGGAGATGTGGCAGGGGGAGTGGCGGCGGCGGCGGGAGGCCGTGAGTGGCGGCATCGGCGGCGGGTGGCGGTGGCCGTCGCGGGAATCGTGGTGGAGCGGTCTCTGCTGCGTTATCGGAGTCCCAGTGCATATGTTTCTCCTGATGTAGAAGCCACGGCTCCCCCCAGATACAACCTCCCTGCATTTAGGGCAAACGTCCATGACATCCGAAATCTACACTCTCTAAGGAAGCATAAGGAGGAAGCATAAGGAACGATTCCATTACATCCGCCGAAATCTTGAGAGAGTGTAGATTTCGAATGTCATGGACGTTTGCCCTAAATGCGGGGAGGTTGTATCTGGGGGGAGCCGTGGCTTCTACATCAGGAGGAACATATGCTCTGGGACTCCGATAACACAGCAGAGACCGCTCCACCACGCCACCCGCCGCCGATGCCGCCACTCACGGCCTCCCGCCGCCGCCACTCCCCCTGCCACATCTCCAAGACTTTGACTACCTTATCCCTTGCCCTCGCTGTTGGAAATGTTGGAGTGAGCCTCGAGATTTCATGTCTCATTGGGAACGCTATCATCCGCAGTGGTGAGGTGAGCTACTGGCATTATTGAGTTATGGAAACAATGATGTTAGACTTGTAGGCCTGGTTCCATTTACCTTTAATGTCTGCAACTCCTATCGGGACCACTCTTAGAATTGTGAATAGCTTATACTTTGCTGATACAATAATGGTCTGTTTAGTGGTTGTTCAGCCGCAGTGGGAATGGGTAATGAATGCCTACCAGTTCCCCTATTATTCAGTTTTCCTATGTTAATTTTTTATCCTACTTCTTTACCCTCCTCTACACTGCTTCTACTTGATTGAAAAGGCTTACATGCACTGTTGTCATAGAAGGTTTGTTTTGTATATTAGTAGTGTTTACTTATCACTTAACTGATTGTAGAAGTTTATGAACATAAGAAGAGAGTTTGTTTTTGGTTATATTTCATGTATGGAGTTTGGAATTTATGTCTTGCAGAAGTATCAGTTGTATTATTTATTGCGGCATCTTCTGGTGCAGGTTTCGGAAGTGAGTTCCCTTCTAGGTAGAGCGGGCAGGGTTGGCCTTGACAAAGCAGAGGAAGTACTGGACACACTTGGTAGTAGCATGACGAATCTGAATCCTAACAGTGGGTTTACCTCAGGAGTAACAACAAAAGGCAACAAAATTGCAATTTTGGTATTTGAAGTTGCTAACTCTATGCAACCACTTTCAAAGGAGAACATCATACTTTTGAAAGAAGCAGTGCTTGCTTCAGAAGGGGTCCAAAATTTAGTATCTAGAGATATGGAAGAATTACTGAGAATTGCAGCATCAGATAAGAGGTAAAATTTGCTGATATTTTATTAATGTGAACTTATCACGGTTGCTTGATTCGGATATTACACCATTAGATTTGGTATCCTGTGAGATGATACTAATTACTTATCCATGTGATTGTGGCAGAGAAGAATTGATTGTTTTTTTTCTGGAGAAGTGGTACATTTTGGAAATCGTTGCAAAGATCCACAATGGCACAATTTGGACCGTTATTTTGAAAAAGTAATGTAGAAAGGTTTTGATTACTTTAGAATATTTTAACACTACGCGAAACAAATCTCATGTGACCCTTCATACTGTTTCGTGTTTTGCAGGTTAGGCTCAGAACTTACACCTGAGAGGCAGCTTAGGGAAGAGGCAGAGACAATGATGAAACACATAATGACTATGGTTCAGTACACAGCAGTGAGTTTTTGACCCTCCCAATGTATATTTGTCAGTTTAGCATCTATCTAGTGCACATTCCAAGTGAGAGGATTTCAGGCAATCATGGTCAATTAGTCGTAGGAAGCCTCTCGCTTGGTGTTCTTGTGAGTTGTGATATTTACGGAACAGAATCTTAGAGAGTTTGAGCTGCTGAATGGACATAGTTTGACAGGTAACCGTACAACAAACACATAATGACAGCTTGTGGGTATAGTTGATCTTACAGTGTTCTCCTTTCATCTCTCCCCTTGAAAAGTTGGAGGTGTCAATTTCTTCAGGTCAATCTGCCTAGTTCACTACTAGTGATATGAGTTCTGCTTTGTCTTGTGTTAAGCTTTTATTGATCAAGTACTTATTGTGTGGTGGGGTCTATAGATCAACATTCACTTCCACGTATCAGATGGGAATCTACTCTGAAGTCATCTTACAGTGAAAACTAGCCCGTTGCTTCGGGCAATATGTTGAGGAAATAAAGTCTGAAACCAAAATGAGTGATTGACTTTTCTCTCTCATCTTTGGTATTTTGTACAAAGGCAAACTGCCCGTTCATTCTTTTTACCCTGATATTTGATTGTTGATGTCTGTGAAATGCGACCTTTCAAGGCAAGTGCCACGTGAGGTTTACCAGGCTTGCTATTGTGATTGACTGAAGCAGAAGCTTTCTTGTGCAATTTTTTTCCCCCAACCTTCTAGTTTAAGGAAATGTAAGACATCATCCTATTTCCTCCCCTGTTGTGCAGGAATTGTATCATGAAATGCATGCTTTGGACAGATTTGAAACAAGATTACCGACATAAACTTCAAGAAGACGAGAACTCAAATGCTACACAAAGAGGTGTGTTGTTTGAGTTTCAGGTTGTATCGAGTTGTTTAGTTTTATATTTTAATAGATTACTCTCGTGGATGTAGTCCGAGTGCACTTCCCTTTTGCAGTTAAAGCCTCTCCTTATGTTGTAATATAGCCCTTCAATATCTAAAGTCTTAGAGCCTTAATATATGAAGACCAAGATTCTGCCGAAAGCAATAATTGATTTCTTTTTTTTTTCAAACATCGGTTTGATCCATAGAATGAATCTCCTTTTCATTTGACCAGTTGTTGTTTTAGATCTTTGTCATCAATGACATGACAGTTTTGTTTTGATATATACACAGCAGAGCTATATAAATGTGATAGACCTGACGTGACATCAAAATTAACTGAATTTCTGGTGCCAACAACCATGTTAAACTGGAATTATACCCTTTATGGCTAATTTGAACTTCTTTTATTCACATCTTTCATTTCATATCCTAATGCATATTTAGGAGCTGGGGTTTGCATGAATATACAGAGTTGTGTTGGCCTTGATTAATATTTTTGGAGATCTCAGAAGTTCTAACCGTATGTCTAATTGATATCAGGAGACAGCCTTGCAATTTTGAGGACGGAGTTAAAGAGTCAACTGAAAGATGTGAAAAGTTTGAAGAAGAAATCCCTATGGTCCAAGATTTTGGAAGAGGTACTAGTCATTGTCGTCTAGGCAGTGAGTTCTTACTTCATATGGTGAACTTGGTCCTCTTATATCAGCATTTGCAATTTGGTGGAACCCAATCCAACAAGGTATCTTAGTTTGCCTCAGGCGTGTATTTTGGTTGAGGGAGTTAGATACGCACGCCACTTGTGCTCTTGCTCCTAGACGTTTAAGACTTTTCATAATTTTTGGTGAAGATATCTGGTTACTTGTGCTCTTAGGTAATGGAAAAGCTTGTAGACATCGTCCATTTCGTGCATCTGGAGATTCATGAAGCCTTTGGTAGTGCAGGTAAGCATCCAGCAACATCATGAATTCAGCAGATCTTGTCTATATTTCTCTGCCTGGAGGTAATCAACCCCCAAAAAGCTGTTCCTTGTGGGCACTTTTGGCTTTGGGGTGCTTTTGACTGTTACTGCCTGAAAAGAACTCAAAGTAATCAAAAGGCCAAACAGTGGATTGTAGTTAAGCTGGTCCGCATGTGAACTTGATTGCGGAATGCATATTGAGGTCACTCAATTTTTAGATTGTTAAAATTGGTTAACTGTGAGAGTAGATAAGTTCCAGAATTTATTGTTTGGATGATTGATTTTACGATGTAATTGTAGCCTCTAGCATTTAGGATTGTGAACTCTCATCCTCATTTGATAGTGGGATCTCCATAACTAGATGTAGTGGCACTTTGGAGATTGTCAAATGGGTGGATCGCTCCACTTTTTGACGATCAGAACAAATTTTAGTCATCAGTCTCTAACTCACAATCCATCATCTAAATCCTACATTCAAATGAACCCATCATATAGTAGCTTTTTTTTTATGTAAATAATTATAATATAGCTGGAAAAGTGTGATTTACTTGGTATTACTGTAGAGCCAGTCAATGTACAATTGGAAGTCATGTACTGCTTGAATACTTTAGAACTAGTCACATTACTAGTTTCTGGAGACGGCTGCTGAGCATCTTGGGAACCGAACAGTATGTTATACTAGAACTGTTTGGGAACTAGTGACATTATTAGTTCTTAGAGACGACTATGTGTTAGTGACATTATTTTAGAACTGTTTGGGAACTAAACAGTTTGTTAGAATCTCAACTTGAAAAAGAGACACCGTGTGAATCGTTCATGAAAACTTCTATGTTCATGCGATATTTGTCACCACGTGCCCATTGATGCACTCATTCCAGTGTTTTACTGTAGATGGCGATAAACCAGTGAAAAATTCGACGAACAGTCACAAGAAGCTGGGTGCTGCTGTCCTTGCTTTGCATTATGCAAATATTATAACTCAAATTGAAACTCTTGTAAGTTGGTAATTTCATCATTCAGATTCAGGTTCATCTCTTCTCTTCCTAGATGAATTAGCTTAGCTCTGATATTTGAGCAATAACTAGGTCTCCCGGTCCAGTTCTGTGCCTCCAAGTACAAGAGATGCGCTGTACCAAGGGTTACCACCTAGTATTAAGTCCACCATGCGCTCCAAATTGCTTGCATTCCAGTTTAATGAGGAGGTAAGAAGTCCTTGTTAGTACCCAAGTTTGAAATGTTTATGCGTCAATCTGTTTTTTAATGGCAAATCTTGACTAGGTCATTGTATTTTCCTTGCAGCTTAGCGTCCCTCAAATCAAAGACGAAATGGAGAAAACCTTGCGGTCGCTTGTCCCAATTGCTGCTAACACAACCAAGTAAAAATTTTGCCTTTTACTTACATTTACAAGAAAATTATGCTTTCACACATTCATGCGTGGTTATAGTTTTGCCAATGTTGTTAGAATCTGGATTTTAGATGTTAAAATCTTTGTGGTTTTATGATTCCCTCTTATGCTTGCGATTTGATGTTACTTTGTGATTTTACGTTGACAAGAGCTCAACACATAAAATCTTAATTTTGACTTCTTCTGATTTCAATGTTGACCAGAGCTCATCACGGATTTGGTTGGGGTGGAGAATGGGCAAATACAGGGTGAGCTAAAAGATTGATTTCTTATACTTCTATCTCTCAATTGTTTCCAACCTCTTCTCATGACACAACTCTCCCAGGTCTGACATGAACCAAAAGCCACCTGAGCAGAACGACTTGCTGAGGATCCAGACTCTGCACCATGCTGACAAAGACAAGACCGAAACATACATCCTCCGACTGGTGGGCTAAGATCAGGTGACTAAGGGGGAGTCCCTTAGTCATGTGACTAAGTGAATCTCAGCCCTTCCATCTCATTAAAATCCAATGACCCTGATTAATCCAATTTAATGAAGGGCAATGTAGTAATTTAATTATTTAATTTTTATTTACCAATTAAAATAAATAAAAATTCAGCCCCGATCCTTACCCTTCTCCGCGCGGCCTGCGTTTTTTTTTCGCCGAGACTTCCGAACCTTCCCGCCGGCCGATCCTTCACTCTTGTGGCGTGTAATTCGCCGGCGGCCCATTTTTCCCGGGACGGCGCCATAATTCCCCTTCCTTTGAGAATATATCCCAAGAGAGAGAGTGTCCTGCCATTGGAATTATTTGGCTCCCTGGTGGCGGGGAGGGAGAGAGAGAGAGAGAGAGAGAGAGAGAGAGAGAGAGAGAGAGAGAGAGAGAGAGAGATTTTATACAGTTAGTATGCTTTGTATTGTTTGTCGGTTTATTTTGTAATGTTTGTACGCTTTGTTATTTTGTAATGTTTGTCGGGTTTTTTTTGTAATGTTTGTACGCTTTGTTATTTTGTAATGTTTGTCGGTTTTTTTTGTAATGTTTGTAAACTTTGTTATTTTTGTGTATCGTGTTTATCATTTTTGTCAACCATGTTTGTAATGTTTTTTATGTCTAAAAAACACCCGGGTTGACTTTGGGAAGGAGCCCCTCTATATAGGGACGGAGCCTCTAAAGTCAACCCGGGTGTTTTTTCAGTTCGTATGGTTTGTCGGTATAGTTTGTCATTTTTGTCCACCATGTTCGTACTGTTTGTATGTCTAAAAAACACCCGGGTTGACTTTGGGAAGGAGCCCCTCTATATAGGGATGGAGCCTCCAAAGTCAACCCGGGAGTTTTTTCCCGTTCGTATGGATTTTCGGTCTAGTTTGTCATTTTTGTCCACCATGTGTCGTACTGTTTGTATGTCTAAAAAAACACCCGAGTTGACTTTGGGAAGGAGCCCCTCTATATAGGGATGGAGCCTCAAAAGTCAACCCGGTTGTTTTTTTCTTTTTGTATGGTTTGTATTGTTTGTCGGTCTAGTTTGTATTGTTTGTACAGTTCATACGTTTGTAATGTTTGTAAATCTGTTTGTATGTTTTGTCGCTCTAGTTTGTAGTGTTCGTATGTTTGTATGGTTTGTACTGATTGTAAATCCGGTTTGTATACTTCATAATTTTCCATAATACCCAAACTACCCATGTCATTAATTAAATAGCCCTTCCCACTTTTTAACCATTGGATTGAAGTGTCCAGATCTAAGGGCTGGAAGGGGCTTAGTCAAGTGACTAAACACCCCCCTTAGTCACTGGATCCGCTCTCCCGACTGGTGGTGTGGCTTCACCACCTTGTCAGCCTAGCAAGAGCTGCCAATGGCGGAATCAGATCGCCTGTTAAATCACCAACGCGAAAGACGATACAGCTGACAGCACAAACTCCCAGCCTTCAGTCCCCCATGCTGACAATTGAAGATCAAGAGATGCTGAGAGATGTAAGCAAAAGAACGAAACCGCCCGGGATAAGCAAGAGCCAGGAGTTTGACACCGCGAAAACCAGGATAATGATGAGCAAGCGCCACAGGTTGAGCAAGAGCAGTAGTCACTCCCCTTCTCGTGAAAGCAAGAGAGGCTTTTGTTGAGTAGTGGCCAAATATGGTGTTGTTTAGGAGTGGATCGCAGAATCAATCGAGTTGATATATGATCAATTTAGGGGTTTTATTCTTTTTCTTTGTTCCCTGTTGCACAGATGCACGTTTGGGAAGGGTCTATGAACATAGCAAGTTAGGCTTCTCCTTTTCCTTTCACGACTAATGCGAGCATTTTTCAGATCTCGTGGTTAGACACGTAAGTCGTGCTTAAGTTACTTGCATAGGAAAAAAGTCTTGAATATGAGCGTCACAGCACATAAATCACATGCTCTCCGGGAGCGGTTAGCTTGACAATCCCTAAGGGTCTAAGGGGTATGATTTTCAAACACTCATTTTAGTAGTCGTTGATGTTCATTAGAACTTCTAATTCAATGGTGAGAAAATGACAATGATAATTGGGTATTAATTAACTATTTTAGTTGTATGATCCATATTAAATAGAGGAAGTGGGGTGGTAATCGAGGGCACTAATCGGCCTTTTAGGTTCCCCTGTCAATTCAAAAGCACACGACGTCGCTTTTCCTTTTCGTTTGCAAATTGCTCTCCTTTTCCGTTTTCCCAACGCCTAACCATACCTTTAAAAATCTAAATTGAACATTTGAATTTTGATGTTATATGAGGGTGTTTGAATTTTCACTATATGTTGGATAAAAGTACGAATAATTATTTTGGTGTAATGTTATACATTATTACTGTTGGGCTAGTTAGGGTTATTTCCTAAACCAAGGCCCATGTATCAAAGCCCGGCCCAATAAGCCCAGTAGAAAGCCCAACGAAGCATGCAGAGGCGCGATGCGTACTAGAGGATCGCCCGATATCGGGAGCGGGGTATAGGCAGAGTATGCTTGACATCACAGCCGTAGGGGTAATAATACAATCGCTGACAACATTAAATGCAGCCGGAAGCGTGGCGTTGGGAATGGAGCTCCCAGTACACGCACAACAGAGCATTAAATGCTCACACAAAGCAACATACCATCTATAAATGCCACTCACCTACATCATTTAATGGTAACTGAACTACCAACTTCTCTCTCTATTTTCTCTCTCTCTACTCTAACTTGATCTTTGGAGAGTGTCTGTGGCCCACACCTCCGGACATTTGGTGCAGGAATCAACACCCCGGCCGGCACTGAACGGGAGGTGGTATCTGACGTGAGTGGTCACACCATCCGCTTGGAACATTCTAGGCCTAAACGATTTGGCGCCCACCGTGGGGCCACTCTTCGAAAGATTTCAAGACTTCTCGTCGAAAACAATGGCAAGGGATTCAACGACACCGATGAAGGGAGTAGTTAGCACGCAGATATTGAAGGGGCTTTCGCCGCAAATCGAATATGAAACAGGGCTGGAAGATAGGGCCAGTGAGGATGGGAAGCAAATCTCAGAGATCAAGGATAGTCTCCGCTAGATTTTGGCTTTAATGCGCGGAGACGAAGATGGTGACACAGGCGCAAGGGGATCCGGGACGAAAAGCAGGGACAAACAAAAGGCCATACCGGTGGACGAAGATCCAGACGATGAGTCGGAGGAGGAAAGACCAGAAGCTTACCTGAGCTTCCTGGAGGAACACTTGCAGCCGGGTTTTTGGAGGGAAACAGGGAAAGGAAAAGGGCCTAGCGTCCTACACAACCCATTGTCAAAGAAGCTTTTCAAGAACCAGGTGTCGCCGAACTACTCTTCGCTGGGGCTTCCTACGTACAACGGGAGTTCTAATCCCAGCAATCACTTGAGCGCGTTCACGCTGAAGATCCAGTTAATCAACGCTTCGGATGCCGACCTTTGCAAGGCTTTCCCCATAACTTTTGGAGGGCGGTGCAGGACTGGTACACCTGGCTCCCCAAAGGTATCATAAATAACTTCGAGCAGTTTGCCACACTATTCTCCTCGAAATTCGCATCTCAGATACGCCGCAAGTTGACAGTGTCCGCGCTGATCAATTTCCGGCAACGGGAGAAGGAGATGCTTTCCGAGTTCTACGATAGATGGAACACGATCGCGCGCGAAATCCAGGGGATCACGCCCGGCGTCGCGGCGGGAAATCTAAGAATGTCAACAAACAACAAGGAGCTCCAGAGAGCACTGATAAAAAAAGAACATTGTCTGAATACGTGGCCGGAGCTCGATCATGTGGTCCGCCGGGCCATTACACTAAAGGAGGCTCTCCATGCGGAAGAAGCACACGTCGGAGAGAATACAGTTGCAGGAAGAGCAAAACCGCGCGAAGGAAAAAAGGGGAACCGATCCCCTCAACGCAGGGGGAGATCCCTCGAGCGGCCGAATTTCACAATGAGGGGATACGGGGGAGACGGGAGAAGAGAAGTATACGCAACGGGAAAATAAAGAGAGGAGCCCAGCGCTCGGGGGTGGGAGGATCGAAGTCGGCAGGAAGATCGCAGGCGTCCGGAGGCCCAAGTCAGCCTCAAAATGTGTGACTGGCATCAGCGAACCACACACAACACAGTGGACTGCCGCGACTTCCAAATGAGCTTGGAAAACCTCGCTCCCGGAGATTTACGCAACCGACTAGAGGCAAAGAAACAAGAAAAGAAAGATCCGCGTGCATCCTGGTCACCCAGAAGGAGACGTAGCCGGACTCCTAGGAGCCGATCAAGGGACAGGAGGCGATCGCGGTCACCAAAGAGGAATCGTTCCAGGTCCCCCAGGCGTATTCGCTAGCCCTCTCCGCCCCTAGCACCTCAAAATGGGAGGCAAGCACACCAGGAAGAGGAAGACCTAGATATTATAACCATCGCTGGGGGCGGAGGAAGAGAACCAGGATGGCGGAGGATAATGTTCATGTCCTAATGCTGGGAACCGGATCGCATGCTGAGGTGACCTTTCACGCGTCCGAGCTAGTCGATGCCAAATCAGCTGAGGATTCCCTAGTCATCCCGTTCCGGACTGGAAAGTACAAAGTTACAAGAACTCTCATTGACAATGAAAGCTCGGTTGATATCATCTTCTTCTCGACGTTGAAGAGCATGAAAAAGGGAATAGAGGATCTGAAACCGTCCACCACGCAGCTGGTGGGGTTCTCCGGGTCGAAAATCAAGGTGCTTGGTGTCATAACCCTGCACATCACGATAGGAGAAGGAAGCGTCACGAAGACCAAACCCATGGATTTCTACGTAGCGGATTGCTCGTCGGCGTACAATGCAATCTTGGGGAGAGGTTTCCTGGCAAGCTTTGAGGTAGTCCCGTCTACGTGCCATCAAATGTTAAAATTCCCAGTGTGCAAGCAGTTGGGACACGTAAAGGGAAACTCTCAAAAAGCAAGGGAGTGTTACCAAGCAAAAGTAAAACAACTAGAAGTTGATGTGGTAGATACCAGGGAAAACGTGTACACAGTAAATGCAGGGATTTCTTGCATTGACTGGATCAGAGACGGTTGGGTAACCGTAAGACTGCGACTGTACATGGGCGCTGGGCCGTGCTTGGGCTGGCACGGCACGGGAACGCTTCGGGCCCATGTATTTCGTGTCGTGCTTGGCACGGCCCGTCAGTTTTCGTGTCGTGCCATGCAAGCCCATTTGTTAACTTTGCTAGGCCCGGCCCAAGCCCGGGCACGGTTCGAATCGTGTCGTGCCTATTCGTGCTTGTGTTATGCTCGTATTCGTGTTTAATGAAAAAGACAAAAACAAAAGAGATAATGAAAAAGAAGGTGAAAATAGGATGGAGGAAGATAGTATTAACCGATAATGTTTGAGAAAAGTAACAAATAAGGGGGGAAAGAAAACGGGAAGTATAGCTAGTGTGATTTGGCTTTGTTTAATTCTTTGTCCATTTTTACTTATGTTAGTAATTACATATATATCTTTATGACATTTCTAACAACAACAAATAATTATTTTTCTTGTTATGTTTTGTAATATTTGAACCTATAATTCTTTTTATATTTATTTTCTATAAAATAAATATTATTTTTGTGCCATGTCCGTTCTTATACTCAAGAAAGTCTCGAAAATATTAGGCCCGACACGGCCCACTTATATACCGTGCCGTGCCCGTGCTCGTGCCCGTGCCCATGAATTTTAGGCCCGGCACGACCCATTAATTATATGTGCTCGTGCCGGGCTGGCCCATTTATTTCATGCCCGTGCTCGTGCCGTGTTCTAACCGTGTCGTGCCGTGCTAGCCCGTGGGCGGCACGGCCCGGTGCCCATATACAACTACGACCATGGATTTGATTGTCATCCTTAGCGTTGATTAATTGGAAGAAGGGATGCATTAATTGTGGGCACCACCAAATATAGTGTTTAAAATACGACTCTAATGATCGGTTTAAATTTTAATTGTTGAAGTTCTGGTTAATATGATTATATAGTTCATAGTTGCGAGTACTTCATCTATCTCTACTTGCAAATTTATTGTATAATTTAAATTGTTTTATTTGTATCGAATGATTTTAGATAATTCACTCATTTTCTTGTTAAATTTATATAATTGCATAACGTGAGAATTTTAAGATAAATTAAATGATAAAGATAAATTTTGAGATTTGCTATATACTATATGCCCAAAAATAGAGGCAAACATTATATTCACCCCTAAATTGAATAGCCTAATGATAGTAAACAAATGTTAGACAGTTTTTCCAAAATATGACCGAAGTCCAGATGAAACACTCGAGTGGCGAGATGGTAATTCCAACGCCTATCCAAGGGTGAAACATAATATACCAAATTTAACCATACACGGCGAGCCTCGTCTCGTCCCTCATCAACACATATTATTAAAGGTAACCAATTACTTCATTTCAAATTTCCTGCATCGAGAGTGAAAGTAGAAATGGCATTTTTACTCTATTTCAAATTTCCTGCATCGAGAGTGAAAGTAGAAATGGCATTTTTGTCTTCACAACTACTTATTTCTTTCTTATTTATTCATAAAAAATATATACATGTGAGGATTTGAACCATGACCACTTTTAAGAGAGGGAATGGCAACAACCAATCACATTACATATATTTGTTGTATATTTTAAAAGAAAAACATACACAAACCTAAAATCTCAAAAATCAGAAGACCTTTTCAGCGGTTAGCTAGCAACTAAAACTCTCATAAGTACTTATTTGGTGATTTGATACTTCGACTTTCATATTTTTTTTATGATTTTAATTGTATTTGAATACTTAATTTATATTTCAATGCATATTATAAAACAGAGGATAACTTTAAAATTGCAACCCATATATCACTTGGTTGAATATTGCATATAAAATTAGAGTATTAAATAGGTCAAAGCAATGTCAAAATTTTAAATTAGTATTAATTTTTAGAATTAACTATGAAGAAATCATATCCTTATGCAAACTATATGGGACTGGGTTTTTTAACGTTTTAGCCGGGTTAACTGCTAAGCTTTCAACATGTTCCTAATATGACATGATTAGATCCAATGATTATTGTACGAGATTGAGCTTAATTATTGGTTCATTTCACCTTTTTTGACATGTTAATGAATTTCTAGGGCAATGCCATATGTCTACGTCTAAACACAATACAATATATAAGTCTGGGATGAGAAAAGTATTTTCCCGTTTCAAATTCCTACAACGAGAGCGAAAGTATGAATGATATATTTGTCTTCACAATTATTAAACTTATTTATTTGTATAAAATAAACAAGTATTGGAATTAGAACCAATGTATCTTCCAAAAAAGACAAGAATCTTAAGCCTGATTGTCAAACCAAGTTTGACATGGTTGTGCGAATCATTTTTGCCCAAACCCGAGTATTTGTTAGGAAGTTGGAGGCCCAGTTGGTTATCAATCCAAACTTGGTCAAACTAAAAAAACCAGTTGAATTAGGAAATCGAGTTGATTCAACTAACTCATCTAAGCACCGAGTCACTTAAAACTGACATCATTTTCAACAAATCTAATCACTAGCTCTGTTGACATGTCGTCCTTTTCCTTATCAGAGGCCCATGCAACAACATACATCAACCACCCGTGTTCGGTTATCCCATAATATCTTTTCCTCTTTTAGTATCCGCAGGCAACAATACAAGTCTCAATCATCTCAAAAGTCAACACAGTTTCTCAGTAGTCAATTCCATTTTCCTTCCAGCAGCAAGGTCACATTGCCAATCAACCACATCTCAAACAAAGAATAAGCCACAAGATTAGACGAACATATATTTGGATTGAGACTTGGTGTGATTAACAAAGACCAATATCCTCATTTGTATATATACATGAAATCGAATTGGAGAAGAAGAGTAAGAATATTGAGAACGAAATATGATATGCAATGAAAAAAAGAAAAGAAAAAACTTGAAAATTTAATGGAAAAAGATTAAAAAAAAGGAGGGAAGAGATTTAGAATTAAAGCGTCATTTTAAAGCATAAGTTCCAAGTGAGAGAAAAATATAAAAATGAAACTCAATTCCAACGAATAAGTTATATTAAATCGTCATTGTATCTAAATTTATCATAGAAATTTCATAAATATCTAAGCATAATGTGAAATCAATAAATTTTTCATGCACCTGGGTAAAGCTATGCTTAACCAGGTTAATCAAATTAATCCATTAATCTTTAACCCACTTGCTTAAACGACTCATTGGTGGAATCGAGTGACAACCTTGGTCATAACAAATTAGACTGAACAAATTTGTTGTACATTTTTAATGGGTTATAGGTATAATATACTCCTCTATTATATATATATATATGGTGGCGTATTCGGTGCACTCACTTTTTTTTGTGCATTCGGTGCACTCGCTTCATAACCGTTATTTTAAACATGTGATTTATGTCAAAATGATGTCAATCATCACTTATGATGTGATGAACAATAACGCACATGAATTTGCATAAAAATCATTAAAGATTTACTTTAATTTGAAGGATTTAGAGTTTAGAGATTTAGGGTTAGGGTTTACAATTTGGGGTTTAGGGATAGCACTCAAAATTGGAGGTCTAGGGTTTAGGATAATCCGCTAATTAGTTGTTATCATATGTTATATCATCATATTACACTAATTCTACAAATTAATATTCAAAATCCAACACCTTAAGACTGGTTTTTTAGTTGGGTGCATTGAACACACTCATTTTTGTGAGTGCACCGAAGTAGTCACCATATATATATATAAGAACTCTATTATTCACTAATGCATGCAATTTCAGTTTCCAAACATATATTTCTCAAATACTTTTGGACTTTGCTACGGTGACATGCATGTCACGGTGACATGCATGTCACGGTGACATGCATGTCACGGTGACATGCACTTTTCGGTCGACCTCATATAGGATCAGGTCGACCTTATCTGTTGTTTCAGTGTAAAAACAGTTTCATGGTGCCTACTTTGGAGATTCATATCTTACAACTGGCTAGATGGAAATTGGAGATTAAAGGCTTGTTTTGAAGCTGAAGTGTCCCTCTACACATTAAAGTACTTGGGAGCTCAATAGAAAGTCCAGAAGACCATTTTTGAACCTGACCAAAAGGCTATGCCAAAACTGGGAAACTGCCTGAAAATGGCCAAGTCTGGCAACGTGTTTGTCAAGCCTACTTTGGAGCTCAATTTGAGAAGCATGGATGCGAGTCAAGTCCAGGGGCCTCTACCACATTAAATTACGTAGTTTTTATACAAAGGCAAGGCATTGGATGAAAGATTGAATATCTTTAAGGCTTCAAACAAAAGGCTCGAAGTTGCTACGAAGGCTGTTTTTCTGGCAGCTTGCTTGTGCTCGAAGTCTGCCAAAAAAACAGTCTTCCTAGAACTTCGACCCTTTTGTTTGAAGCCTTACAGATATCCAATCTTTCATCCAATGCCTTGAATTTGTATAAAAACATACCTAATTTAACGTGGTAGAGGCTCCTAGACTCGACTCACATTCATGCTTCTCGAATTGAGCTCCAAAATAGGCTTCACAAACACGTTTCCAGACTTAGCCATTTCTAGGCAGTTTCCTAGTTTTGGCATAGCCTTTTGATGAGGTTCAAAAATGGTCTTCTGGACTTCCTATAGAGCTCTCAATCACTTCAATATGTAGAGGGACACTCCAGCTTCAAAACAAGTCATTAGTCTTCAATTTCCATCTAGCCAATTGTATGATATGAATATCCAAAGTAGGCACCATGAACCGTTTTTACACTAAACAATAGATTAGGTCGACCTGATCCTATATGAGGTCGACCGAATCCTAAATGAGGTCGACCAGATCCTATATGAAGTCGACCGAATTCTAAATGAGGTCGACCTAATCCTAATTGAGGTCGACCGGAAAGTGCAAGTCACCATGACATGCATGTCACCGTAGGCACACCCAATACTTTTATATAACAATGAATGACTCCCTAAATTTCGCTTAGTTTTCAATGAAAGATGAGATGTTGTTAATTGATTTATAAGTTCAAATATACCTCCATACCACTAAAGCTACAATTATTGTGATCTTTAGTTGTACACTCACCTCTGCCAATGTTTACAAGTTCATATTTTGCTATGAAATTTAGATAAAGAAACTTTAAATCTCACACATTTAAAAGTAGGAGATGGAAACTATGTAAACAAGTGATTGCAAATTTACTATTTTGAAACCCAAAACTGAAAGAATTTAGATCATCTCATTTCGCAGTAAATTAAAAAGTATTATGAGAAAGTGATACCTTAGCGTTGGATGTGGTGGTGAATGAACAACTAATGCCAAACGTGGTCTAAAAAATTTCCTCCACTATGAATTGCAAAAAAATCTTTCCCAAACCCAATTTATTACCAGTCAATCATATTTGATAATATCACTTGAAGGTCATACCAATAAACAACTATTTACTTTGAGTCTAAATTAGACCTATTACATTGGCTAAAAAAAATATATATCAACTCTAATGTAATTTTTGCAAATTTTTTTTGTATAACAAACATAAATGTGGAAACACCAATAATGAAGTTGTGAATTGGTTTAATGTGAATAGCTTGATGGTCGATATTTCTTTACAGGTATAATTATATGGACTCAATATATTCAAATTGTGGGTTCGACCCAAATAGTTTTTTCTGCTCTAACTCTCACCTATTTCATAATTAGTAATTTAAAATAATTCGGCTAGCAGACAGGTCAAAGCTAGCTATAAATAGACAGCTCTACAAATTCTCAACTTTAAATTGCCTTCCTCCATTCGCAAAACTAGAAAGAAGCCAAAAAAGCCAACTGAAAAAGTACCTCATCATAATCTCAGATTCGTTCTTCGTTATTTTTGATTGCAGAGTTTTGCGAAGTGGAGGTGGTAATTTGGCGTTTCGGAAGAAAAGAGCTTCTGTGTTTTCCCCATATTGATTTGTGAGTTCCGATCTTTGTTACTCATCTGTTTATTTGTTCCTCAATGTAGCGTAGGGCTTTTTCTTACCCTGTTGAGGTGGCTTAGTTCTTGAACTTGTTGCTCGTATAATTCTGGGTTTTGGTTTTCTTGGCGCAGTTTTTTCTGGGTTTTCATTAGAAAACGTAAAATTGGGGGGTTTTAGGTTCCTCTGTGCATGTATGGATCAATTGTGCTTTTGTTCTGTTCAGCGTTTAGCTTCCTGTTTTTAAAACAAACTCTAATTCTGTTGGTTAGAGGCGTAGAGTGTGGATCGTTGATGGTGCATGTATTGTACTCTATGATAGGTAGACTAGCTGAAAAATTTCGTGTTTCTGCCAGGATATGAGATAAGAATGTTTCGAATGTTTCTCTTATATCTTCTCAAATCTGAGGAAGGGATTAAAATAAAACGTTCGCACACATTTGGTTTTCTTAGCAAATTGAGTACCCAGGTCTCGTGTTGTTATACTTTCTCGGTGATTTAACTATCTTTCCATTGTTGGTGCAGCCAGTATTGAATGATCAATGGAGTCGAAAGGTGGCAAGAAGAAGTCTAGCAGTAGTAGTAAATCATTGTTCTACGAAGCTCCCCTCGGTTACAGCATTGAAGACGTTCGCCCAAACGGTGGAATCAAGAAATTCAGATCTGCTGCTTACTCCAACGTATATTCTTCTGCCCACCCCTTATTTTTGTCATGGAAACAACAATGTTTTCTTTCTTCCGGCGTTCATGATTTTAACTTGTCTTTTATGTGTTTTTTTCTACATGCAGTGCGCTCGCAAGCCATCCTGAGTCCTGCTAATAGCTTGCTGGTTCATTTAGATTATTGATATTATAAGTAGGTTTAAATATCAGTTTCATTCAAATTCTTCCTCTCTTCCTCACTCGCTCAGCTACCGTGATCAAACTGTGAGCTTTCTGGGAATTCGCTAGAATCTCTTGGTGTTGTTTGCTCGACTGTCATCTGTTGGTCTATCTTCTGGTGTTGTGACATTTGTTGTCGAGTGTCACGATGACAGTCTCTGCAATTGGATTTGAAGGGTATGAAAAGAGGTTAGAAATAGCATTCTTTGAGCCGGGTATCTTTGCTGACCCGGAAGGGAAGGGCCTTCGATCTCTGTCGAAGGCTCAGTTGGATGAGATTCTTGGACCTGCTCAGTGCACCATTGTCGACTCACTTGCAAATGCTGATGTGGACTCCCATGTCCTCTCCGAGTCCAGCCTCTTTGTGTTCGCATACAAGATCGTCATCAAAACTTGTGGGACAACAAAGCTGCTTCTATCTATACCACCTATCCTCAAATTGGCTGAAACCCTTTCTCTTAAGGTGAAGTCAGTGAGGTACACACGTGGCACTTTTATCTGTCCTTCAGCACAGCTATATCCTCATCGTAGCTTCTCTGAGGAAGTCTCTGTACTCGATGGATATTTTGGGAATCTCGGTTCTGAAGGCAGCAAGGCCTATATCATGGGTGGATGGTATAGCCAGCAGCAGTGGCATGTTTACTCTGCTACTGCAGATGCTGCTGTGGTTGATGAACCAATTTACACCGTGGAGATGTGCATGACTGATCTTGACAGAGAAAAGGCTGCAGTGTTCTTCAAAACCCAGTCTCCTACTGGGGCTGTGATGACTGTCGATTCTGGGATAAGGAAGATCCTACCAAACTCTGAAATATGTGATTTTGATTTTGACCCTTGTGGCTATTCCATGAATGCTATCGAAGGCGGTGCTGTTTCCACCATTCACGTGACCCCAGAAGACGGATTCAGCTATGCAAGCTTTGAAATGGTGGGATACAACCTGAAAGAAGTGGGTCTGAAGCAGGTGGTCGATAGGGTGCTGGCTTGCTTCAAGCCAAGCGAGTTCTCCGTAGCTGTGCATGCTACAGATGTGGCTGGGAGGAAACTGGAGAAGGAATGTGCCCTGGATGTGAAGGGATACTATCGCGAAGATAGGAGCCATGAAGAGCTCGGGATTGGAGGTTCTGTTGTCTATCAGAAGTTTGATGCTGCTTCTTCTGAGGATACTGGATCTCCTAGATCAACTCTGAAGTGCTGCTTTGAAGAGGAAGACTAGGAAGTTTGAAGCTCTATTTCTTGTGTTTCTGAGTCTGTTAGTCGGATGTTGTTTCTTGTGTTTACTTTTCTATCATTGGTGTATGGTAATTTGGAATTTGTAATAAAGTGAGGTTACTACTTACTACTGACACCTCATGAGTCCTGGATAGACCTTTTGGACCACATTGTTTGCCAAATGTTTTTGTTTTATGTTTCCTTCTTCGTAAATATATGACAAAGGATTGGACTAAGTAACTATTTATGCAGTCGCTACTTGTCTAACTGCATTCATTCGTGCGTCTAATTGTATTTATGTTTGACGAACTAGTAGTAGTGAGGCGTGTGTAAAAGCACGACCTACCGTTTAAAATCTTACGAGATTGCTTTTGTAATTGGAAGAATAGGCTTCGTTCATATTTGCTTTTACAATGGATGGTTCTTGAATTGATGTAGTGGTTCTTTATAAACTATAACAATATTTGATGGTTTTGAGGGCTTGATTTCTATTAATAGCGTATTAATAAGGCTATTGTGTAGAACTGTAGATAAACGATTCTTGATCGACATAATCACATGGTTAATTGGTTACACCAGCAGTAGCCAGTAGGGCTAGTGTCACAGCATTGCTCTCTAGTTGATTTTTGAATAAATAAAGGCCAGAGTATTTTGATGACAGCGAGAGTGGCTGTAGTTTAGTGGTTAGAATTCTACGTTGTGGCCGTAGAGACCTGGGCTCGAATCCCAGCAGCCACAATTTCTTTTTTTTTTATTTCTTTTCAAATTCTCTTAAACCCAATATATCCGTTTTGATTCTGTGAGAAAGAAAACTCCCTTTTCCCCATCTCACTGTGCTGCTGCTGCTGTGGAATCTTGCTTTCCTAATTGAGGTTTTGATTCCAATCCCAATCCAAGTTAGGGATGGAAAAATAACCCAATGTGTATTCTTCAAACCCAAATTTTATGGATCAAATAAAGTTTGGATAATATCACTTTGTGGACATATCCATATTCAACCATTTAGTTTGTGTATAAATCAAACCCATTACACTACTATCCAAAAGAAAATGAATACCCAACTATAATGTGATTTTTGCATTTTTTTTTTCTTGATTCTAAAACAAACATAAATGTGGAAATACCAACATTGAAAGTGTGAATTGGTTTAAACTTTAAAGAAAACAATTAGATGATTGATATTGCTTTTCGTATTTATAATTACCTAGATTGGACCGCGAATGAATTGAATTGACCCAAATTGATATTTGCTTTTCGTATTTATATTTTTCATCCGAATGAATTGACCCAAATTGGACCCAACCCAAACCCATATCCAACCAAAAGTTGTTAAGAATGAGTCCATTTGGGTCTACCCCAATACCCATATAGTTCATGACAATTGAGTCCAATTACCTAATGAATTTACCTAATCTAAGCTTAAGTGTTGTCTATGCATATATGGCAATTGGCATGGAAATGGGAGAGGAGAGCCACTCAAAATTAAGTTCTAAATGCTTATTCCCTCCTTTTCTCAAAGATATGCTTAGCTTCTAAATGCTACCAACCATGCCATGAATACACTATACACATGCATGAACCTAGCTTAGCTCTTTTTGTCGACCACTAGAGAAAAAGGAGTGGGTACAAATTTAAGGAAAGGAATAGATACAAAAACACAACAGCTAACATACAAAAAAGACGGTCGTTCTCTTCTCTATCTATGCACTGAAATTCATTCCTGTAGAATTTCCCCAGCAACAACAAAAGTGATCCACTTTAACTCACCGTACGTACACAATGAATAGTACTCACTCAAGTTGTCTTCTCGATCTCCAGATTTTCTTCTTGGGCTTCGTATTAGTTATATGTGTGGACTGTGGACTGATTAGCAGAGGACAGATTTGAGCCATAATCTCCTTTTTCTAAAGAGGCTAAGATCCTACTTTAAGTACAATAATAATCTTGATATGAACCATTTATTTCAATTCTTTTAAGAAAGTGGATGCCCATATTACTTGTTTTTTTTTTTTTTAATAATTCGTTTTTTTGGCTTTTTTGCAGCTGATTGAACTTCGATCGGTGGCCTCCAATTGAAGGCAAATAAAAGATAAAGAATATTTAGAAAGAAAATATTGGTATGATATTGAGATGTTTTAGTACAAAATTCGCAAACCAGTAATGCGATATGGTCGATAAATTGTTTGAGATTTCTTATTCGTAGAGTAAATCTTACAAACCTCACCCACTGTGAGGTTAAACCATACAAATAACTGTGTGCCGACTTCTCTGGAAGAAGGAGATAGACAATTTGTTCCTCCAGGTCTTGGTTGTATGTAGTGGCGTATCCAGAAATTTTAAATAGGGGTGTCCTCTCTAAAAAAATTAAATTAAATAATTATTAAATATGAAAATATTTGACTAGTAAAAGGTTCAAACGTGTTTCGTAAAATGGTAAGATACATTTGTGTCTATACTGTTCAACAAATATCTCTCGGCATATCTTACTAGACAAGGGTATCCAGTAATTGGGTTCAATCGTTAGGTTTTGAAAACAATTTGTGATTAAGAATAACATTTTACAATTATATTTCGATCGAAAACATAATAACAAATGAGTTGCAGTGTAATTGAAAATATATTTACTAATATTGGCATTGTCCCAAGTTTAAATCACATAGACTACTACTTAAATATTATTTTTATTGATATGCAAACCACTACCGGAGGTTGGAGTATCATTTCCCCAAATTTTAAGGGTGTTCCAATACCACTTAAACATATTTTTTTTCTCATATGCAAATTACTATCGGAGGTTGAATAATCGTACTTCCAAATATATCCTTAAACATGCATGTATCCGCCACTGGTTGCATGCATATTGGAATGGTGCACCTATTGTCGCCAATTATTTGGCATCACAGTAATTAAGAAAAAGAAGAATATAAGATATAATAAATGAATTAATTCTTCGTGCATGGTCCTTGTTTTTGTTTAGAATATTCCTTACGTGGGATTAGGTGGAATTACCCTCCGACAAAGTATGGAGGGTTTTGCTGGAAAGCATATATATAGTACGTAGTGGTTAGTTTTAGTGACGGTAAGTAAAGACCAACATGCATTGTCAAATATATTATTCTAATTTCATCTCATTTCTCTGATCACAATAGGAGTTCTCCATAATGATGCTTGCCACCAAATGAACACCATGTTGGTGATGTAAATGCGAGTACTAGAAAAACTTATTTCTGTATTGGTCGTTACGTTCTCATTAGATCAAATTTTAAGTGCCATTAAGCTTGTAAGACAAGAGTATGAAGCGTTGTTTATATAAAGATCGTGATGTAAGTATGTGTATATAACAAAAACTTATAGTCGTATTGATCGTTACATTCTCATTAGTCGAGCCTTTCGAATGTCAATGAGATTGGAGGAATTGGGAGAGAAAGGTAGGGACTTTGGGGACAAGCACTTGAGGGGGTGCCATATACCTAGTTTCATTTGATCACCTATTTTGGATGCTTTACCATGTCCTCTTTGTATGGAACATTTGAAGGACATACATTGTCCCATGGTGAGACCCAAAATAATGTGATACCAACTTTATTTCTTCATCACCAATAATACACAATCGCCGGTGGCGGATACGGACTGGCCCTCCTCAGAATCTAGAGCTAGTATATCACTAGTAAATTTTCAATTTTAATTATTTGTTTCAATGCTTGTCGGATTACGGCCCAAACCTTTCTGCCTTTTTTCAGATGTGGCGTAGTACTCTACCCTATCTTGAATTTGCCGCTGTCAATAGCTATGGCGCACTGATGAAGCCCCAATTAACCTTAGCAGGCAGCTCCTGTCTGTCTTCTTCTCCCCCACCAAAGTTCAATTCAAACCAAAGCAAGCCCATTTGTTGGGTTTGAGAGGATGTAAAGAGGAAACGACATCAATGGAGCTAGCAATTATTCACTACTCATTTAATTTGTTCTTCTCTTGGCTAGCTAGATAGTGCAATCTATCTTTTCTTCATTGATGCCATTATTAGTCAACTTCCTATGCTTTAATTCATTACAACCCTACATAGATATAATTATTTTCTTGATCTCCTACTTTTCTTTGTGATTGAAGCTTTTGAGTCAAAAAGAGAGGCAAGGAGATGATGAAAAAAGTGAAAATGTAACCATGTGAATATTATTGTACTAGGGGATTGCAGTAAGAGTTGGTCATAACTTCGTCAAACTGCTAGAGTCAATAACTCAACTTGTGGGGAGAAACTAAATTAAGAAAATTAGTATTAGAAAGAAAAGAAATTATTTGTTAAGGAGTTTGTTTATACCATTCCTTTTACATGTCTTCCCAACTAAAAAAAACCCACCAATGATATGAAATTTGCATTGAACACCATAGTCTTATGCTTAAATCAATATTTAGTTCTTATGAACTTTCACGAACAAGTGATCTCTCAGCCAATGATTGTAATATCATGTTACAAAACAAACCCCCCCTATATCCGGAGTGTCGGGAAAGACTCAAGATTGAATCTTGTATAATTTTTGTACACTTTAACCAATATAAGAAATGAGCTAATCAAACATCCCTACCTTATCCAAGGGCTTATGTGGCATTAGATTTTCACTCATCCGGAGAAACTTTTCTTCCAACCAAACGTTGCGTGTACCCGATCCATCCTAGCCTAGCTATAATACGAGTTGCTGTCAAATTACATACAAAGATCATGAATAATTTTGATTTTCGCAACAACACAGAAGAAGAAAAAACAAAGAGAAATGAACAATCACATTAAGACGCTATATTTAAGCGATTTCTACTATTTTCGTGGAGGGTTTACTGCTTTTTATTAGTGTAACAATGCAGCTTATGCTAGTTGTGCAATTAAACATCTAAGTAGTGGTAATCATAATGAAAATAACTTGAATTGCATTTGCAGCCAATGTCCTTGTCGAAAACTTAGAACTTCAACTTGAAGGAACCAAAAATGTGAGTCTTATCCCAACTACTAGCTAACTTCCTTATCTCCAAACAAGTAATTGTCCTTTTTCCCCCGCTTTAGAACATGCATGTACGTTGTTCTATGATGACTAACCATGATAATAATTGAACCTTCTTCTTCTTGATCGATCATTGCTTTAGATCCAATTCATCTTCGATCATCATCATGAATCAAAGGAGGAAAAAAAAAAGCATCTTGTTTTTCTTTTCCATGTTTGACCAAAGCCAGGAGGGTCCAAATTGCACGTGCACCTAGGCACCACGAAGAGAATTCCATAATTGTTGGTGTTTCTTTGTGTTTTTAATAGAACACTATTATGCTCAAGAGATCCCCCATCATAAATTAAACATGCTTCCATGATCGATCTTAGCTTAATCTCACTCACTTACTTCACAATCATGGTTTCCACCTAGTCTAGCTTTGGCTACATTGAGCAACTTACTCCATGACAACATTAGAGCGATTCAATCAGCTAGTGTTCGAGTTTTAGTAATCTAAATGTAAATGATTTGTTTTCTCTTTCTCTAACATAAATGATTTGTTAAAAATGGATGTTCAAGTAATTCATTCATTGATAAAGAAATAACCGACGAATACAAGTTTCATTTTTCATAAACGATCACTACATATGTCCATATTGTGAAAAAAATAGTAAGTACATTCATTGCATGTACTCTTAATTATAACTAGGTCTCTCTATGTGGCTTACTTAGCAATCATTTGAGATTTGGCATTTGACTCCCAAGCATGTTCTCAATGTAACATAAAATTGTAAATGTTTTTTTTTTTTTTTCCTTCTGTACTTGTCGTTGGTAAAATCCATACTAGTAGTATCACCAAATAAATTGAGAATATGGCAACTTCACTTTTGTCTACATGAAATAAATTATGATCACCCAGCGGATAAAAGTTATCGTATTAACATTGAAGCCTAGTGCCTCTGAATCCACATGCACCTAAATATGAAGTCTGCAAAGAATAAGAAATCCACCCTGAAATTCGAACTTAGAGCTAACTTCCATGTTAAAAAAAAAAAAAAACAAAGTGAGATCGTAAAGCTCAAACTATGGGGGTGCTCAAACCCTATTTTTGTGCATATGAAAGAAAGGTATATAATTGCTTTTCATTTGGGTGATGGTGGTGACAGCTTTTGCTTTTAAAAGATGGATGCTTTTTCATGGTTTATGGGGACAGTTTTCTTCATTGTTGACTGTGGAGTGGAGACAATGGGGAGTGTTGATCAGTGTTCTCAGAATCAATAAAGCACAAAGCCACAGACAGACCAGTCTTAAGAATACAATTAAAGAACAGAAAACCCCATAATAGTAATAAGAAGAAGAAGAAGTAGAAGCCAATCTCCATTTAGGGGAATAAGTAGTATGGCATAGCACAATACATGCTATAGTACAAAGTTTGTATACATTTGTAGAAAGAGTAGGACAGACTTCAGTATATTTGTCTAATGATACATTAGTAACTAGTAAGGCAAGAAATAGCACAAAAAGAAATAGGAGTAAAGGAAAGAGGAAAGAAATGGCCAATGTGAATTGTGAAGGAATGTTGCCTTTCCTTTCATGAAGAAGACACTGTACCAATCTCCAACACTTGTGTTGTGTTGTGTGTCCTTTTCTAACTCATCTCTGTTTTATGCCTCCTTTTCCTCTACAAATTTGACAGCAAGAAAACACTTGCTGACCCACCAAATAACAAAGATCATCTCCTCCTTTTCTTTTCCTATTTGTTTCAGAAAATATCACACAACATATGCTTACCACTTAATCTTGTACCTAACCAAGCGATTAGCCTTGCTGCACTCTTATTTCTAAACGATGATAAGATAACAAAACGTAAAGTAATCGATTCGAATCAACTTAGACCTTCGCTTTCATTCTTTCTTCTCACTTCTCCTTTTCAGTTTTGTCTTTCCCTACCAAAATCTTTATACATGGAATTGTCATTGCCATTGTAATGTGATGGCATGCACTAGAATAAGAGAAAAAAACAAAGAATCCCACTCAACTCACCAGTCCTTTTCTCTCCAAACAACTACATGATTGAAGGGAATTTTTTTGGCATTTTAAATGTAAAATTGTAGTATCTACAATTCTTCTTTGGACTTAAGATATCATCTCTAGATTTGGGTTAGTGTGGCTAATAGCTTTCTTTATCCATATTCTTCTCTTTTTCCTTTCAGCCTTGTTGAAGTAACATTGGCAGCCCCATGTTGTTACCCACTCCACTCCTCTCTTCTTCTTTTACCACTTTGCCAAAGACCACTGCTTTTCCAAGAATTTCTTCCTCTCCACCTTTTCCCATTTCTTTTATAGTTTTGATAATTCCATCATGTTTTGTCCAGTTCTTGTTTTTCTGACATCACTTCTGAACTGAAAGTGAGTGCAATTATAGGAGAAGAGGTGGGTTTGCTTCCTTCCTGGTTCTCTCAGGTCCCCTCACTTATGTGATAAAAAAACAAACAGAATCCAAGTTCACAGAAGAGAGAGAGAGAGAGAGAGAGAGAGAGAGAGAGAGAGAGAGAGAGAGAGAGAGAGAGAGAGAGAGAGAGAGAGAAGGCATTCCTGTTTTGAAATGGAAGCAAGAAGAAAGAGCAATGGAGGTTTCTGCAACTTTGGTTTGTTCTCTTTGTTGTTGTTCTGCTGGTGGAGTTGTTCTGCATATGGAAGTTTGTCACCCAAAGGTGTCAACTTTGAAGGTAAATTTATATAACCCAGTTGAGATTTTCTGACAACGGTGATCTTTTTCCAGTTTGTTTGGCTTGACATGTTATTGAATTGATGTTCATGTCATTTCATTTCATTTGGTTTTCTTTTCTTTTTTTCAGTGGTGGCTTTGATGGATATAAGGAATGCATTGAAAGATCCGCACAATGTTCTCAACTGGGATGCAACTGCTGTTGATCCATGCAGCTGGACTATGGTCACTTGTTCTGCTGATGGTCTGGTCACTGGCCTGTAAGTAAAGGCTCTAACTTTGCTCTTTTTCAGACAAAGGGCAAGTTCAGTTCATCAATTATTACAAGAATCTTTGTTCACCTAGTTCCCTTTTTTGTGCTGCAGAGGAGCTCCAAGCCAAAGTTTGTCTGGAAGTCTATCACCAAGCATAGGCAACTTGACAAATCTCCAGCTTGTGTGAGTTTTCAATTTCCAGGAAGCTAAGCCATACTTTTCTCCCGTTCTGTGTTTTCCACTCTAAATGTTATCCTTCTCTTTTGTTGTTGTTTTAGGCTTCTGCAGAATAACAACATTTCAGGACATATTCCAGCAGAGATAGGGAAGCTCACAAGGCTGAAAACTCTTGACCTTTCTAATAATTTCTTCAATGGTGGAGTTCCAAGTAGCTTATCCAATCTCAAGACCCTCCAGTACCTGTGAGTGTTCAGAATCTTTGTGATCATAAGTCATGTTTCTTTTTTACTGTACTGTCATAATTATCTAAACCACAGGCTATTCTTTTCCTTTCTTCTTCTGTGTGCTGATAATTCTCATCAGGAGGCTGAACAACAACAGTCTGACTGAAGCGATTCCTCCTCCTTTGGCAAACATGACACAGCTTACTTTCCTGTAATTCTCCTCCAACCCTTAACCATTTCTGTCAACTATTCCTTCCTTGGTAAAATAATACAAAAACCATAACAGTCTTGACTAAGATTGTTTTTCCTCTTGTATCACTGTGGGATGTTTCCAGGGACTTGTCTTACAATAATTTGAGTGCTCCAATACCCACTTTCCATACAAAAACATTCAAGTAAGTCACAATTGTTCTGGATTTTCCTTTGCTTCCTTAGTTGATCAAACATGGAAAGAAAAACCTTTAAAGAGTGCTGTCCTTCGCTTGGTGATTGAAACAGCATAGTGGGAAACCCTCTGATATGTGGAACCGAGCAGGATTGCTTTGGAACAATACCAACTCCACAGTCACTCTTCCTCAATAGCTCCCAAAGTAAGTGAGTTTCAAAGTTTGAATTTTCTTCAGCTCATTAGAAGTATTATTTCTGTTACCATAGATACATACCCTTTTATCATTCCATTGCAAATGATGGCGGCTTTTCATCTAGATTCCATCATTTCCATCCACTCTTTATCCCATGCCCATCCCCCATGCTGTTTTCAGTTCAAAATTCAATTCTCACCCTTTTTTTCAATCACTGCAATGATGGCTTCTTAAGCCTCCCAGCCTTCTGGAGCTCACAAAGGACACAAGATCGCGTTAGCACTTGGCTCAACCCTCGGCTGCATCTTCCTGCTGGCTTCCACCTTTGCTTTCTTACTTTGGTTGAGGCAAAGACGCAACCAACAGATCTTCTTCGATGTCAATGGTAAGCAAGCAAAGACCAGAAGAACAACACAGAAACAAGAACATGGTTTGGCAACTAGAATGACATGCTCTTCAATTGCATATTTTTTTCCAGATCGACACGAGGAGCTCAACCTCGGGAACCTCAAGAGATTTCCGTTTAAAGAGCTTCAGGTAGCTACAAACAACTTCAGCAGCAAGTACCTCATAGGGAAAGGCGGGTTTGGCAACGTATACAAAGGTTACCTCTCGGATGGGACACTTGTAGCAGTGAAGAGGCTCAAAGATGGGAATGCGAGTGGTGGAGAGATTCAGTTCCAGACTGAAGTAGAGATGATAAGCTTGGCAGTCCACCGGAATCTCCTTCGCCTGTATGGTTTTTGCATGACTAATAGTGAAAGGCTGCTGGTGTATCCTTACATGTCTAATGGCAGTGTTGCAACAAGACTAAAGGGTAAACCCCTAGCTATTACTTGCTTTCCAAGTCAACCAAGGAAACTAATTTTTCCCACATTACTGATGATGTCTCACTCTCAAACGCTGCAGCCAAACCAGCACTGGACTGGGGCACAAGGAAGAGTATAGCAATAGGAGCTGCCAGAGGTTTGCTGTACTTGCATGAGCAATGTGATCCCAAAATCATCCACAGAGATGTGAAGGCTGCAAATATATTGCTGGATGATTACTGTGAAGCCGTGGTGGGAGATTTCGGGCTGGCTAAGCTTTTGGATCACCAAGACTCCCATGTAACCACAGCTGTGAGAGGCACTGTGGGGCACATTGCTCCCGAGTACCTCTCCACAGGTCAATCCTCTGAGAAAACAGATGTTTTCGGTTTTGGTATCCTTCTGCTAGAGTTGATCACTGGGTTAAGAGCTCTCGAATTCGGTAAATCTTCAAACCAGAAAGGAGCCATGCTGGATTGGGTAAGCAAGCTAATGAAAGAAAAGTGCCTGCTTTCGGGTCTTATTGATGACAGTTTTTTGTTTAACCTGAATCACAACGCTTTGAATGTGAATTGGCAGGTAAAGAAAATACATCAGGAGAAGAAGCTCGAGCTGCTAGTTGACAAGGATCTGAAGGCCAACTATGACAGAATCGAGCTTGAAGAAATGGTTCAAGTTGCCTTGTTGTGCACGCAATACCTGCCAAGCCACAGACCGAAGATGTCCGAAGTGGTTCGGATGTTGGAAGGAGATGGACTTGCAGAGAAATGGGAAGCTTCTCAGAGAGCAGAAGCAACTAGATCGAGAGGCAACAATGATTTCTCGTCTTCGGAGCGATATTCTGATCTCACTGATGATTCTTCGCTGCTTGTCCAGGCAATGGAGCTCTCTGGCCCCAGATGACAAGAATGTTCGAAGATTAGCCGACATAATAAATGTACAGAATTTGGATTCAAAAGAAAACCACATATAGATAGTGAGTGTTTGACAGCGTCCATTCCATTCCATTTCAAGTTAAGAGTGCTTAGTTATTTTCTGGGGGAGTTCTTTTGCAAGTTCTGTAACGAAATCCTCATTTTTTTGCTCTAAAATGTATGATTTTCTGCTACTGAAAGCTTATGGGAACAAGCTTTGACTCACCAACACCACTTAGGTACATGAAGCTTTTAAGAAATGAAGAGTTCTTGTAACAAAGCATCAATAAAGAAAGAGTTTTCAACTAGGCCCTCGACCACGGTACTATTGAAGTCCTTGATAATATCGTTCTCAACCTATCGTAATCCCCACATTATCGACCTTTCCTAATCAAATCGCTTTCCATAGGTTTTCTATTAGTTGGCATCGCATTAGGGTCAATTTAGGTTAGGTTTAAGTTGATTAGGCGTGTACTTACTGCAGACCCACTTTAACAAACAACTACTGAAGGCTGTTAGGGACTTGATTATGAAATATCGAAAATGTAGGCAACTCCCACATGGAAAAAATATTTCAAAGGACTTTGATAGCAGACACATCTATAATTGAGCACCTCAATTGACCAGTATCCAAAGACAAATAAACTAGCAATGAACTTCTTTTGATAAGTCATTTGCTATTCAGTAATTTAAAGGAAACTGGTATTTCATATTTATTCTGTCGGTACAGAGTAAGAGCAACTACATGCATGCATGAACTATCGACAAGAATGAAAAGAATAAAAAGGAAAGGAACACTGAAGTCAGAGTTCACATGATGTAAATGAATGTTACTCTTGGACGAATAAGATCTCAGCTTGACCAGAAGCACGGCGGAACTTGAGCAACTCGATCAACATGTTCATTCTGCAGTCCATGACATACACACAAGGCGATATGCTCATCTCCTCCAGCACTGGCGAATTTGCAAGCAAGAACTTGATGAACTCCATCTCATGGGGCACACCGGACATGTCAGTCATCGTCACACATTTGAGTTGTTTAAAAGTGCAATCTTTAGGGCATTCTTTTGCCCAGAATGCCAAGTCAGGGGCTTCCGTAGCAGCTGATGTATGTGAAGACCCCTGCCAAGGAAATTACTACATCCCATGAGAGAATGATAATTGAGAGATAGTTTCCAGTTGTTATGAAACAAAAACAAACAAGCACTTACTGATATTTTGAGTTCGGTTAAGCTAGGAGCATTGGTGATCAAGCGAAGAACGACAAGAATCTCTTTCATATCCTCGAAACTAACTTGATATAGTTCAATAACTCTGAGGTGGCTGTATGTTATTTGGAGTTTTCCTGGACGATTACCTACACTCAAATACTTAAAAACATAATGGGGAGTTTCTCAGAGAAGAGAATAAAATAATAGGATTTCACCAGTGTTCAAAAGTTAGAATTGCACTACAGATCAACAACTCACTTGATTGAAGAGTACTTGAGAGACTGATTTGAAATACCAAGTGATTCAATTCAACAAATGTATTAGTTTTCCATTAATCCTTTGGACGTATTTGAGTACATTTACATGCAATCTCAAATACACCAAAGTCAAGGAAGCTAATTAATGATTCAGTAAAAACACCTTAAATGATATGCAAAATGAAGAGCAAACAATTGAGACAAGTAACACCAATCTACAAATATACCGAACCAAACGCTCCCCAAATACAGTTCCAAAAGGTTTAGTGGTTACCTTTGTAAAGTAGATATGACCAATAAGCCTCTCGAGAAGAGGAACACCACCAAGAAACTTCATGAAGTTGCAACTGGAGCTTTGCTCAAAGTGCTCAGCAGTGTCTTCAGTCATATACATAGCAACCGACATTGCAAGCAATTGTGGAGTATTCTCCAGGCATATATCTGTGAATTCACCTTCCAAGCACAAGTACTTGAGATTTGGAGCACGAACAGTTAGAGCTAAACTATCGAAATACGATAACGAAAGGTTTTCCAAGACCGGGCAACTCGAGATAAGGCTTTCGATTGCCTCCGGACCAACAAGAACCTGATAAAGATTGAGGCTTTTTAAATAGAGAAAGCCTTTAAAACTTGGCGGTGGCTCGAATTCACATCTACATAGCTCTAAACGGGTCAACTTCTTGCAGTTAAAAAGACAGGAAGGTATTCTGAACCATTCTCCATCTCCTAGTTCAAGAACCAATTCCTTGATACCACTTCTTGAAAGAAACAGCAACCACTGATCTATTTCAGGACAGCATTGCAAATACGAAGTACTGAGCTGGAACTTATGAATAGGGCCTTGGTGGAGAAACAACGTCCGAGTAATGAAGCTTATAAGGTTGCCCTCGAGCAGCGCCCGATCATTGCAGCCTTTAACACAGTTGTCATCGAAGACTAGATGGGTAAGAGTAGTCCAACGGTACCTCCACTTGGTTGACAAGATGCTTGAACTTACAGCATCCCTTATGGGCAATCTGGAAAGAATGCTCTCCATGATGCTCTGTGGAAGATCACTTATCAAGTCCCGGACCTCGGTATCCTCCATCTTGATATGATACCGTCTCAACTAAAAAACTTAACAATGAATTGAAAGAAAGAAACTTGGTACTACCCTATTCAAAAGCAGCATAAGTGGATCTCTATCTGATATCCATTTCATCAAAGCTTAAGAAAGTTGAGGCCTTTTTCCATTTGGACCCTCTGGTGGGGGCAAACCTAATTCAGCTTGAACGGGGATACGGGGTTAGAATTGACCCAGTTGCAGGGCTTCCCAGCAAAGCAGATCCCCAAATGTTCTTCAATTTGCCACGTTCTCAGCTCTGAACCAACGGAAAACACCTCAATCCTACATCCTGCAATTGCATTCAGCTAATCTCAGCGAAACTGATAGAAAGGAGGGATAAACCGAATTTCATTCTCAACCCAGAAAGAATTAAACCAAAACCATTTCTGGAAAAACAAACAACACGATAGCAAATACAAAATCTCAGTCGGCAGCGGAGCAAGAGAGATTACTGATTAGACGCAGCAACAAAGAAAACGAAACTTTTGGGAAACCGAACAAACCAATCGGAATGATGGAAGATAAGGAAGTGGGGAGCAGTTAGGCGAGACTAAGAATATAGGAGAATCATATGCATGAAGCTTTCTCTTCCCCTACCGTTTTCTTCTTTGCCTGGCGGTGGAAGATCGTCAGCTGGGTCGGTTTGAATGCCTTTCCATGATCCCGCTGCCCATCTCTCTCAATCTCTTTCGTGGCCTGGCAGTGAAAGTAAGCAAGAAAAAAATGGCTACGTGCGAATTATACAAATGAAATGTCGTTTGTCTTTTGGGTGATGAAACGGGCCGGTTTAAAGACCCAATATGAGTTCCAAACATCCAGACTTAGTTACTCGGGCCCGTGGGCTCGAGGCAAAAAGAAAAGAAACGAATTGCGGAGCAGTTTGGGCCCTGCCCATTTGCCATTCAAGCAAATCGAACCGGGATATGCATTTGCTTGTCCAATGTTTTTGGTAGGTCAAATGTTTTTCATAGTATACAGATACCTATATATAAGAAAATGAATATTAATATTAAACATTCAAAATAGACTATGTTTGTCAACAAAGATTACAAAGAAGCTAATTGAATACTAATATAAAAACATGCAAAATGGCACTTGCTGCCTCTCACCTCGAGGGATTCGAGGAGCTATGGCCACCCAACAGGGAAAACAGAGGGACAATGATTCAGGGACTCTGCTGCTATCAGATCTGGGCCTCTGCCGGAGAAAAATGAAAGAAACAATGGCTACGAAAGTACATTTTGGTCCCTGCCCCAAAGCCCTTCCCTTCCCTATTGCAACAAGGTTCTCCTCCCCCCTAATTTTCCACTGCCTCTCATTCATTACAGCATAACAGAAGCCCTCCCATCTCTTTTTCCTAGCTTCCTTCTATATGAACATCAAACCTCCCTCTTTGTCTCTCTATAGGCGATGGTCATGCTTCACCGCCTCTTCACCATAACAATAATCATTTATTCCCCATAGATTATTGCGGTGACCGGGTGAAGTGCCATCTGGAGCTAGTTGTCGAAGGGAGCGAAAGAAAAACGAAGAACTAGAGAGAAGATTGTTTTCAGATCTGGAAAGGAAAATGGGATAGACCCTATTTTGTTTGACTAGGTTGGTTCATGGGTCGGGCTGGTTCAAAGTTTGGGTTGGGCCTGAGTTAGACGACATGGCGAGTTTAATTGATGTGGCAGCTCGGGTTTCATCAATTTCGGGTTAAATTAGGCTGGTTAGGCGATTCCGTCTACCACGTCAGTATATAACGGTCTTCACTAATGGAGACAGACGGAGACTAACGGAGAGTGACCAAATTTGGACTGTTTTACTAAATATAATGACTAAAAGTGGAATTAATATTTCTAGTGACCAAATATGAACATTTTTTTGTAATTCCAATGACCAACTTTGCAATTTACCCCGCTTTTAATGTACACAACAAATTATCATGGCCTCGGAGTGGAGAACGGCCGGCCTTCTATATTGTCCGTACATGTACGGATAACAATAAGATATTAAGATTCGATCTTGATTATAAAAACAAAAAACAAAAACACAAGTGGCTTTTTCCATGATGAAATTGACCTTATTTTCTTCTCCAACCGCCCGCTTTTGTCGCTAAGTATTAACATAATGCGTCACTTGATTGCCCATTTGCACCAAAATTGAACGAACTCAATTATCGAACGGTACATCAGCCTGCAGTGAATGGCCATTTGGTTTCGTTTCGGCGGGTGACAGCCAATTCGGCCCAATATTTATCTCCGTCGCTAGATAACGCATGTGGTCGCCATCAAATAACAACGACTTGCATAATGCCTTTGTCCTCTCATATATCTCAATACTAATCACAAATGTGATTGGATTCTTCAAGTAACGTGGAGCAAGAAAACGAAGTCACGGAAGATACGGAATTAGCCACCACTCCGTACACTTACAACGCCATGTTCCATTTCCATCCAACTCTAATACTTACCGACGTGTTATTGTAACCACACGCTTATAATATTTGGTAATGCATCATGTGATCCACATTTGTTGCACGTAGTTACTTGCACTTATCAGTAAGCGCCGTAATCGAGTTGACTGACTCTGTCAACAAATGAAGGATTATCATACAACCTTGAATTTTGAATAAGAGGGATTATGTTGGTTTTTGGTTATTTTGGATTTGTAATGGATTTAGATAAAACCATGTTTGTTTGTAGGATTTGATAATGGATTTTAGTAGATTGGATTTATGTGTTAATGGTAGAAATTTACCTTCATGTCCTTAATGAATGATTTTTATTTTTAATTTTAAGTAACCACACGATAAAGCAAGTTCGATCATCCAAACTTAAAAAAAACATATAAACTCAAGCATGATATAGTAGCTGAATAGATTGAACTAATAGTTAAGAACTTCTTAAATGGTCCATATTGTTCGACCATTTTAACCCTCTCATAAACAGTTAAGTTGACACAGCATTATAAATAATCTATGGTTCATCCTCAATAAGGGTTGTGTGAGGCTCATAATAGAGATGATGATGGTCGAGGGAGGATAAAAGTGGATTATGTAAAATGAATGAGGATATTATTGTCATTCAACATTATGGATTTTGCCTACCTTCAATAATCCCACCTCTAGGGGTTCACGGATTTCAACCTAGAAAAATCTCATACATGTGGGCCTCATAGATTTGAGCAAAGTCCAATATGTAGCAACAAACATGGATTATGAAGATAATCCATCAAGTGTTGGCTCTTGGGATAAAATCGATGAAAATACCAAAAACAAACGACCCCTGAGTCGTTGATATATGAGCAAGTTTGATACAACTCTGCTCACTTTTGTTAGGTAGACCAACTCAACGGCTTGTTAAACGCACAAGGAGCTTGAAAGTATAGATTTGGAACTCGCTTGTCCTTTTAACATTTTAGCCTTCACTTTTTAATGCCTTGCACAAAAATTATGTTATCAATATATATTTTCAGCAAAAAAGAACATTTCAAGTTCATTCTAAGCCAATCTTGTGCTCCATCAGCAAACCCTGTTTGTGAGCATCTATCAGGTCAAACCAAATTGAGCACAAGCAAAATTATTTTACAAACAACAACATCGATCCTGGCACTTCCTCGGTACAAGGCATAACTTCACATAACCTATATAGCTATACTTTGAAAAGCTTAGACCAATTGCGCGCCACAAAATTACCCAACGAACAAAAAACTATATATGTTGCAGAACATTTGGTAATCCTGATATTCTTTGCCTAAGAAACCAACGAGCTATGGTTCAATTGCCTAACTCTACTTCCAAAGCAAGAGAATCGACCAGGTTCCAGAAGAAAACAACTGCAACCAACCGAGTCTACATCAAACTTCTGTCTGCAGCTGTTTTCTAAAATCTAGCTATTATATGCTAGTCAAATAAAATCTGTTGAAACAGCACTACTAAATGGTTGACAGGCCGTCGGAAGATTCCCATCAATACAGTGCAATATTATTATATATATCAACCACTGGCAAGAAGAATAAATACGGAGTTCGACTCATTCAAACGAAGCGAATATAGTAAGTAGCTCAGAAAAACATTACTGTTCGTTTCATTAAACAAACAACTTCGAATGCCGAATGAATAACACAACAATTTTTATTCCATGAGTTGTCCTCTTGCCCTGGTTTTATCAACCAGAGTAAGCTCCAACCATCACAAAAGCTCAAATGGAGGAAAACAAGTATGGCCAATATCATCAATCTGGCGTTTATGCAATTGGGAATCCAAACCATACAAAGGGTACAAAGTGTATAGAGCATAACTCATCGATTTGGGAGGCTCAGTGGGAGTAAATCTTGAGATTGAAAGACTTGTTGATCCATGTCTTCCAGCTCCCGCTCCCCTTCTGCCCTACAGCTGCAGTTGTAGGTGATCTTCCACCTTCATCATCCATCTTCATCCCTGCCGTCTTCTTGCACAGCATGAAGTTTCTGCAACCGATAGACCCGATTGTCTCCCATGGACTCAGGGCTGCAACCAAAAATTCAATCCACAACCCACAATCAGTACAGATACCGAGAACATAACCCACAAAAGCAATCACGATAAAACTCGACAGCCTATCAATCATTCAGCAACTTAGCACATGAAAAAGTACGCAAATTTGCGGAATTGGGAAAAATCTCTTTACCTCCAGAGCCAGCGCTGGGGCAGTAGAGGAAGAAATCGTTGAGATGGGAGCCGAGCACCGGAAGCCGACCCTCCCGAGCGTAAGACTTCAACGCGGTATCAATTACAGCAGCCACGAGCTCCTTCTCGCCGACCACGAACCGAAGTGGCCCGGCACTGCCGAGAACAGACACGCTGATCAGCAGCCGGTTGCCTTTCGAGGCACCGCCCTGATTCTTCTTCGTCTTGTGTAGCAACATCCTTCCAAATTTCCTTTTCCTTTTTCTCTTCTCTTCTCTTCTCTTCTTTCTCGCTCTCGAACAATCAGAATCCGAAATCGAAACCAGAACAAAAATTGAAACCTAACAACAAAAGAATTTTTTTTGTGTGCTTTTTTCTTCTTCTTCCTTCTTGTTCTCCCCTCACAAAATCAAATCAAGGAAAATACGAATAGAATACAATTCGCCAGGAGCGGCGGCGCGGAGCAGGCGGCGGGATCTCAGGGGTCGACGCCTTGGCAGCGGTGGTACCAGCCTTCCTTGCAAGAGCCGAAAGCGAAAGCAGAGGCAGCAGATACGACGCCCGCCCTTGATTGGCAAAGGGAGAGCATGTAATTACCTAATCCTAAGATTTCCACCATTCACAATGACCGACGATGAGATCTTGGCGTCGTCGTTGTGGATCGAGATGGGCAACACCGGGAGAAAAAAAAGGAAAACGAACTCAGGAGCCCGGCAATTTATCCCTAAATCGGAAACGAGAAAAGCCGCCAGAGATTGAGATCCGATCGACAGAGGGAAGAGCGGCCGGGGACGCGGTGGAGGAGGCGGCGTCGAGCGAGCGAGAAGAGAGAGGGGAAAAAGGGATTGTTAGGGTTAGGTGATTGCCTGATTGGTTACAAGGAATTGTGAAGGGATGAAAATTGGATTTTTATAGGGGAAGGAAGAAGGAATCCTTCTAGGAGATGGAATAGTAATATTAGCGGTGGGAGGAAAAAGGCAGCTGAAAACGGCAATCGTTGTCTGCGTGTTGACCTACTGGCACTGAACTGTGGCGTGGCGCGCGAGCGTAGTGTGGTGGGCCCCGCTGGCCGTTCGCGGTTAATTTGTAATTTTTATTTGGGCCGTTCCGTTCCGTTCCGTTACTCATTGATCAGCGTTTAACGGCCGGAAGTTGCCGGCTCGGGTCATTGACTTCCTATTTTTATCTCCCGTTTTATGAGTGTGGTTAACAAACTATTTCATTTCGGTATTTAAAAAGAAAACGTTTTTCATGATGCTGTGGCGGAGGAAGATTCGGTTTTAGTAGTCCCTGGCTGACCTAGATTGATGTCAGGAAGGTTGTAATCGGTTAATTTTGAAAAATTTAGAAAGAAATTAGTTTATAAGATCTTAGTCCCTATTCAATTATCATTGCACTTTGTGACAATAATAGCCACATTTTGAAAAATACCCAAATATAGCCACATTTTGAAAAGTAGTTGGACAGATTTAGCCATTTCCGTTAAAATCTTTAACACCGTTAGTGACTTCGTCCGTAACGTGAACGTTATGTTGAGGTGGATGTCAAATCAGCTCACACGTCAGCTCCAACAAGACACACAATGCCACCTGGATGCCACGTCACATTTTAATTAAAAAAAATTCATTACTTAATTTTTTTTAATAAAAATCTCATAACTACCGGCTACCCCCGCCTGCCAAAAAATCCCGCTTTGCTAAAAAAATCCCACCGCCCCAAACCCTTACTCCTCCCAAACCAAATCTCCAGGTGCCTCCTCCATCCCTGTTTCTTTTCATATCGAAGAAATCCCTTCTACCTTCCGCTCTGAGCACAACAGAGCCATCGAGCTAGGCACCGGCTGCGGGTCGCCGGGATGGCCCTCCATCTCCACGACCTCACCGCCATCGATTCCTTCGGGATGAACTGTAGTGGCGGAATTGGTGCGGCGGGGTGAGGGTTTTTCTCCACCTCTACACGAGTCGATGTGATACTCTGCCTCGCCGCCTGCGAATTGGTTGGTGGACAAATCTATGGCCATGCCTGCCGGGAGAAAGAGGGAGGCGGACTGGGTGAGTTAGGGTAGTTGATTCGTAGTTGTGGATGTTGGTTGGTCACGCTTCTGGTCGGCGACGAAGCATATGGATGCGGCCGGAGGATTGTAAACGGAGAGAAGAAGAAGTGGAAGGGGAAGAAGTCTATAGGGCGGAGATCTGGTTTCTATAATTAATTGAGGGTGGAATCAATTGAAACAAAACCCTAAATTGGATCTTCAATGAATGACAGAACAGAGGTGGGAGGTGGAGAGCTTCAAGGAATCAAAGAAAGAGGGAGAAGATAAAGTATAAGCCGCCTCCGCTCCACCATCGCCGACGAAGATCACTCACTCGTGCCGGAGAGCCGGAGGGAAACAGAGGCTGGCTGTCGGCATAGAGAAAATTTAGGAGTAAGGAGAAGGTGAAGGTGAAGAAGCAGACTCTCTTTCCTTCATATTTTCTGTATTTTTCTTGTAATTAATAACTTAAGTTTAAAACAAATTCCACCCTGGCATTGCCACTTAGACAAGACCTGGTCACGTTACAAGTTATCGTTTGTCCAGTTAGCAGTCATGACAAAACCGTTAAATTTATAGACGAAATGGCTATATTTGTGTATTTTTCAAAAAGTGGCTATTATTGTCACAACGTGTATAGTTATGGCTATGAAAGTGTATTTTGCCTTGTTTTTATTGGTCCAACCTCGTTCAAATTTCTGAGTCAACCACTGTTACAAGTTATCTATTCAATAATTATGAAATTGTTGGGATACTTAATTCAAGTACGAGAAAATAAAAAATCTAAGAAATGTTTTGGTTTTGTAGGGCAGCTGTCGAAATCGAATAACAACCTTTTAGATGTTCCACTAACAGGCTAACGTATGTTGTCCTGGGATTTAAGCGGTGCCTTTTGTAGTGTCGAATACAAACAAAATTACTCGACAAAACGAGCGAATCACGTGTGCGTGAAAGTATACGTACATGTAATTAGTAATGATATTGACATAGTACATCAATGGGCGAACATCACCGAAATGGAGATCGAATTCCCGACAAACCTAAACGCTCTGTTTGGCAACAAGGGGGTGCAAATTGTAGGAGGGTGCAAGTTGAGGTGCAAATTGTTGGGGGGTGCAAATTGCTGGGGGGTGCAAATGAAGGGGTAAATTGTTGTTTGGATGAAAAAGTAGGGGGGTGCAAAATGATGTAAGAAAGAGTTTTAGATTATTATATATAAAGAGTAAATATAATAATATGAATGTTATATTATACATAGGTAGTAAAATACGGTACGCGAAAGTTGTGTATAAAATACGTACGGATATTTTACTTCGTCTCTAACCGAATGTTAAGTTTAACAGTCATAAATATATATAAAAAATTTATTTTAAAATTAAATAAATATATAAATAATATTAAATTGAACAATTTAATTCATTAAATACGGATATTAAACGTGTTATACGGGTTTTATACACGTTTAGTACGGGAGCCATCAAATGAACGAAAATAAACGAAACGGCTTCACAATAATATGGATACGGAAGTTTTAAACAGATACAATATGTACGAGTACATATACGTATATTAAACGGAGTATCTACTAACTATGATATTATACTTATGGTATCTTACTAGTGATAAAATAATACGTATCTCATGAACACCAATCCTTTATGAATAATCATAATAGTTATTATATTAAAAATAACACCACAGCAAGAATAGTAGATCGACCCAACTCCTGTATAACACAGCAATCGGAGATGAGGATGACAGGACTCCGCCGGCCGATTGAAGCCGACGAGTCGGAGTGGGCGGAATCAGAATTTCTATCTCCTAAATCTAGGTTTATGGTTTGTTTGGGTGGGATGGGTAGGCTTTCGCAGTGAATGGCGGAAGAGAGATGGAAGAGAACAAAGTAAAAGGGAAAAGAAGAACCGTAGAAAATAAAGTGGGGAGGAGAAAAAAAAAATATAAAAGCAAATAATTTTTTGCTTCCCTTCCTTCCGCCCCAAATTGGGGGTTAAGTAAAACAGTATAATTACCCCTTTAATGCACCCCCTACCTACTGTTGATAATTATCCAAACAGGTACATATTTTTTGGGATTCTCATTTACCCCCAAAAAGTTGCACCCCCCTCCATTTACCCCTCAAAACAAACAGAGTGAAAGAGTCACAATATAAAATCCCACCCTATCAACATCCTGCGACCTCTCCTCTGCAGCAAATTCCTGCCCCCACATACTCTTTTTTTTTTTTTGACAAAAGATAATTTTCATTAATATCAAAAAAGATAGTTACATCCTGGACAGCAGCCAGGCCTGATAATTAAAGCCACGATCCGCGATCGGGTACAAAGAGAGGGCTTTCCTAGCCACCATATGGGCTACCCTATTACTACTCCGACCTACGAAACGAACCCTCAACCCCGGGTGAAAGCGCAAATACTGCAAAACCTCTTCCAAAACAGCCCCCACCCGATTATCTCTGGCATTTCCTTGATTAATCTTGTCAATGATCACCTTTGCATCCCCTTCAAAACGCACATTAGTGAACCTATTCTCCAGACACCACAGAATCGCCTCCCGAAGGACCAGCAACTCCACTGTCTTCGGATCTCCTAAAAAAGGGAACTGGACGCCTTTGACTAGCAAGACCATTCTATCAGGGGATAACAGGACAATTCCACCAGCCGCATGCGACCCTGGCCGGATCCCCCCATCCCACTGACAGATGACCTCCCCCCCTATCCCGTCCATCCCTATTCCTTCCTCCACCGGGGCCAACAGCGTGCGACCTTTATCCACAGGCAATCGCACCCATTCCTCATATTGCTGATGGAACTGGCGCATTAAGGCCTCGATCCCAAACTGTTTGCCCTCAAAGACCACCCAGTTCCGGGAGCGCCAAATGCGCCACAAAATACCAACCACTGCCATGAACAGCTGGGGTTGGGAAATCAAAGCCAGCAACCTTTTAAGAAACAAAGGAAAAGTGTGCCTCGCCAACCCCTCCCCTACATAATCCAGGCCTGAGTACTCCCACAGTGTTCGCGCCACAGGGCATTCAAGGAACAAATGCTCCATTGTTTCCAAATTATCCCAGCAAACCGGACACCTAGGTAGCACAGGCACACGCTTACCAATCAGGGCCTCAGTAGTTGGCAAGACTCGATTTAGAATCTGCCAGACAAAGACTTTTAGCTTTGGGGGGATATTCGCATTCCACACCCTGATCCAACTTGCTCTATCCATCCAGCTAACGGTGGCCTTCCATCCCCCTCCCCTCTTATCTAAATCAACAGCTAAGTGATAAGCAGACTTAACCGAGAACAACCCATCCGCCGTAGCATTCCAAATTAGCTTATCCTCCAAATTCTCTCGAGGAAGAGGGATCGATTTAATGGCCCTACAAGAGGGGGGATCAAACCATTGGCTAAGTTTTTGCTCATCCCATCGCCCCTCCCCTTCGCAAATAACCACCGCTACAGGTGGGTCACCCCCGTCCGGGATGATCACAGGATTAACAACCGGGGGATCCAGTTGGAGTTGCGGGATCCAGTTGGAGTGCAGCAGCGAAGCAGATTTTCCATTTCCAATCTGCCACCTTAACCCCCTCTCCAGTAACTGACGGCCAAACAGAACACTCTGCCAACCCCAAGAGGGTCGAGAACGGGCCGTTGCTTGCAAGAATGTCCCATTTGGGAAATACTTGCCTCTATAAACTTGAGCGAGAAGGGAGTCAGGCTCCGTGAGGATGCGCCACCCAATCTTGGCAAGGAGCGCTTGATTAAATTGTTCAAACCGTCGAAATCCCATCCCGCCGTCATGTTTACTTTTGCACATATTCCGCCAGGACACCCATCGAATTCGAGGGTGTCCCTCCGAGTCCCCCCACCAGAATCTTGCCACATGCTTATCCAGAATACGACATAAGGACCTGCCCCCACATACTCCACTCTTCAGTTGTTACAAGTTTTTGCATGCATCGTCAAACAGTCTTCTCCGAGTTTTTATTGTCGGGTAGGCTTTTTACAAACCACATCATTCATCAAAACGTCTCGTCCATCTTCTATCTCTCGAGTCTCATCTTCATTCTCAAGATCTAGGATTTAATAAAAACTCACATTTTTCAAAGATTCAACAAGCAAATCTCCCCATAAGTCATCGATTAAAAAAAAAATCCTTATGAGTATGCTCAGTTCTCGATCTCCACTACTCTGGATTTAGACATGTATTGTGCCGCTATGGCAATTACTCAGGATCCGTCACTAATTAATGAATATACACCCGTAGCAGCCCTTAAACATGGCTTCAGTATTTTACTATATTTGAGACAGCATGTTTTTCTTTTCGTTTTTATTCTCGCGCACCGCGTGAACCACGCGAACCAGCTAGATGCCGGAAGGTATTTTCATATTTTGTAATCAGAAATCACTAATCACTCAACTAGCCAGGTATTTTTGAGAAAAAAAAAAAAGCTTACAATTAGGAGAAATTTTATAGTAAGAGTGCTTCCACTAAAAATAAACTTTTATGATATAAGTTGAATCCCTACCTTTAATATTATATTAGGTGGTGATGCCGCGCCTTGTCGCGGGGCGGAGATGGCCTATTGGCATGTATTATGTTGCCCATTATGGTGTTTTGTTAGCATTATTAGTCGTCTAAACCTAAAAGAAAATTAGCAAGTTTGTTAGTAATATTGACTTGATAATATGATCTTGATTGAGAATATATATATATAGCGGCGAACATCCAATTTTGAAAAATTTGGCTAGTAAATGATATATACCTAAACCCAAGTGACCCATTTATTATGGGTAGGGTATGAGTGATGTATATGTGGGTTTGGAAGTTTGTAGAAGGGTATGGGTAGGGTATGAATATTTATTTTCATAATCTAAATGTGTATGAGTATTGAGTTGGGTTGGGTATGGATATCCATGGATTCAAGTGAAATCTAAACATTGGACCAATATGTAAATTTAAAAAATTATAGGTACGAAAATCTTATAAAATGTAGATACCAAAATATAATTGTTAAATGAATTTACATTAAAATTAAATTTGAGGTATCAAAATTAAAAATGTACATTATAAGGATTAAGTAGTGATTTAATTAAATTTGGAGTATCACAAAGTAAGTTTTTATGCAACAATAAACTTACTTCATCTTTATATATATTAATAATATTTTTGTAAAGATTCATATACCGTATAATATTGAACTTGCATCTTGAACATTATAGTACAAATTTAGTTTTCACCTTTATTTTTTTCCTATAAATTTATGTGTAATAAAAACTGAATTTGTATCTTTAATGTTTTGTTACAACTTCAATGTATATCTATACATTTTCGTACAAATTGAACTTATACCTTTAGCATTACTTATATGTTGAATTTATACTCGAAAGCACCAATACTTTGAAGAATAGTTTTTTTTTTACGAAGCTTTGAAGAATAGTTGATGCAATCTACAACTAGCCTCCTAATGCTCAACAAAATTAGCAATCTACCCCTAATCCTTATCCTTCCTTACTTAATATTATAGGAATTCAAAACAAAATTAGTGCCACATAAGCACATGGCTAGCTCTCATTCGTCCAATGTGGATAACCTCTAATAATAATTGCAATATTTTTTTTTCTTGCACTTTAATGCATCATTATTAGAAATAAAACATAAATTGAGTTAATAACAATGTTAAAGTTCCAATTAATGTAATCTTTGATTTTCTTCTATCTCTTTGTTGAAAGCTTCTCTCTCTCAAAAGAAAATCCAACATTGAAAAGGAAAAAAAAGATCAAGTTCTGTAAAACAAACAAAACTCTCTTCTTATTTACTAAATTATTTTTTAGATTTCTAATATTTATCTTCTTTACTTTTTACACAATGATAAAGGAAGGAAATAATACTACATATGTGGTTTTTTGTTTGTTTGTGGATAATAGGGAGGGAGTTACATGAAGCAATGATTAGATGGAAAATCATTGAGCAGGTGTAACATATTTTTGAGTTGTTGACGGGGAAAAATTCATCGTATATTTGTGAACACAAAGCATTGTCGACTATTCCCTTTTCCCCTTGATGCACAATTGGTGATTGATCTCTCTTCCCCAACAATATGTGGTTGCCTACAATTAAATGGCTGAGTTCTACTCTTCTGCCCATCATGTATCTCTTCCCATTCTTTTCTTAATTTCTTCCAGATTATGAAGGTGGGGTCGTAAGTTTTCCACTAAATTTTGCAAATGTATTTCTTCTTCATTTTCCAAGTAGTTTATTCTATACGAGGAGAAATCCATCTTGCGACAGCAAACCTCAACCCCAATAGATACCCGAAAACTCGGGAAAAGTTTAATACGAGCTTACAGCCTTGGCGGTGGCCACCAAGGGGTAACGCAAAAGGGGCGACTGCCAAGGATCGATCAAGGACCTCCTAGACACAATCCTGTGCCTTTACCACCTCTACCATCCCTTGGTGATTTCCAAGTAGTTTTATATGATTCTCTCTCTTGCCTTATACTTTTATAAAAAATAGGTAATAGATATTTGGAAGGGTTAATTTATGGGACTTAAAGAATCTCTCTTTGGGTTGAACAATTGATCATTTTCCTTGGAGGCCTATCGCAACATGATTCCTTTGATGCTGAATGGAAAACAGAGTTATGAGGGTTGTCATCTTGCCAAACTCCATCAGTGGATGTTTGTTTATGTTTGTTATGTGCAAGAGCAACATGCTACTACCTAGCCATATAATGATGATACGATAAGTGAGTAGTATGTAGCAGCGGGGTTATGATGTGATCCAAATCCGAAGAGAACCCTCGAACTCGGATTATATGACCAAAGTACGCAACATTCCTTCTTTTTACGGAATTTTTGAAGTTTTTCTTGACAACTTGAAAATAAAAGATAGATATGGAACACGATCAAACAGATTCCAACTCGTGTGAAATGCCAATTGGTATATGAAACCAATCAAACAATCACCCACTCGTGAATAAGGCCAATCACTATTGGGTAGAAGCTCGCCACAACTAGACACGTTCTCTAATTGATAAGAGACACGTGAAACTCTTGGAGATTCTCGACAGAAGCTTGCACAAACGTTCACAAAGGAACACGGGTAAAAACTCTTAATTGATAACTTGAATATTGGGGTACAAAATTCGCAGATCTTACACCCTCTATTTATAGAGGTCTCAAAAACATAAATCTAACCTAAAAGAAATAGTAAAAAAAATCACAAACTAACTAGAAAAGATATAAATCAAACAAATAAAATAATTAAAACTTTAAGTTACACGTTGCTGCCATCTTTCCGTCTCCACCACGGAAATCAACTTTGCTCCGTACCTTGACTCCACACTCATCCATATTCCTTGTCCTTAGTGGAATTGTAACTCCGTCCCACCAAGTGAAGCAGCTGCGAAATTCATTGTCCGAGGGAGATTGCTTTTGATTAATGGACCAAACTACCTTAATTAATGGACCAAATCAATTTCACTCCATGCCTCATTCCACGTGGTTTATTAACCTTCCACAAAGTAGCTTTTAGCTTTTCTCATGTATAATAACCAGCACCAAATAAATTGTGAACACAATTTATCCATCAAGAATGTTCCTAATTTATACTTATAACACCGAATATGAATCTTCATTTTTGGACCACGGGAAGTAAATATTTTGCTAGTTAGGTTAATTAACTTGTTTACATTGCGGATGGTACGGGATAACACCAGAAGAGGCTGCTGAGTTGAGAAGAGAAGATAGGACTTCCATGGCGATGGTGAAAAGGTAAGGAATTAAAGCCCAACCTTGCCTTAACCCCTTTTGTGCCGAGAAGAACCCACAAAGACCCCCATTAATGTTTATACTGAAATGAGCAGAACTAACACAAGTCCTAATCCATCCTATGAACTTGAAGGTGAATACATGTGTTTAGCACAAAGTGGATTTTTATGACTTTGATCGTAACAGGAGATCAGTTGCTTCATAAAATCCATTGTTGGTTGAGAAGTCTCAGCGATCTGGTTGTTTCTCATTTCAGTATAAGCACATAACCACCATCTCATTGCTATGTGAGCTTTCTGACCCAATAACGGAAGAAACGGAGGAATCTGATGGAAGACAAATAAGAAATAAACTAACAAGGTCGCGGGTTCGATCCATCAGTTATCCTGATAAGTGTAGTCGAATGAAGTAGGGTGTCGTCCAAATGACGGACGGCTGCTCAGTAGATTCAGATCCACAGACGGCAGCGAAGTGGCGGCCGGAACGGCGGGAATTCACACGGGGCCGCGTTTATCTCCGAAGGAAACACTTCCTCACTCACCTACTTTCACTCCAAAGCAAAGAGCGCCGATCAAGTTGAGCTTCAATTCTCTAATTTTGCTTGTTCGCCCATTCGTTTTCTGCCCTTTAGCGCCTTTGTTCAATCGCTCTTTCTCTGGGTTCAGCAGCTGGTCCGTAATCTGGGTAATTATCTTTTTAGGCGACGTTTCTTCTTGCGGCTAAAATTTCGTTTTCCCCTCTCAGTCTGGTGCCACGATCAAGTTTGCTTTCCCGCGATCAGTGACGAAGCTGTGAGCTTTCGACGGACTTCGCCGCTGCCGCTTTCTGCTGCGGCTGCAGATATTTGGCAAGTGTTGCTTTCTTGCGTTTCTGGTCTTCAGCCCTCCTCCATTTCTTGCACAATGAACAATTCTAGGTTTTCGATTCCAAGTTCTGCCGCCTCTCCCATCCCCTGTTTACTCTGTTTCTAGGGTATGAGTGTTTCTAATTGACTTGTCAATGTTCCAAATTTCATAATTATGATAAGTTCCGTTTCTGGGAGGTGTTCCATTTTACCTTGGAGGGTTGTAAATTTCTGTTGTGTTAAGCATTCATTTAGTATTCTTCAAGGTAGCCGCAAACCAATGCATTTTTGTTAGTTTGGTTTCCCAATTCACCATGGAATGAGATTCTCAGAATATCTTTCAAGATGGAAGGTGATTTAAAAAGAATCTTCATGTTAGAAAAGTTTGAAATGGGAATTTTTTTTAATTGTTATGTTTTACAGAATAGCACAGGTCATAAAAGTTCATGGATGGCTTAATCACTAGAGAGACTTCTGCTCCATTCTGGTTGCTTCTACGTGAATTGCTCTGTTGGATTTCCACTTAGTTCCTTTTGTTGTGTCTTATTCGTTGATCGGGCTGCTTTCACTGCTCTGCTATGTGCGGGATCTCAGTAGGCTTATACAGTTTTCCGACAAATAGGACTGGAGTGTTTCCCCCCATATAAGCTCTCCTATGACCCTCTATAGAACTGTTTGAACCACATCTGGTTTCTTTATGTGAAGCAGATACTTACTTAAGCTTTGGAATGTCAATATACGGGCATAATCTCTTTCTGATATTGTTTTGTAGATCCCGATCGAGCTCTTTAAAAGATTGTGGAGTGGACCTAGAAAAGGGGGAAAGGCAATTGTTTTGTGGTGACCGTCCGTTGTGGCTTGTCTGGGTCTTGGTTTGTTGAGCCACTAGCCAATAGAAGTCCCCACATATTGGTGGTTCCCTCAATGAGGGAAATCAAGCCGTTATCAGAAGCTAGATCTTCTACTGTCATATTATTCAAGAATCCTAAAGTAATCGTTGCCCTTGGTTTGCTTCTCTTTGATGCTGTGCTCACTGCTGTCATCATCGCCTATGTTCCTTGTAGGATTCACTTGATGCTCAACCCACTATTTCCAATCCTTATATTTGCTACTGATATGAGTTCAAGTCTAAATGTCTGATTGATTTTCTCAATTCTAGATACGAAGATTGACTGGGATGCATACATGTCACAGGTATGTGTCTCCCACCTAAAAATTGTAACAGAGTTTCTTCCGTTGTGTTGATCAGGAAAAAGTTGAAACCTTTCGTCAGTTAAAAGTTGAAAAGGATGAGAACAAAGAATAAACATAGAACCTTTTAGTTTAAAGTTCGACCAAACTTGATTGATGCTTAGTCCGCTTAATGAACAAACAAGCAGGTGACCGGATTTCTTGAAGGAGAGAAGGATTATAGCAAATTGGAAGGCGACACAGGGCCACTAGTTTACCCTGCTGGGTTCCTCTATGTTTATTCTGCTATTCAGTATGTCACTGGAGGGCAGGTGTTTGCCGCTCAGGTACAGTCCTTCATGCTTTGTTGATGCCCCTCCATCTCTTATCCCACGACAAACTTCTCTTATCTTAGTTTACCAAGTTGAATAAATTTCTTTCTGTTTCTGGTATCATGCCTTGCAGATTCTGTTTAGTGTCTTGTACATCGTGAACCTTGCTGTCATCTTATTCATCTATGTGAAGGCAGATGTGGTTAGTGAATTTTCTCTGGGTGTCGAGATTTCAGTTTTATGCTGCCTTTCACCCTGATGGAATCTGAGGTTTGATGGTATAAGTGATTTGTTGTAGCTCCCTTGGTGGGCACTTGTTTTGCTTTCTCTATCGAAAAGGGTGCACTCTATCTTCGTCCTTCGCCTCTTCAATGATTGTTTTGCAATGACACTGCTGCATGCTGCTATGGCCTTGCTTCTTTACCAGCGGTGGCATCTTGGACTGATCCTATTCAGGTGGTACATTAACGTTTTTTATTTCTGTTTATTTTAGTTTTTTTCCTAACTCAACAAAGCGTCCTCGTTATTTGTATACAGTGGGGCTGTTTCTGTAAAGATGAATGTTTTGCTTTATGCTCCTCCATTGCTTCTACTTATGTTAAAGGTGGGCGGTGTTTTTTTAAATTTTCTTGCACTACTCCTCATGCTAATTAAAGTTCCCATTTTCAGTTTCTTCCTGAATTTTTGACCACTCATTTCAGAATTGTTCGTCTTTGGATTCCTTTTACAGTCAATGGATGTCTGCGGAGTGATATCTGCTTTAGCTGGAGCAGCACTTTTACAGGTTATAACTTGGCTATTTGTTCTCTATTTTAAGCATTATTTCTAGTTAAGAATAGTCGTAAGCATTTTCAGTTTGAAACAAAATACATATATTGTTATGGTTTGTTGTTTGGGTGAGTGAGCTACTGCTACATCCGAGTTCTGGAACAGACTATCCTAGCATGCAGATTTTATTTTTTTCTTGATCCACAATGGGGGATCCTTTCTGCAGATTCTGTTGGGGCTCCCGTTTTTACTTTCACATCCAGCTGCTTATATATCAAGGGCCTTCAATCTTGGGCGCGTCTTTATCCACTTCTGGTACTTCCTTGTTCATAATCTTCTATAGTAGAGCATGCTCTCCATAAAGTTATCTGCTTATTGTTATGAGTTATGACTACACAAACAAAAAGACACTTGCATTCGTAGAATTCATGTTTTCACTTACGGTTCAATACTCCAAGAGCATTTTTGTTGGCTTGTATTGAAATCATTGTTTCATTCTTGCAACAGGTCTGTTAACTTCAAATTTATTCCTGAACCGATCTTTGTGTCAAAGCAATTGGCGATCTCTTTGTTGATTGTTCACCTTGTATTGCTCGCAGTTTTTGCTCACTACCGCTGGTGCAAGTAGGTGTCAGACCTTTTCGCTTATTACTTCATTATTATTGTTATTATTATTATCTGTGTACACAGTTTTCGAACGAAAACTTATTACTAGGTCTCGTATTAGTTTCTGTTTCGTAGTTTATTCATGGACCTAATAAATGGAATATCTAGAATCCCAAATTTTCTTGGTTGAAAAGATGTGTGCTTGATTGTTGATTCACAAATGATCCATACATTTTTCAACTGGGGGTAGTTGGAGGGTGTTGACAAATGCGAAATTGTTTCGTTATTCTTCCTGACAAGTGACAACCCTTTGCAATAGAAAGTTAGAAACTGGAGAATGCAATTTATATTGGGGTCTGATTCATTTTTTTTCTTCTTCATGCACTTGTAGGTTTGAAGGTGGACTGCTGAGGTTGCTGCGTTCCAGAGTGTTGTCTTTTTCTGGTACTAAGAGTTCCTCAATGAAGATAAAGGCAGAGCGTAAGTCTGAATATTTTGGTTTGCAATGAACACCGAAAAATTGTTAACTAATAACTTCATCCCCCGAAGCATTCTTTTGCATTTTCTGAAACTTTTGCTGAATCTTTGCAGACATTGTCACAACTATGTTTGTTGGCAACTTCATTGGCATTGTATGCGCTCGCTCATTACATTATCAATTCTACTCCTGGTAAGCATACTTTCAGGAGTCCATAAACGTTGTGATACAAGAAATGTTAGCTGAAAATGTCAACGCAATTGTGTTCTTGCCTTAGATTGAAATGTGTACTTTTCTACCGTGCATTCAGACGAATCCTGTGAAACAATCGCCTTATGTGCTCTTCACAGCATCAACTTCAGTCCTGCAATTAACTTGTTATGCATCATTGGTCACAGGTACTTCTTCAGCATTCCTCATCTACTATGGACGACGCAGTTTCCCACACTAGTACGGTGAGTCCTGCACTCCATCCAATTTTGAAAAATCATAGATGGCTGTGTTACTTCCAACTCTTGACAATTCACAGGTGTTTTCGGTGCAGTTTGATGTTGTTTACAGGCGCAGAGCTTTGCTGGAATATCTATCCATCCACAGTTGTTTCGTCGGCTCTGCTTTTGTTTCTCCATTTGGTAATCCTGTGGGGACTGTGGTCTGCAGCACCAGAGTATCCATATAGAGATGAGAAACTCTCAACACAAGAGAAAGACAAATGAAGACGTGGGATTGACATAGTGAGTTAAATGTTATCAACTATGACGTTGTTTTCTGAATTCAGACATTTTAGATATGACACAATGGCTGTTAGTCTCTGATCAGTGAATGCTTTTCACCAATTTCATTTTTTTTTTCTATTTTAAGTTTTATTTCCGTGATTTTACAATGGGTATCATCTTGGCGCCAAGCACCATACTTCTCAGTACCAATTACATCATGGACGACGAATGAAACTAGTTATATGTTTTGTGTATTAGTAATTTTTCGCAGTAGGTAGGAGTAACGTCATCTATATCAAGCATAATATCCCAACAACGTTAGGATATTCCTTTTCCGTACTGCATTCAAAAGGACAGACGGAAGAACTTCCTATCTTCCACAAGGTACATCTACTTCTTTCTCCCAAGGTATGGTATTGGAGCTTTCTTCGGACTCTAGAATTGATTTCCTGCTTTGTTTTGCTATTTCGAGCCTTGGTTTTCAGTAAATGGATGAGTTCTTCTGGTTTTTATCACTTGCGCAGTTGGTTTTGACTCTTTATTGCCCCTAATTAGTTAGTCTATGATGGTACATAGGAGGTTTTACAGTCCAGAGTTTGTAGATATATAGTGGTTGTGGTGTATATCATGCAAGGATTGTACCCGTGTACTAGTATCATGTGTATCAATTTAAAACAAGGTTCGTATTAAAAATGTGGTAATTAGGTTGTTGAAGAAGTTTTTCAGTTCACAATAATCGTAAGTAAACATGTTTTCATTTTAACTTGAGTGTATTTCTGGAAATATACATAGCCTGACTTTCTTCTCAGCGCCGAAATCAAATGCCTTAGCGCCAATTTTCTACCATTTTCGGATTATTTGAAATTGAGATAAAATGAGCTAACAGAAATCCTGCACTGTTCTACGATTTCTATATTTGTGCTTGGTTATCCGAATCGGTAGTTATTAGCTGATCGACAACTATATTTATCTGCAGGATGAAGAGGGTGGTGTGCCAGTGCCAGTGCAGTGCTGATAGAATCAGCAATCTTCCCGGCAACTTAGTACAGCGCATTCTCGTGTTCTTACCAATCAAAGATGCCGCCAAAACAAGTGTCTTGTCAAGCAAATGGAGGGAGGCATCGGTGGAGAAGTATTCCTCAACTTGTTTTTGATGATCGTTTTGCTAAAACATATAAAGAGGCTGAATATGGATCCGACATGGAGAGTAAGCTTCCAATCCTGAACATCTACAAGGCTCTCCTCCTTCTTCATGATGGGCCAATAACCAAGTTTGAGCTTTCTATCCCTGAATTAGTGTCCTGCGATGACGAGATGGACCTCATCGTTCTTTACCTTTCCAATAAAGGTGTCCAAGAGTTTACCCTCCGGTTCCGGAGTCTTGACATTTGGCATAATTATCCGATGCATTCTTCTCTGTTTTCTTCTGCACTTGACCTGAAATCCCTGGAACTTGAGAACTGTCAATTTACACACCGCCACCTTGGTTTGACGGGTTCAGTAAGCTTACCCGTTTTCGAATACAAGATTCCGCTTTGCCTCACCACAATTTCCTTGCCAAGTGCCCAATGTTTGAATATCTGAGTGTTGTAGATTGGGAGAGTCCTCCTGATAACCTTGAGATCGTGTCTCCATCTCTCAAATCCTTACAGTTAGTGAGGATGAGGTGCGGGCTCCTCAAGGTCAAGGGTATCTGCTTCAAGGATACTCCCCTTTTGTCATCTGTCCAACTTTTTTTCCATGATACCGACACGCTTGACTTGGCAACTGTTTTTGCTTCTATTCCAACAATCCGAAAGTTGGGGACGAACGATGTATTACTGCAAGTAAGTTACTTTTTTTCACAAGCAATTTTGATTCTTGTGAAAACGCCTTCTGGGTTTGCTTTACTCACTCACTCACTCACGCTGTGCATTGTGCTTGGTTTTTCTCAGCACCTTACTGCAGGTCCTAGAAATGTCCCCTCCGGGCTTCCTTCTCCTCTTCACCAGTTAGAAGTCCTCGAAATTATTGACTTTGACTATAGTCTGGACTGGGAGCATGGTTTTGTTTGTTTGATCATGAGTTCGCCAAACCTGCGTAGGCTCAAACTTCAGGTTCGTTGTGTTTGCGAATTGAGCTTTCTGTTTGCAGGATCTGTCAGGTGTATAAAATTTTTGTATCTAAACTTTGGTTCCTTCACAAATGTTCTTTTAGCTGTATCGTGACGAGAGAAAGAATGCAGTCAGCAACCTAGGGAGTTCACAATTGAGGATAGCTGTGGTACACAGGTTGAGCTGGACCTTGTGAGGTTCGTCCTAGCCACTGCCCCTCTGCTTCGACTGGTTCACATTATAGCTGCACGTAATTTGAGCTCTAAAAAGGTTACGAAATTTACGAGGGATGCGTTGAGCTACAACTACAAGCGTGTTTCTAAAGAAGCAGAGTTTATATATATTAATCCCTGCGATGATAAGTATATATGAGTAGGAATCTGTGGCCTTTGCCCTTTGGAATTAGAACCCTTGAACTTGTGTTTTTCACAATTGCAATTTTGGTTATACTAGCACGTATAGTCAAATTAAGCAAAACTTTTGCACTTCCACCATCATCCTTCATGGGTCACCGGGAATCGAATACAAGACCTCTCGGTCACAGAAAACTTTGATACCATGTCAAGAACCAATTGATCCCAATAACTCGAATTGTTGAGAGAGGTTCAATCGTGTATCATATACTACACACTAACACGCAATGCACCCCAATTTCCATCCATTTGCATGGGCAGGCAGCAGATCCATATATTGCGTTTGAAGAAGCAGCGTTAATCTTCTCATTAAAATCAAATCCCAGCTTTCTGTATCCATATCCTTCTGGTCTTTGTTGTTGTCTCTTTCTTGCAAAGTTAATCTTCATCTGGATTTGTTTGCACCGAACCGAACAATGTTCTTGATCAACTAATCAATCTTCTAGGGACGAGAGGATGAGTAAGGTTTACGTAATTAGCACCACCGATATAAATAAAAATAATATTCTGTTCTGTTGGCCGACCTTGGATTTCATTAGCAGCAGCTTGCTAGAGAACAAAGACCATCTGGGCCGAGGTCAATAAGTCAGCGGTCAACCATCAGGAGACTGAAGACCACCACAACCCAGAATTTCTAACCTCTGAAACTCCGCCATTAAAGCCAAACCCAACCTCCACCACTCAAGGAAGGAACAGTCGGTCACCAATGGCGTCCAAGACCCTCTTCTCCTTCCTCTACGCTTCCTTCCTTCTCCTCTCCATCCCTCCAACTTCCACCTCCCAAAACCTCACTTCCTTCTCCATCTCCGACTCCCCATGGCGCCCCTCCTCCAACAAACTCCTCCTCTCTCCCAACTCCACTTTCGCCGCCGGCTTCCTCCCTCTCCCCGCTTCTCCCAACCTCTACTCCTTCTCCATCTGGTACAACAACTTGTCTCCATCTGGCACAGAAAACACAACCGCCGTCGTCGTCGTCTGGTCCGCCACCTGGGCCAATTCTTCCCCTCCGCTCACCGCCAACGCTTCCCTCTCCATCACCAACTCCGCCCGCCTCGTCCTCCTCAGCAGCGGCGGCGGCGCTTCCCCCACCAACCTATGGCCTGGCGCTCCCTCGTCGGGCTCCAATTCCAGCTCTTCCACGAGTCTGATTTTGGGCGAGGATGGGAATCTCGCTTTCGGGGATTTTTGGAGCAGCTTCCTCCATCCCACGGACACTTTCTTGCCCGGGCAGAGCATTAACGGAACTTCAATTCGCTCAACGAACGGGAAATTCAGCTTCACCGATTCCACCTCTCTGTTTTTCAACTCCTCGGAGCAGTACTGGAAAATTGACGACGCTCTATCTCAGCTCAGCCCCGAGGGAACCGTGCCCAAGGCGAGCGGCGACAAGGTATACTGTGCGGATTACGGGTCGAACCGGACCCGGAGGTTGAAGCTCGACGACGACGGTAACTTGAGGATCTATAGCTTCGACCCAGATGAGCGCCGCTGGTTCGTCGCGTGGCAGGCTATCCAAGAGCCTTGTAGAGTGAAGGGGATTTGCGGCGAGAACTCCATATGTACCACCACCAACGACGGCTCCGATTCCACTTCCTGCGTCTGCGCGCCGGGATTCGCGGCGGTGGGGGGATCGAGCAGTTGCCGGAGGAAGAGGAAGATCGAGTTAGGGGGAAGCGATTTCAAGTTCCTCCGCCTCGACTACGTGAATTTCAGCGGCGGGACGAACGGGAGCCTTCTGGACGCTCCGAATTTCGGTGCGTGCAGGGCGAATTGCTCTGCAATGCCCAGCTGCCTGGGTTTTCTGTTCAAGTACGACGGCTCCGGCTACTGCTTCCTCCACCTCGGCAGGCTGCTCGACGGGCTGTGGTCGCCGGGCACGGAAGCCGCCATGTATTTGAAAGTCCACGCTTCCGAAACCGACGCCGCGTTGAATTTCACCGTACTGATGGATGTGCTTCCGACGACTTGCTCCGTTCGGATCGGCCTGCCGATTCCGCCGGAGGAGTCCAATTCGACCGCCAGAAACGTCGCGATCATCTGCACGCTGTTCGCGGCGGAGCTGATATCAGGGGCGGTGTTTCTGTGGGCCTTTCTGAGGAAGTTTATTAGGTATCGAGACATGGCTCAAACCCTAGGCCTGGAGCTGCTCCCCGCCGGCGGACCCAGGCGGTTCACTTACGCGGAGCTGAAATCAGCCACAGACGATTTCTCCAAGGCGATCGGGAGAGGCGGGTTCGGGGACGTGTACCGAGGGGAGCTGCCGGACAAGCGAGTGGTGGCGGTGAAATGCTTGAAGAACGTCGCCGGGGGCGACGCCGAGTTCTGGGCGGAGGTCACAATCATCGCCAGGATGCATCATCTCAATTTGGTGAGGCTGTGGGGTTTTTGTGCGGAGAAAGGGCAGAGGATTCTGGTCTACGAATACGTCCCCAATGGGTCGTTGGACCGGTACCTATTCCCGGCCGGTCGGACCTTGGCTTCGCTGGATGCCGAATCGGACCCGAACGGTCCGACCGCAATCGATGGGAAGAAACCTATGTTGGACTGGGGGGTCAGGTACAGGATCGCTCTCGGCGTCGCGAGATCGATCGCGTACCTGCACGAGGAGTGCCTGGAGTGGGTCCTCCACTGCGACATCAAGCCCGAGAACATCCTGTTGGGAGAGGATTTCTGCCCGAAGATCTCGGACTTCGGGCTAGCCAAGCTGAAGAAGAAAGAGGACATGGTGAGCATGTCGAGGATTCGAGGCACGAGAGGGTACATGGCGCCCGAGTGGATCATGAGCGACCCGATCACTCCGAAGGCCGACGTGTACAGCTTCGGGATGGTGCTGCTGGAGATCGTGACCGGGAGCCGGAACTTCGAGATGCAAGGGTCGTTGATGGATAGCGAGGATTGGTATTTCCCGAGGTGGGCGTTTGAGAAGGTGTTCAAGGAGAGCAGAGTGGAGGACATATTGGATAGGCAGGTGAAACATTGTTATGATAAGAAGGTGCACTTCGAGATGGTGGATCGAATGGTGAAGACGGCGATGTGGTGCCTTCAAGATAAGCCAGAGATGAGACCGTCGATGGGGAAAGTGGCTAAGATGTTGGAAGGGACGGTGGAGATTATCGAGCCTACGAAACCCACCATCTTTTTCTTGCAAGAATAATTGAGATTTCTCGAGTCCATAAGTAACATAGCTAATTTTTTCTTGCGCTGGAACCCGTATTTCTTATAGTATTGGCGGTTCAATCATGAAAGTCTCTTATCGGAGTCTAAACTGATTGATGGTTTTTAGTGATATGAAACAGTTCAGTCACAATTAAACCACACATGTTTAGAATAAAACACTAATGCTAACTTTTTCGGTATATCCTCTTATACGGTTTTACAAAGCAAACATCGATCTAGTTTGTTAGGGAAGAGAGTTCTGATGCACCTCCCTTTCACCATTTCATATCGACGATAAAATTTCTCGACCTAAAAGGTTGTATCACTAACTACACAAAATTACAATGCACGAAACAACATTAAATTAAAACTCTTAAAAGAACAAGCCTAAAGTTTACTGTTTCATAGAGTCACATCACACTATGTACTATTTCGTAATTAATCAAAAATGTGAGGATGTGTCTAGCTATTAATTGTGCGGTTCATCTTTGCTTCTCCCCCCTCTACTTTAGCGGGTGGAGATCACACTCGGATATTGGTTGTGCTTTGAAAACGTTCCCATAATATTGTGTTATGAAAAAAGTTCTGAAATTCATGAAGAATGTATCGAGATGTAAACGTGTTTTTATAGACTTGACACATTGGGTTTGTTCGAAATCATTTTTCTCAGACAACTTGTCCCTTTCACAAATCACAAGTACAAATCTGCAATTAAACGAAACTCTACGAAGGCAATCTATATTCATATCTTTAAAAATCAATTAAACGGAATTCTCAAATCATGGAACACGTTTATAATTGAATTAAACAAAAATATTATAAACTTCACCTTTAATTTATAACTGAATTGCCTTGAATATGATGTGTAGTGGTATATTTAGCTACGGTGATACTTTTTTTGGAGTGATAATCTTTTTAGTGGGGTGGTACATTTTTTTAGTATAATGCTCTACATTTTCTAATGAAGCAGTACGATTTTTCAACAGTGGTACTATTTTTCACAGTGGTAATCTTTTTAGTTTAGTGATACATTTTTTTGATGCGATGATAATTTTTATTTTTTCAACAGTGATATTTTTTTCTTTTTTTCGTTGAATTTGAACCTATGTATTTCACTAGCCCAAAACGGCAAATCTAATATGACGAGTAAATAAAAGCAAAATACTCTATGTGAATATGATAGCCTATCTACATTTTGCAATCTTGAACTACAAACATCAACCTATTATATTCTCTGTTTTAGCTAGTATTGTTTCCTATACATCCCACACTAATCTAGTCACTTTTCAAATTGTCGTTAGAATATGCTAAGAACTGCATATCTCTTCTTATTCAGTCTAGCACAGCTACAAGCCTACAATGTCTCTTCATGCCTCTCCATTTTCTTAATTTCCACCGTGCAATTAATTAAAAAGAGTTTAAATGCACAAAATACACCTGGTGCACAAGGGGTGATAAAAAAATGATAACCCCTTGGGTATCTCAGTTTATTTATATGGTTCGAACAAAAAATTTACTTTTTTAGATAACCCCAAATCAAAGAAAACAGAAAATCGGTCATGATAATTATTAATTATCATTTAGCAGTAAATAGTTATTAGGGACCGGGCTGTTGAAGGTTGGACTAGAGGTGGAAAACGGGACGAGATTGGATACCCGTTCCGTTTGAAACGGGTACCCATTCTCGTTTGGAGGGCAAAGTTCATCCCATATCCCAAACCCAAAAGGGTAATGGGTACCCGTTAACCCATACGGGACGGATAACGGGTACCCAAACTACCCGTTAATACCCGTTTAACATGGGAAATTTATAAAATTACACATAGAACAAAATAACAATATTACACTTGAAACAAAATAAAATAAGCATTAAATATAGAGCTACAGTCTGTATGGTATAAGACATAATAAATATAGCTACCGTCTACTTGTCCTTGAAAATGAAAATAAAATTTGAAGTACAAAATAATAAGACTAAGAAGCTACTGTCTCTTGCGCACACAAATGGAAAAATTCCCAGCTACCTCCTAACCAACTGCGTCAAGGAGAACAAGAAGCAGTCACTGATTTGTGATTTGCGGGCAACCAACAGAAGCCAAGTAGTCGCCCAAGGCCTGGGCTTGACTAGTGACTCGCTTGAGCTGAGCTCGGATAGGAGTTCTTGGGATGGGAACTGGGTTTCAGTTTTGGACTAAATGTCTAAATGAAATTTAATAAATTTTAATGGGTAATACGGGTACCCAAACGGGTATTAGCGGGTAACCCGCGGGTACCCGATAGAGATTCTTAATCCCAA